TTGTCACGTGTTGAGCTGGTCACCTTGGTCATTCGCTCGAGTTTTCCACCGCAACTCAACTCGACAAATGTACCACTCATCCCGTCAACTCTTTATATTCCGTTTTTTTCTTCTCTCCCAGCGTTAAAACTTCACTTGTCACTAACGGAAATTCTTTCTCGCGTTTATTAAAATCGCTCACAATGGTTCATTGTTCTGTCAGTCAACAAAAAAGAAAAATACGTCAACGTAGCGTTTATTTTCTTTACCCAGGTTTTTTTTTTAACCCACGACGAGTAAAAAATTACTTGTGGGTAACGCAGGTGCAGGTTGTTGTTCGTCATTCCGAGATTCTAGTCATTACATTAGCATAAATATGAGCTCTGGGGAGCGTAATGCCTAGCCCTTTTTATTTTCTTAATTTACTTCCCATCCACCGGTATTGAAAATCGAAAGATTATTCATTTCCGGATTTGACGATTACCAGAATTTTCACGAAATTAATTCATTCGTTGATTATGAATTGACAATTGCAATTTTTAAACAGGGAGTCATGTGGAAAAATTATTAAAAAAATAATGAGTAATATACATGGTCCACGGATGTGTGCAGAAATGCGAAACATGGCTTGGATATTGCTGAAATTTGATGCAGTGCGATGATATTTCTCGACTGGCGATATAACCGAGGATGCACTCACTTCAGATGCATTCGAACTCGAGGCTTTTTATGCAAAGCAATTTCACCTGCGTCATTCATGCTCAACACCCCATGAAATCCCCTTGCAAGATCATCCCGAGTAGCGTCCTCTTTTGAATGTTACCCATCCCAATTTTTATTTTTCGATTTGTCTTCTTCATTCCGGGGATCTTTTCCTTTGTGCAGTCATGCGGCATGCGCTACCTCCGGACTAAATGCTACAGGAAAATCACCATAAATTTAACGCACCCGCGTTGACGGCACAGACGACCAGGCCAAGTTCAGACCAAGGGTAATTGATAAAAATATCATTTCACGAATTTTCCACAATTTCCTGTATGACACAATTAAAAATTTTCCCCTTAAAACCGCGCTATTTTCCCTTTCCCTTTTCCGATTCAATTTTAATCGCAATGGATTTTTGGGAATTAATAATTCACCGACTGACCCAATTTATTTTATATAAATATTATAATATTATAAATCTATTTGGGAGGAGTTTGATTTTTAGGATGAAGGTTTATGTTACGCAATGAGGGCAGGTAAAAAATGATAGATCCATCCTCTGAAGACAATGCGAGAAATTCGATCCAATCGATACCGTAACGTATCTCCGCTAATCGATACGCATTGGACTCCGTGGAATGCTTATGTATTGTCTGTGTGCACATACACTTAGCGACGTGAAATGCATCGCCAATAAAAAACCGTTGGGTACATGGACAAAGTTGGCCAGTGATATCACCTCAACATGAGCACTCGGTGCGCTCATTTATATTTTCAATTCGCCCATTGGCGATGACAAACGTTTGGCATGTGTGCTTGAAAATGTTTAGACAAACATTACAACCCATCGTACAAACTCCACTCCCAGTGTCTTGTCGTGACGCATCGACGAGTTCCTCTACCTCCATCAACAATTCTACCGGGGAATTTTTTTCACGTCAATGAAATCATCATTTGTCCGGCCATTTTGGACATTAAAATGGGCAAAACGGTGGCCTAGAAGAACATCATACGGTCAATGTAACCTCCAGCAATACCAGAGAATTGCAAGCCGATAAAGCATGTTACGTTCGTCACGCTCAGGCTGGAGCCCACCAGGGACTCGATTGCTCCTGTAATTTTGCACTCCCAGGTGTGCAGCAAGCGAGACACCACTCTATTATTAAAAAAAACCGTAGGGGCTAAAGAGAGAAGAGAGTTGTAAAAAAACACGCGGATGAATAAAAACCGAACGAGAGGTGGAAAAAAAAAAGTAAAATAAATAAAAGTTGAGGTGAAAATAACAGCATCCGACGGCAGTCCAATAATACCAGACTGTGAACGAACGTGTAATAAAGATAAGCTCTGACATACTGTGGCGCAACGGTAGACCCTTATTTGGATTACAACTCCCCAAATGTTCATCTTGGGTGTGAGTTTCACGGTGAGATGACCACGGGACTCACCTGCTATTCACTCACCGTGAAATACTTAAATTCTTTATCATGGGGTGAAGTATTGAGGAAGAAGATAAGTGCAGAGGGAAAATAGTGGGATTTCCCTTGCGTGAAGTCGTGAAATCGATACTGGGAATTATTCTTCGATGATAACACTCAGTTCTCCACCCACTCTATCTTTCTCTTTTCCTTGTCTTGAACGTTTGGACAAGGAATTGCGGGTACTGAGTTGGCTGGAGGAAATTCACTTCGGTGGACGATAAAAGCTGCTTCTGGGACATTTTATTTCGGTGTAATTGCGGCCTTTCGCGGGATTTCCGCCCTGGAATTTGATTCCCGAGGTGTTTTCATTTGGCGACTTTCGGCCGATGGTTTGCTGCAATTTCCGGCTCTCGTGATTGCTCAATTGTTGGGGTAATTGTTCTGGGGATCGGGGGAGACTCTTGTTCGGAGGTTTATCCCATTTCCGGTTTTCCCCTTGAACTCCACTGAAATTTTTAGCTTTTTTTTTTAATGGTGTAAGCCCAGAGAAGAACTTGCCAGCCGCAAGTTTCAATGTTTTGAAATCCATTTCCCGAGAATAGTGAAAAAATTTGCCGGGAGTCTATTCACTACCCGCCAGTTGAAAAAAAGTATGAAACTGTTTACCATTTCCATTTGGCGTGAGTCCATGCTTCCACAACCATGAAAACAAAATAACCGGACGCATATTCGAGGGTATAGATTTTTCTATGACGGGGAAAAACTTTTCAGAGGAGTTATTTCCCCGGGTGGGGTGAGAATGAAAAGGACCGGACGGCAGAGGGGAAAAATGTTAGCGGCCAAGTGAAAAATCGCAACTGAATGAGAAAAGCATTCTCAAATCTCCCAGTCCGTGGACCCTCACAATTCATCATTCAACGGAGTGCCCGAGTGTTTTACGGTTTTCATGTAAAATCTGATTACTCCAGCTCTTGAAAAAAACGAAGGTAGAAAAAAATTTAATCTCCCGCGTAAAAGACTTTTTCACTGAACTATTTTCAATTTTAATATTTCTCGATGTCCTATCACCAACACCATAAAAGTTGATACATTTTTCCATTTAATCTGGAAAGTGTCAGAAACTTCTCTGCAGCGGGCTTAACGCATTTTTTTTTCCATTTATTGGAATAATTTTAAATAGTCATGCTCTCGACATCGGATAAATGTGAGTTTCATTATTTTTTGCCTATTCTTTTAAATTTCATTAAAGAATCATTAATATCCACGGCCTAATTGTCTTTCACGCCATTAAGTCCCACATGATCACCGAAAATCATCGATTTAATCGCAACGCCTCAGAATTCTCCACCGAGAATTAAAAAAAAAAAAAAACCTGAATAATCATGAGAAGAATTTTCACTCGTCACGTACTTGCCTTTATCGCGTATAATTCAAGGCTCCGATACTAGCAGGTGATAAAACCGTATGAATATACATATAATAAATGATGATTATCGGTTACCACCGCCATAATCACACTCCAGATCCTCATCTCGTATTATTATTTACGCACAGACAGCAACACAGGTGTGTACAAGGTAACGAAACAGCATTTTGAGTCTCGCGATTTATAGACGGATGCTGAGGCCAATCGTCTTTAACGATCGGCTCAATCTTCCTTCTCTCCTACCGTATCTCCCCTCCCTCATACGTGAACACGAATTCCCGTAGTCTATCACTTTGAATTTATAGCTGAACTATCGTTATTTATCTTGCCAACCGGTGGGCAAATGGAGAACCATTATAAACCTCACGGAAAATTCACGCTATCTCTACCTTTTCTGGATCGCCAACTTTTTTATCACTTGCTCCAGTACAAAATTACCTGGAAAATTTTCACAATCACGGAAAATTTTATCGCCATTGAGGATTCATTATTCTCCGGAATGTTATTTCCCATTTTTCTTATCGGGTTTACAATTTTATAATAATAATTGGTGATGAAATTTTTTTTTGTTGGAAACCGAGATTTTTTTCGAAAAAAATCGGTTGATCAATTTTTATGAATAAAATTCCAAGAAATTCGAATCAGTCTAGGAAGTCGTATGAATTTTTATCTTGCATCGACTTCAATGTCACTCTCTTGAAAATTCCTGTTCAATCGTCCGTGACATTTTCATTTTTTTCTACTATCTCTGCGTGAATAGAATTTATCACGAATGAAAAAACAAAAATCGTGGTTACGCATCAATGGGACAGCGCATTGGATTTTCCCCGGGTTGAATTGTAAGTGGAGCATGAGGTTTTCAATTCGTTTATACTCTCATGGGTCTATGTTTAGGATGATGCGAGAATGTAACAGCTGGCGTCAATAAACTCGGCTGGATTAACACGGATATCCAACGTGAGAGCGACGAATTTGTCGGGTCTTCAAACCGGCGTGATGTTATGAAATCCGTGACAAAAAGTCCATATATTCAATTTACTCCCTCGAGAATATCTCGATCCATTTTCTCCCGAAATCCCTCACTTCCCAGATGATCGCGTATAAATATTCATTCAGCCCGAGAAATCAGTGCGCTCACTCTCGCTGAATCAACGAGAGTAATTAATATTTACTCATGTTACTGCATGTTTCCGAATTTACATATTCAATCACATGTTTCGTGTCCCCGATTGGTCCATCTACTCGAGCAGTCAAGTGATGACGTGATGGGAAGCTCGTGTACAAATTCAATTGAACATTAAAAATTCATCAATCCCTCGAGTGATTTCACGTGAAAAGTTTTCCTCAAGGATTTTAGATACTTTTCTCGCAAATTACCGATGGGATTGACGTGAAAGAATTTATGTTTTTGTATTAAAAAAAAAATTTAATAGACATTCTCGGAAATAATTTTCTGATTATTATGTTTTCAGATGCGGCGTTTAACTTGGAGTTCACTGATAATTCTAATCTTATCAGTCTGCAGGTTTGAGGATGCCGAGGGCTGCTCCTGCACAATGTCCCATCCACAGACCCAATTTTGTCAATCAGACTGGGGTAATGAAAATAAATCTTATGAATAAATCTCTCCCAAATCAGCATCGATCATTGCCTTTTCATTTTTCATTGTCGTTTGTAGCGAATCACCTGGTAGTCGTTAATCTCCATTGACTCATGTAGATTAACAAGGTAATTAATAATTTCAACTTGTTGATTGATACCACATTCAATCACTGAATATTTTTCCAAATAATTACTCATTACGACAGTAATCGCTCATTCAGTCGGTCAGATTATCGATTGAATCATTGATTATTCATTTCCGTAGAATATTCTTGATTGCCGACACATTAAAATAATTCAATAAACTCTCAATAAATTATTTTTGATTGACAATGAATTAGATTTCAAATAAAAATTTTTTAAACGATTTTCATTTGAAATGGGAAACAATACCGTTTATTGAATTTTTTTATCGATCGTATTTTTCAGTCTTCATAGATATTGTCATTTTTATTGCACTTATTTTATTTTCATCTGACCCCGTGGAGTTTGAGAATTTTTATTTGCAGTTGCAATATTTTATTCCGCAATTTTTTTCATTTCCATACATATTGGGAATTTGAAGCAAAACGGCAATGGAATCATTCGATTTTTACGACCGTAATTTTCTATTCGATGAGTAATAAAAAAAAAAAGTACGAATTGTAAACGATTGGATGCGTTTATCTTCTACGTATCAACGTAAATATTTTTTTCAATTGCTCTTCTTTATGATTTGGAAATAATAATTCCCCACCACGACCCAATTGTTCTCGTAAAAGCCTCTTATGCCCTCATCGTTCTCTCGGGTACGAGTAAAAAATTAAAAGACACAAGAGTCCTTTTTCACGGTGTTGAGTCCTTGAATTATGAGCCTCGAGGTTCATAAGTGTTTGCTGACTCTCTGGAGGTCATGAATGAATTTCCTTGGTACGACCATGACTCCTCGTGTCACTAAAATTAACTAATGTGGTAATTCCCAGACTATTGTATAATTCACGAGGCCATTGTTTGCAATACTAGGAAAATTCGATAATTGAATTAACAGAAAAGTGGAATATTCTGGGATCAGTGGGTCATTATCGTTCCGAATCACTGACCGGAAATTGGGATTCGGTTTCATTGGTGAAAGCCGATCGTTATCAGAATATTTCAGCGAAAGTGCACCGCATTCCCCTAACCATCTCACAAACAAATAATTCTAACTCAATATTAGCTCTGAACAATTGCTGCATCCACCGTTAAAAATACCAAACTAATTCCAAAGATATTTTCCCAATTAAACTGCTACAATGCACCGAGAACATCCACCAAGAAATTCTCACCGAATCGACTAATTATCACTCTGAATTCGCTGACCGTAAATTGCTTTCCAACTCCATCGTTGAATTTATTACCTCTCACCGAGTCCAAACATTCATGTAACAACCCAAAACAAATACATTTCCAGTTGGAAAAACTCGAAGCCCAAAGAGAGTAAAGAAACAAAATCATTGGAAAAACTAGACGGTGAATTTTCTTTTTTTTTTTTACCCATCTACTACTCTCAAGAGCTTTTCCTGGAACCGGAGATTACTATCTCCGGAAGGATATTTCTTTTCTCCGTAAACTCCTCCATTTCCTTGGAGCTGAAAGAAATACGCAGGGGGACTTTGTAATGTGTAATTTTCCAGAGATGAAGGATATCGCTGGCATCAATTATTAAATTCCATTTCTTCGGTCTATTGCAGTCGCTGTGGTGAGGATCAAGAAATTCGTGGAGATCAGTGATCACGAGGCCGCCTATAAGTTCAAGCTCCACAGAATTTTCAAGGTAAATAAAAATATGGCAATTTTCCAGCACATGGGTTCTATCCCTCTCTGTCCCTCCCGCGTCACAATATATTTCCCTACGAATTTCTCTCCGTACAAATAAGAAAAGAAGAGAGTTTTCGCGGAATTTCTCCCGCTAATTCAAAAGCAATGGGAATAACCTGATCTTCTCTTGAGAGTCTCTACCAACTGGGACATCTTGATATGTTGAGAAACAGTGTTGAATACAACTCCATTCAAAGTAGAATTCTCTCCAATGATTGCAATCAGACTGTGGTGAACCTCTTCAAACATGGCATCATGTCCTCAATACATATTGGGAGGCTGTCCAGTAACTTCCGTTCATTGGTTATCAGATGCATTATATGTACATGGGCACCTTCTCCTTTAACGTTTGAGTGCCGTCTCGTGAAAGTTGTTGGTGTACCCATGGTCGTGTGTTCCCATTTGGTTTCGATACGGGTACCACCGATGGGACCATTGGAATTTATCACCAGCACGAGAGTACTCCACTCACTCCCATGAGACCAAACGAGATTGCTTTCAAATCGCTATGGAATGACTACAAAGCTCAATTGTATTGAGCTTTTCGCAATGTGGGATGCGCATTGTTTATCTCATTGACTCCATTTTTTCGATGATTATTCTAGCCAATATTACAATTAAGTAATAGAATAAAAGGAGGGGAATAAAAGATGATTAAAGCTATCCCTCATCATTGAAACAATACCCTGGAGATACGATGTGACACTCTGAGAATTTCTCTGGGAGTGTAAAATACCTCTAAATCCGAGATTTTGCCGAAGCAAATCCCACTGTCCAAGGCTCGGAGGACTCGGAGAAAAAATTCACTCCAACACTGCGGGATCCCTTTAATCCGAAAATCGTTTAAAAGCAGGGTGACCCCAACAGCTCTAAAAATATTTAATGCATCAGGCCACTCCGAAAGCAGAACACGCTTTGAAGCAACACCTAATGCTATGGACACCGTCGATGGACAGTCTGTGTGGACGTGTGAACATGGAACCTGGGGAAACTTGGGTTGTTGGTGGTAGGATGAACGGTCCAAAGCCCCATATCTCACTTTGCAACCTGGCGATGCGATGGTCCGAAGTTACTGGTAGACAACGCAAAGGCTTCCGGCAGTTTTACAATCACGGCTGTGTCTGCCACGTGAGTACATCATCGACTACAACTTTCCATAATTTATACTCATCAAATTTACCCATCTCATCTGACATTTTAATCGACTCTACCAACTTTCATGCACCAGTCAACTGATTAAAATCGATTATCGCCTGTAACTTCACCACAAAGAAAAACATTTTCACAGATTAATTCCTGATTGCAATATCAATTGAGTAGTGAAGTCGTGACGTGAGTTTTTCAGCAATATTTGTGACAACTGGATTAAGAGGAATTTATTTTCATGTGGACTTGTTTCACTGGATTGGCAATTGCTTTGGTCATCCATCAGGACAACTTGTTCTTCCACAATTTCCCCATAATTCCAGTCTTAACGACTTTCTTTTATCACCTTCAACTCGACACCATTACTGCCCCTTTAATCCCCCATTTTCCTAATGAAAATCACTCGAATGATAAAACAAAAACTTTGGCTTTGTCTCTGGTCGTCTTTAGATCTTGTATACCCAATGGTGGAACAAAGGCGCCGTCTTCAATTCTACTGGTGGTAAAGGATGTCTGTGGGAGAGTGCACCCGGACCCTCAGACTGCCAAGAGAGATATGGCATATGCATGATGGGACCCGCTGGTTGCTCATGGGTTCCCTCAGTTGCATATAAAAAGTGCGTTGTTAAACATCAACGGGACAGGGAACAGCAACTCGCCAGAGAGCCGTAATGTCTCACCGATTTTCAGACTTTTCGGTTAAGACCTCTATTATATTTAACGACATCATTTAAACCCAAAAAAAAATCTGTGGAAAAACCTCACTGATGCTTTCTCTCAAGAATTCTCTTCATTTTTACCAAAACATTTCAATCTCTATTTTAAATACCTCAAAAATATCGCGAATTTGTCATTTTCTAGAGATATAAAATACGATAAATTTCTTCATGTGGAAATAGAATTTCCAGTGGGATTTCTTAGAGAAAGTTCAGTTTTTCAATGAAATTTTTTAACACGTGCTTTTGCGGTGGAGTGTCTATATGAGGATTGATTTTTTGATATTTTTGAGGCGGTGAGCAAGTAACGATGGTAATTAGACAAGTATACGTAGACGAAAAGTATTTATATCTGATTAGAGAGAGTTGGATTATTTAGAGAGATAGGGCGTGATGGCTACAAGTATTTCTGCGATAGAAAGCTCAGCTTCTTCGCACTGTAAATATTTAAGTTTTTTTTGATTATTATTTTCGATGTATATTGAGTATTTAAATTATTCTACCCATTAACGAGTAGGTCGTAAGGTATTGATGATCGTGGGGTGTTTATGAAAATGATAATTACCGAGTGACTGATAAAAATTGACGCTCGGTGCTTTGATTATTGATATTGTCGGTGTATTCCGTGTGGAGGAAATTCTCGGAGTGTTGAATTTCGCGGCTTGAGGACTCGAAGGGAATGACTCGCCCCTGGGGATGACTCAGATATGCTGCACGCTATTCTCTGATGAAAACCACCTCCCAACTTCTTTTATTTGCCACCGATTCCCTGCTCCATTTTTTTTTTCTTCTCTACCCTCCGCACTTTTTCCACCGACTTTTCCTTCGATTTCCGATATCCACTCGCACCCTCTATCCTCCACCATCCACTTGGGAGAAATGGTACAAGGAACTTCTCAGAGGGAAAACATTGGAAAAGGAACTGAGTTTTTCCTCTTTGTGTGGAATACAAACGCTTCTTTTCACTTCTTCAATATTATCTTAATACACTGTGTCACGATATTTATATTCCCACGTTGTCAATTCTATTTTTTATCAATCTTTTAGATTGTTTAAATTATCATTATTTTTACCGATATTTGTAATTTAATGGAGATGATTAAAATTAATTTTCACGGATTTTTATCAACTCGTCTTTCGTTAATAATTTTTTTTTATTGGTACTAGCACTTGGGGCACGCTTTGCGCACATGAGAAAAAAATTTATTCATTAAATAAAATGTTCATTAAATCAAAGTCAATGAAGGCTTTTTCATTCCATAATTGGAACAGGAACTGAATTGATTTTTTCATTTGAATACTTATAATAATTCTTTTCAATTTTTGTAATGAATTAAAATTTGAAGTTGTAAATTTTTCGTAACTTTAATTTTTTAATTGCATTCTCGAGGTATTTGCATGAGTAATGATGGGTGAGAATGAAATTATTCATAGGGAGAATGGAATAAAGTAGATAACGTTGACTCACCATCTCCCGATGATTCGGATAGTACGTCTGATCTATGAGGGGAAAATTCTCCTTGCCGAGACGGCGCTGTAGACCCAGCAGGTGGGCAAATACCCATGGTTTGTCCTGCAGCGTTCAAATTAATTTTCAGCATCGAGATAATGAAGCATCATTCGCGGTGGCTTACCTGGAAATTGTAAATCGCCGTGAGATTATTAACACTCGGAATGCTGCCGTACATCAGACCGAGGAGGATGTTCCTATTGTCTTCCCCGGCGTCACGGAGGTTTTGCCGCACCAGAGCGAAATCGGGCTTGAAAGATCTGAAACAGAAGAAATTATACGCTATGTCCAGAATATACCAATTGGCCAGATACTCTTTTTCCTCGATTTTTCCATATATTTCAATTGGAGAAGGCAATTGAAAGAAAAAAAAATTTGAAAAATTTTTCTCCAAAAGCTATACAACGTATACTCTCTCAATTTTTTTTCATTTTTTTCTGCATCTAATTGTCACCTCATCCCCGCACCAAAAATCCACACCAAAAATCAATTGAAAAATCCAGACAACTGCTGTTACGAATTGTCAATCCATCGAAAATTCAATTGAATCCGATGTCCGCTTTTTGCCCTGGATTTGAAATTCCCCGTCATGAAATATCAACGACACGTTCTCACAGCAAATGCACTATTGTTGATTTTCCAATGTCCATAAACATAATTATTCTATCCCAACGTCAATTCTAATTTGCGATATTGAACATTCCCAATGGAGTTGCCTCGATAATCCCCATCATCGGGAAAATAAAACGCGGAGAAAAAAAAATTATTCCCGCATTTTCATGAAATAATTTTTAATGGTATACCATTTCCCATGCGATTGCAGTAATTTTTCCTGGAATTATTTATTTTTCTCCGACAATTATGAGTGACACCGCAGGTGAAATGGCGTACCCTGGAGCCGGTGGTTAGCACTGACACCCCGAATCCCCGGGTGGTTTTTCCCTTCCACCGCACGAGTGGCCGCCATATCAAACCCCATAGAGCAAACCCATTTAACCCGAAATTTCGTACAACAAAGGCCCCTCTGACAGCGTCAGTACCATGAATAATTCATAATTGCCCCCCTCTCCCCCCAATCCGTAGAATTTTCTCACCCATCTGGCGATATCCGTGTAAAATAACCGTAAAAATTCCACGAGCAAGGTTGAAAAACAACTCCCTAACGAGGATGATGTCTTACCTGATGACCTTGGTCCCATTACGGAAGACAGCCATGGATACGCTGGCGCCAACCTCACTAGCCGTCAGAGACAACTCCCGGAACTCGGCCTGTTCAACCCGTATCTCGTAATCACCATGAATTCTACGTCCCCGGAAGTACTTGCTCCAGTCTGTATTCTGATCGTCTATCACCAGGAGAGTGAAACAACGATCCTTGTTGTACGATGAACCACGAGTTGCACCGCCCACAGCTGCACCAAGTATCGATGCACCCTGAGGGAGAACACCATTTTAAATGTATTATTATGGGCTTTTGCCCACAATTGGAACTCTACCAATTTTCGCAATTATTTATTGAATGGTATATGCAACAAATGGGTTGGGGCGCCCATATTTGTGGCTGGCTCAATTGACAGTCCGAGCCACGGTGAATAGTCTATTTTTTTTTCCGGTGTTCATGTGCAGTACTGTATTGACGAATCAATTAATTTTTTCAATATTCTGGTAATTCTGATTTTTTAAGACAAGCCAGAAGTTCAATTCAATAATCTTTTTTCATTGAAATTAGATTCAACCTTACATAATTCAAAATTAAAAATAATTTGTGATGGAAATTCCAGGAAATTTAATAGCACAATAAAAAAAAGCTCTCAATGACATTTTTGTGAGACCATTTGGGACTTGAAATTGGAAACTTTTTGGCATTGTCGAGGGGATGAATTAGGTATGAGGGATTAATCGTAAACCGTGAAAGTTCTAGTCCATTAAAACTGCACCAATTTGTCGGATTATCAATTGAAGTGAATTTGAAACAAATGGCTATATAGGGGGGGTTTACATAGGGCGGTAGCTTTCAATGAAATACTTCGAAATTATAGTATGGAGTTTCATCTGATTTGTCGGTGAATTTCTATCCAGCTGGTGGCTGCAGTTATAATTAAACTCCTTTGACATAACGGGGATTTAGCTGGTGGTAAACAAGTAGGGTTTCTGCAAACACTCCTGCGGCCACCTAACGAGCGTATTACACTTGTGTCTGTGCGTATCAGGATTGACATAGTGCATGACAGGGTAATTTAGTGGTGGAGAATTTGACGTGCTGATACAGAGGGAGATTAATTCCAGGGTAACCGGGTAGACTCGAAAATTTTCAACAGCCCATTTTTTAAATATTTATAAAACGTGAATTTTTAATAAAAGGGTATCGAACATCTTCAGGGGAAGTTGGTCAATTTAATTTAACTCAGGATGAAACAAACAATTCGTTCGTGCAATCCATTCTCTATTTTTCAGAAGCATTAAAAAATTGAAATGGTAACACCGATGATTGCTGTTGGATCACCCCCCGACTGTTCAGTTACCCTGCTAGACACGCCATTCCCAAAACTCGTAAAGTTACGATGTTTACCGAGAACACAATACTAGTCTCCATCGATCTGTCGAATACCTCTGTTTAACCAGCGCGGTAATATCAACAGGACGGGCAACGACACGGGAAAGGCGACAAGCGGTTATCGGAAACCGTTGAACCCCACACCTCCATTCATAAAAACCTAGTCAAATCGGATAGAACAGGTCCATTAAAACAGAGATAAAATACCAAATAAATTTCCACCAGTTTATTTTGAAATTCTCTCAACCCCCGGCGTTATCGTCACGCAATTTTGAGTTATGACACTCGATGATAAAATCCCAACAACTCTGTTTATTCGCGCGGTTATTTATTTTTTCAGGCTTTTATGAGTCCCGGTGAACGAATCCACGGGAAAAGCTGTCGTTGTGGGGAATGAAAATTATTTTTTCAAAGGTTTGAAAAGTAGGCAGAACGCACCAACATATTGTCCGTAATTTTGGATAAAGGGAGATCTATTTGATATGATATAAATGATGGATAAATGACTGACCTGATCCCGGGCAGCACCAGTGAGACTCTGAACTCTCTGCAAAAGACTCTCCCTGGTTTTGGCCGGTGATGATGGTGCACTTGTGGTTCTCGAGCTCGGTCTTAGGTTGAGGCTTAGGTCACCTCCAGGTGGTGCCCCAGGAACTGGTGGTTGTGATGGCGGTGGTATGGGGGCAGGCTGAGACTGCAGGGGACGATCTGGTGTCCCCTGATACGGCTGACTCGAGTCCTGTCGTACCACGGAGGCCATCCCGGGCTCAGCTCCAGGCTCATCATCAAGCTCAGAGCTCAAGTCCCCGGAGGAGAACCTGGAAGGCAAACTACAATGGCTCCTGTGATCCTGACAACTGGACCGCGAGCTGCATTGTGCATCGAGTGACCAGGGTTGAGGGGAATTTCTATGACGACTAATCTGTGGTATGGCGATGCTATATCGATTATGGATTAAGTCATCAAGAGTTCAAAGGCCCTTAATCGAGACATTCAGTAGTGTTTGATGGTTTTGCTGAATGCCGGGGCTGGTATTCGTCTCCTTGTGGAGAATTCCAGGGGTTTACGGTTGGACGGATATGCACGGGGTTCCGGCATCTCTACGTGCCAACACCTACAACCACATACTCTATCCTCGATTTCAAGTACACAATCTAGCAAGTTCTCTCACTTTTATTCAATAATAATAATCACAAATTGAAATGTTAGATTTTAAAATAATTAAAGTACACGAAATTGCCGCTGATGATGCATTGAAAGACTAATCTATTTTTACCACAAATTCGGTGGGCGTTTCTCCAGGTTAAGGAGCAGTAAAAAATCTATTATACTAGAATGGCGTCAGCCTGAAAGCCTCAGCGTCAGTCATCATTTAGAAATTTGATTATCCAGAACGAGACAGATAGGAGGATAAAAAAAAATTTAATCCCCGCCTGAGATTACACGGCGTTAATGAATGTCGGGATGACTCTATCGTACGTTCTGCATGAAGTATTCTTGTGGCAGTTTGCCAACTAGTTCAAGAATCCTCGGCATCTTGGGTATACATCGCCAGGAGTTTTGAGACGTGACTCAAAACGCTCTCCTCAAGCGGATGAATTGGAAAAAATCGGGTGGGAGGTTGAGTTTGATGGAATAGAGCTCGTTAAAGATCTTTCAATCGAGGGATTGCATTTTGCCGCTCAGAGAAAATTTTTGGTGTAATCCAGAGTACGTGAGGGCCCGTGCTGGAGCAACTCGATAGGTTTGATGAATTTGTTTGGGATAATTTTGGGGGATTAAATAGCGAGGTCATGGATTTATGAGGAATTTTCATGGATAAAGTGACATGATTTATTATGGGTAAAAATTTACCTCCGTTTCAGGTAGTTGACATTGCTGGTGAAGGATTGACGGAAGCTGGAGAATGAAATGTTGCCGGGTGATGGAGCAGTTCCACAATACTTGGCGCAACCGCCGCGGCCGGTAATCTTGCCGGTGGATGTCTCGGATTTCTCAATGAAAATGTCTCAAGGTGTTTTTAGCTTGACTCGTTGACTCGGCACCTATTGTTTTATCCCTCGCTCGAGGTCTTGGATTTATCTCAGCTTCTTCGTTCTTAACTCCCAGTTACCCCTTGATCGCCGGATGTTTGACGCTTCAACTTGGATCCTCCTGTCTCTGGTCTTTATTATAACTCTTTGAAAAGTCGTTGGATAAACTTGAACGTAAATTAACTGTAAATCAAAGGGTGAACTAAGAGAGGTGAAGAAGGAGAAAATAAACAATCCAACTCGAAATCTGAAACAGAAGAACAGGAGTTTCATTAGATTATTTCCATTATATTCGTCAAGTCATTCTGCGTTTCATTTCAAGGAAATGTGGAGAATGGAATCTGTTGAAGTCTTGGAAATATCGCGGAAATGAAGGGAATGCAAGATGCAGAAGAGATTTTTTTTTTCAGGAGATTGAATTCTGATGAATGAAGAAAGGATCAGCACAGAAAAATGCCTCATTCCAATCACATAAAATTTTCTATTGCCAATTTTTTTCTGCTTCCCTCTGAGTTTATTAATTTATTAAATCGAGGGTAATTTGACTCGTTTATCATGCCAGCGGCGGTTTAGTCACGCGTCAACACCTCCAAGGGGCTCAGCACGGATTTCTGCTTTAATTTCTGGTAAATTTGGCTGCTCACTTAACGGAGAAGAAACCCCGCTGGTTCGTTAACACACACCAGGGGATAGCAAACAACCCTTTTTGCTGGTTGCAGTCACTGTGACAAATGCACCCAATAAACCCGAGCCATCGGGCCAAGTGTTACTCCTCTACTTTAATTCCCTGGGATTTATCGGAGGTATTTAGGAAATACGGCAAATTTCAGGAATTGCAGAGCACATTAACTCCGTCAACTGCTGCAATCATTTACAAATTTTCATGAAATTCTTCAATTATATAATTCTTCATTTATCATTTATATATATTTATTTAATAATATTGAAGTAACATTGAAATTTTGGGAAATTCGTTCCCCGGAACTTGATGAAAAGATGCCACCCACAATTGCCCCGGCTTTAACCCAAATCTTCAGCCCTTTTCCCTCCCTGCTTGACTCCTCGGGAGCATCAACCCTCATTGCACCAGTAAGTGCACTCAGGTAGCAGTGGAGACCGAGATGTCTGGTATATAGACTGTACACAGAAAGGAGCAAATGTACCAACCAAGTGAAGACTCCCCTATATAGTTACGTTGAAATGTAAGCGTTTCAAGGGGCCAGTAGTTCAGAGTGAAAAAAAAAGGACACGGAAATGGTAGAAGCCAACGCCCGCAACGTCACTAATCCTCACTCACCCTAGCCCTCCCAATCCCTCTGAAAAGCATATATTGAACTCCATCTCGCTTTCTCACGTGAGAAATACCCTGGGGTTTGTATCGACCCGGACAACCTTCTGGTGACTTTCTCACTCTTTCAGCATTTCGATATGAAATGCCTCCAGCCAACATCTACCGCTTCATGTTTTTCTTCACAATTTTTTCTCCTTTTCTGACTTTTTTATAATCCGAGACTTGCCAACTCCACGAAATTGCCTGCTAGAGCTATTAATAGACGATCAAAAGTTTGATTTTTTTTTTCTTTAGTCTTCTGCTCTTCCGGTTCGCTCTTTTCGGCACGGGAATGAGCTTCAAGTTTTGGGGGAGTTCTTGATGAGGGCAGTAACGAACTTCACAAGTAATCTGGGGAATCCCATGGGGAGGGGGAGGATAATTCTCGGAGGAGGTGGTGATGGGCTGGTGATCAATGTTGGGGATCTCGAGGCCATCCTCAAGGGAGAATTCCCCATTTTGCATATGCACAATTGAAGAAAAAAAAATACACCGCCACCTAAATTTCGAATTTACCTGGTTTTTCTACCCCTTGAGATCAATAGCGGAGTATAATGTCGGAAACAAAGGGCCAAGGGTTCTTCGGTTGGAACAAATGCTGGTGTATGGGACTCTTATTGCCCTGAAAAAATCAATCCCCTTGGGATTGAGATTCCCACTTCGTTTTACTGCAAAATTTATGTATCGAGGAAAAAGACACTGTGCCTCCACCAAATAGCAAAATTCCAGGGCATCCTCTCACGGAATTTCACTCGGAGAAATGAGAAATTCTCGAGTCGGAAAAATCTTTATTATTATTCCTGGTTGCACCGAATTATTTCAATTCAATACCCCGAGCATTCCAACAATTCATCCTATCTTTAATCTTTCATTCCGGTAATAATTTAATTTTTAGGGGATTCATTTAATTAATTTCTTTATAATTATTCATTTCACGGTGTTTTCAAAGAGCCGAGAGAATTTCCATTTTTACTAAAACCCCATTTAATTGGAAATCAGCCCTTCGTTAAAATCTGAAAAGATGAAAATTCCATTGGTAAATCGGAAAACGGGATGATTTCAATGCAATGCAATATGCAATCATTATCAGTCGAGTTTCATTGCGAAAAGTCTAACGAGATAACGGGAAATTAATTGATACCTCGCATTGTTTAATCACATTGTTACGAAAAGCTGGTATTTGTTTTAATTCGCAAGAGTACAAGAGGTATTGCATGTTCGTTACGGTTTTTTACACTTTTTTTTTTGCACGTCGGAAAGGTTAAATGTGAACCACGAGTTTGTGAACTATCATAATGGGGCGCAGCAAACTCGGTCGGGTGGAAAAGTTCGTTAGGTAACTCGAAGCCTGTTGTCACTGGCAATAATGCCAGAATGAATAGAACCTAAAAAACAGGGCTTTATCATGCTGGAGAAACTTTGAGCGGTGTTGTGTCACTCGAGAAGAAGGTAATAAAGTGAAATTTGTTGGAATATGAAGGAAATGTTATTTGGGAAGAATTCTCCACTGGGCAAATCGTTCTCTTCCAAGGCACTGAAAAATCTGATTACCTCACGAATATCTCGGACTATTTCCAACATTTCTCTCCAACATTTCTTCCATTTTTGTGGCCCATAAAATATTGCATGTCAAATTTTTATAACTTCTTCCTCTAAACCACGTTATGCCACTTCGCGTGTCTAAATTTTTACGTAAAATTCTCGAAGATTCACTTCTTATTTTTTTGTTGAGAATTTTTGTACAGGAAAACCAGTGGAAAAAATGAGAGCAATCCGATGGAATTGGTTAGATCTTGAAGAATGTGATTTCAAAATTACACGGAATTCCGCAACGAATTTAAAACTTCTCCCATAAGATTTACGATGACTGCACGCTCACAAACTATTCCCGCACAATCGAATGAAACTTATTGGTCGCAAACTTTATCTGCATACATTTAAAATGCCGAGGATCTGAGGTATTGCGAGTATGCCATTTTTATTCCTTCCCATCTCACCATTTCGTATACGAAGCATTTACCTATTCCACTGGAACTTTAAAACTTTATGCGAAATGTCAGGAGCTCACGACTGCATAAGAAATTGGCAAAATATTCTCGCTGCCATTTTTTCTGGGGAATGACACAATTTTACCCGAAGTTCATCCCAGGCTATTGAAAATTACGGGAATTCCGGGATTATTTATTTCACTCGCATTTCACTCGCAATTCTCCGGATCCATTTCTCTCTCTCTCTCTATTTTTTTTCTATCACCAACGGTTTTGGCTCCAAGTCAACATTTCGCCTGCAATTTGCGTTGGGCTGAATCTACCCCAGTGATTTCCTGTGGTTATCGTGGTTGGAACCAACAGTTGGTATTATAAAGTCGGTGCAAATGTCTTTGACAGAAAACTCGTTATTTCATTTGAATTATTCGGTCGTGAAAGCCGAGAGAACTCAATCGAGAGTAGAATTCATAGATTTGTGTTTTGAATTTATGGAAAAATTCTTTGGCGAGGGGGCGGGGATAATATTTTGCCCAGTTTCTCCAGGCACCGGCACTGGGTGGGGGCTGTGTCGCAAATGAAGTCATTAAAAATTGATCGAGCTCTCAGGCACGGTCTTGCGTACCTCCATCATCGGACTGACCTCGTCCTCTATAGGATAAGTAAATTCAATTTCGTGGATATGCACATCTGCTCCTTCATCAAAAGACCCTCGACCTTCTGTTTGATATTTCTCCTGAATTAATTGAATCTCTAATTGATTTCTGTCACTGGGATTTCTTGAAATTGCGCTCTATTTTCTGTCTTTGAATACTATTTCTTCTCTCGAGGAGTTCACTCCGCAAAATTCGTTGCATCTTTTATTCGGTTGGGATGAAGTTTTCAACCCCTGGGGTTCACCAAAAGCGAGCCAACTTTTTGGGGGTGGGGTGAAAAAATTCAGGACAAAAGTTGAAAGAGGGACGACTGGAGAAACTTTGAAATACGACTGGAAATTTCATTCTCTAAAGAATCATGACGAACTCGTTGGAAAATTCTTTTGGAAATGAAAATATCTCAAAAAATGAGGGCTCAAGGTAAAACATATGAGGAGAAAATTATTTAATTTCACGTTGACATACTCGCACACATCACACGCTTCGAAAATTAAATTTTCTCAACTTTTTACGACATAATGGATGGCATTCGGAAGAAAAAATTGAGTTGTTGAATATTTTTTCATGATTTATATTGTTGATATGAGGAAGAATACCGAAATTCCTGGAGTATTTCTCCTGAACCTATCGATTCTAGAGATGACTGAATAATCCACCAGCCCGCAATACTCAACTTGTCCCATTTTCCTCTCCACTGAATATTATCAATAAAATTGCACATCATCCTCCACCCTGCGATAATTCTCAAGTGATAAACTAAAGTAACTCCAATTTACCATTCTCACTAATTATCGATTTATCTCGCAACCTATCCATCTATTAGGAAAACTTTAAATGAATTTTTCGTAGCTGATTGAATTTGCAACGGAAAAATTATTTTGACATTAACTCCTCAGGTCGATGGTTTTCGAGACAATTCAAGAGAAGCTTTAAGAAAAGGTGCATTAAACGCTATTAATTTTGTCGCTTGGCTACTCAACTCAAATGAAAATGCCAAGTCCTGAAAGAAATTGAGTAATCAGAGTAATTCGCGAAGTATCAGAGCTCAAGAGGTCGCTTGATAATGAAACTCTTCGGCAGAAGTAGTAAAATCACGCTTTATAGTGGACTTTACGAGCTACAAAAAATGTTAATGGCCTTTTTTCGGAATTTCCCGCACCTTCGGACACTAACCTCCAGATCTATAAAAAAAACAGGAAGAACAATCGATTGTTCAGACCTGCGGTTATCGAATTCGTTCATCTCCTGAAATTTATTTGCGTCAAAAAACAATTTCATGAATGGTGGAAAAAATAATGAGAACTTTTTATGGAGGGCTCATAACTTTTAAGACTCTAATTTATTACCTAGATTATCATTAGTGCATAATTCAAATGAAATTCTAGAGAAAACAGGAGATCGAGACTTATCCTAATTTCTGAAATGACAGAACTCGAGAATTCTCTTGATAATGAGCGACCATAAAGTCACACTTTATAGACGATTTTATGAGTTGGAAAATATTCTCATGACTTTTTCCCGAGGAGAATTTTTCCGGTGTATTTTTAAAGCACCCCATAGAAATCCCCACAAATTTATCAAGTGAATCTACCCTCTCAAAAAAATCCCCCGATCAATAAGCCCCTCCATTGATCTCACAAACTCCCATACAAAAAATCACCACCACCCCCCGGAACCCATGAACGAAAATGCTGTCTCCCTCCTGACACAATTTTTCTTTCCCCGAGTCACACCCATTGCCCCACAAAGCCCTGATTACCCCATCTGAGAAAAGTGAGAACGCTCATAAATATTTCACCCACCTCTCATGCCGATGAAAGCGTGCAAAACGCCCTCAGGAAATCACCCATTTTCCCCAAAATTCTTACCTTGACGATCCGCTCGCACTCCCTAAACACCTCAAAACCTTTCGATATCTCACAATCTCCGATCGTAAAATGACACCTCAGAACTTCCACCGTATCTTCAATATCTCCCCCACGATAGGGCAAATTTTTATCACCAAATATCACCCTTTCGCCCTTTTTTCTTCTTGGAAAAAAAATTGTGAATTGCTGGAGGAAAAGACGCAGACGGCAGTGGGTTGAAACGATCACGTGAAACTGCTACTCGCGGTACGTCTGCGTACTTTTGTCAGCTATTGCCCCTGCGCACTTGCCCCCCGGAGATGATGCTCTTTGCGGCCAGTTCGAAATCGCGCAAATGTTCATTCGAAAATTTGAAAATAACAACAGCGAAAACTTGTTGAAAAATTGGCAAATTTTTTAAATCATTGATGAGAATGATTGCTCAGGCTTTTTTTATGGTTACGGCAATATTTACGGTATTATTTACGATATGATAACAGTGATAGAGACCGGTTGTTCGGACTGGGGATGAAGAGGAGATCCGTACAGTTCGACTTACCTATGTCGTGTGCGTGTACTACTCACTAGTTTGCCGGTGAAGCAGTGATGCCAGCCGTGGAGCCGGGAGGGTGTCACCCGGGGGTACTTTACGATCGATAACCCCGCGATTGCGCCCTCAATTCCAGGGGGAGGCGCGATCTGTTGGCTGTCGAGGAAAATCGGAGGCCGGTGGTTGACGCCATTAAAGCGACAACAGCGGCAAGACATCGGCTCGCCGGTGTGCAATTGAGTTGTACTACTCGTTGGGTGGGGGCAACCGTTTCTCGTGTTTATCTCGGGGAAGGGACAGATCTCTCACTTTCCGGAGAAAATCGAGGGTACTACCCGAGCCGATTTCTAATTGAAAGACATTGTTTTTTTTATATATATATATATATATAAGACATTGGGGGCATTTATTCTCGCTCCAAGACGAATTAAAAATGGAAACGTGGGAAAAGTGGGGAAAGCGGGAAAAATTTTTAATCCGATTTCCTACTATTTTTTTGGATTCTCATTTTTCTATTCATGCTCGTGCGAAAAAAAAATGGCTAATTACTCGTTAATAATGTATGGAAAAATTTTTCAGCCAATTAATCATTGAATTTCGTTGTATTGAATTTCAGTTATTCCTCCGCTTCGATACATACGAGAACTCCAATATAATCAAAGCGTCTTTAATTGAAATTTTAATGGAACATCACAGAGTTTAATTGCTTTGAATTTATTATCACAATACCGGAATCATTTCGGGAATTTAATGATGAATGTTTGCGATGCATAATTGAAAATGTAGAGGGTGATTCATAATCTGAGGATTCTGATGTAGAGCCGTACAATTGTTTGACATTGGCTTTTCATTTTTTCTCCAATTTAATTGCAATTATAACAATTTGCATAGCTTCATTGCTGGACGAAATTCAAACCCCCGCCACTTGTAGTCGATTGAAACGTCTTTGAACAAATTCGCTTCACAAATTTTTCACCGAGGAATATTTGGCAAGAACAATTTTCTCAGAGAATTTTAATAAAAGTGTCGCTTTTGATTCTGACAGACAGATGTAAAAGCTCATTCCCCTCCATAATGGACAAAATTATTGACAGGGGAGAGACGCAGACCTCTGGTTCGGAAACATTGGAAAGTTGAGGATTTCAAGTATTGGCAGGTCATTGGAACAAGGGTGTGACACGTGCGCCTGCTGTCGTAGACGTCGATACTAGTCCCCTAAGACCATGGAATCAAGAGTCCGGAGATTGTAATGGAAATGCGATGTTATCACGACACGAAGCGTCTTTTATTCAACCCATTGATCCCTTTTTATTCCTCTTTATTTGAGTACAACTGGAAAATGAAATTACGTCCTCAGACATTTCGACGATAAAATAAAAGATCATTGAAATCAGCAATAAGGATTTTAGGAATTTTATTGAAAATAAAGACAACTTGTAATTTTTCAGTGTGGAGATATTCTTTCAACAGCGGATAACACAAATATACCAACTCTGAATCCTGTAAATCAGGATATTTCATTTGACCTCAGAATTAGCACATGGACAGAATTACTTACAAGAATAATATGAGAATTATCTGAAGCCTATAATAACTCTACGTTAATCGAATATAATTTTCTCGGGAATGATACATCAAATTCCGTGAAAGAATTGCTGCTCGGGAGCGACAATCGAGAAATAATGTTTGAAAACAAGTGATCCAAGTACGTCGGAGGAATTTAAAAATTCTTCTAATACCGCATTACATAGTTCCTTATCACTAGACATTAAATCGACGATTTGTAAATGACCATAAAAATGCTGGCATTGCCTCAACTATCCTATCAATGTTCCCGGATGTATATTCTTCTGAGTATATGTTGAAAAATTCTAGTTCACTCATCTTAAATCGGATCCTCGCGAGCAATTATTGAATCAATGATAGAATTTTCTGATTATCAAAGGAACCACAGATCTGAAGAATTTTTGGATTAATATCATCGACGTGTTGGCAAACAGAATTTAATTTCCTATTCCACAAATTACCCACTGTCTAGCCTTCACCATTTGAGCACATCAATTCCCAAAGAAAAATTCTTCCCTTTCTGATAATCATAAGCAATTAAACTCTGCAGTGGAGAAGTAAAATGGAACAATTTCATTCGGTTAATAGATAAGCTTTCGAGAAATATCGGGATCCGAACGAGATGGCGAATTTTTTGTAGAGAAAAATCCGAAAAATCTCCTTCAGATTAAGAAATTCGCCCTAAACTCGTTTATGGAGCAGATAAACCTGTCACCCTTTACCTCTTCATCCCAGACTTGTACCATTAACAATGGATTTATTCCACAAAACGTCGAAGACTCGAAAACGTATTGACAATATCCCCTCATATAGCCACAATGATTAATCAGAATTTGTACATAATTTTCGGTGTTTTATCGATAAACTTGGCATATTCATGGGTCACAGCAATGACTGGATTCAACCCCCACATCTGCCTCTGACGACAACTCAAATAAAAAGACACAAGTGAAAATAAATCACTACAAACGACAGAAAAGACGAAACCAATGGATAACAATGTCATCGACTATATATTTCGGTATACAAAAGAAGGAAATCGAAAATAATAATAAAAAAAAAACATGAGTGAGGCTGTGTCAAAGACGTAATATTCTCACGTGTAAATCTTCTCCAGTGGCTTTCAACAATTGAAATGATAAAACATGATTGATGGGATGAGGACTTGAGAGATTAATGTTTACTTTTTTCATTACAGTTATCAATAAATCAGCTATAAGTGACAACAGTCTTATGGGCGGATTGATCGAGGAGGGGTCGAATGCCAGTTCACCACTCATCCCCTGGCAATTAAACATGATCATATGTACAATTTAATATTTCACTTCCAGTAGGCTTTGCATTCCCCTCGTACTTTCTGTCCTCTAATCATCGATCACAACCACCAACATTACACCAATTATTCTGTTTTCCGTTTCATCGAAATACATTTAACTGAATGATTATCATTTCTTCATGATTATTATGTCGTCTATATTATGCCCTCTCCACGTATCGTCGTTTGACAATTAATTCTCCTTTCCCTTTAATCTTCGTTCATTTAGGTTTTGATGATTTATCATAGTGGCTGGAATTTTATTCACGAGTGAATTTATTTCCAGTCCTTTGACGGATCAGTCGTCACGTCACCATATTGCCAAATTATGCGGTGATGCTTCTTCGCATCGTTCTCAGCTGATTTGAAGTCATCGTACTAAAAAAAAAAAAATGGTTAAAAATGTTTATAATCAAGATCAAAGAAATCATTTGAATGCATACCACTTTGTTAGTGATCTTTCTGCTCGTCACATGGAGATATCCCTCAGAAACGATGGCCTTGACGAGATCGTCGTTGGACACCGGATCAGCGAGGGTAGCAGCTGGAAGCCCATTGGTTCTGTAAGCAACGTTCAACAGCAGCGTCTTGTCAGCCAAATCAACTTGCAGAGCCTCAAGTGCAGCTTTGAGATCATCTGCATCCTTGGGTGCCTCCACATAAGCCAGCACATGCTCATGAGCAAATGCCTTCTCCCCAGAAAATCCAGCTGGCAGTGGTGCAACCCTGGTGACATTTATCACCTCCCTGTTTCCATAATCAATATAAAAGACACTGACGTTGCTCCCAGCGACTTTTTCCACTTTCGCTCTGTACCACTGATCATCTCCACTGAACTTGGCAGCAACGAGCTCTCCCCTCTTGGGGCTGTACGCCCCAGGAAGTGGTGGATTTTCCTCAAGTTCCTGGCGCAATCTCGTGAGAAGTCCCTCGACCTGGCTGCGCTGATCGACATACTGCGCATAGAAATGCAAATCCTCAGTGATCTCGGAGACGACGACCTCCTTTGCCTCAGTCTTCCTCTCAGGAACTTCCTTCTCCTCCTCGATCTTCTCAGTGTCTGCCTCGACCTCAGCCCGATCCTTCCAGATATTCAATTTCTTCGCTTTGGCACGTTCCTCAGCACCTTTCACAAGCTTCAGGTACTCCCCATTCTCGGTGAAGCTGGAGACCTCAGCGAGTCCCTCCTCGACGAGAGAAACAGCCACATTAACACCATCCACGAAGAGCCATCCAATGAATCCACTGCCTTTGCTCTCCATGCTCTCCACCATGATCTCCACGTCCTTCTGGAAAGTCTGCTCTTTCATGAAGTTGTAAGCCTCCTCTCCATACTTCTCTCCCTCGATTATCCCTCCACCCTGCTTGGGCCTGGATCTCCTGGGGGCCTTGACTCCTGCCAGTAAAAAGGTGATCAAGCAGTGCTCCTTTGGTAAAAAGAGCTTGAGCCTCGAGCCACTGGTGACGAACTCAACAACAGCTTTGATACCTCTGGTTCTCTTCAACGCAGACAGATGAAACTTAGCCTTGGATGAATCATTAGAGAGATCAATGATCCTCTGAGGAGCTGTATCCTTCTTTGCATGCAATCCATGCCCCGACTTCTCAGCCTTACTCTCAGCAGCCAGGAGCTCATTGTAATGCTGTGGCCTTGAGTCGTCGTTTTGCTTGTACCTGACGACTGTCGCGAGTCCCTTGGATACCATTGCTTCGGCGATATTGACTTTACCCACGAGAATCGTGCAGCAAATTTTTTCTGGATACTGGTCCTTAGCTGGTTGGGTGTAATCCTCGATTACCTTGACCTGCTTTCGAATGAGTTTCTTCCTGAGGAACTCCCTGGCCTCGTACATGAAGGGAATGTCGTAGAGTGGACGGAAGTCCTTGGGGCGCGGTGCGTCCTTCTCCTCACCAGCCTTTTTCGGTCTCTGTGGAGGCCTGATGCTGCTCAGGAAGACCTTCTTCACTTCTCCATTCTGATTTTTCACGATCATTGCATCTGCACTGGTTATCTCAACGACAACAGCATTGTACTCCTTCTGGGGAGCTGTGGGCACCCAATCGCGCCACAGACGTAGACGTTTTTCCTTCGCTGCTTTCTCCGCCATGTAGAGCTTATCCACTGAGGACTTGGTGATGTTCATTGTCCAGCCAATGCACTTGGCGAATCCCTCCTTCAGCAGTAGCTCGGCGATGTTTCCATTGGGATGCAGAATCGTTCCCACGAAGTTGTTGTTGTTGGCTGCCTCGAGGATTATCTCGACATCTCGCTGGAGGATACGACACTCCACGAAAAATATTGCTTCACGTGCAAATGGTTCTTCCTCGTCGGATCTTATCTGGGGACAGCGAATACCTGAGAGCATCAGGGTGACGTGGTAGAAGTCCGGGAGCAGAAAAGCCTTCACTGTTGAACCATCTCTGACGTGCTCAATTATCGCTTTCACTGGCTTGCCGTTGTATTTGTCCACTAGGGAACGGGGATTTTCAATTGTCCATTTAACGTCTCGAATGTGCTCCGAGGATGGTGCGCCAGAGTGCAAACCCTTGCCCGCTGATTTTGCCGCATCCTCCAGCTCCATCAGACGCTTTTGCGTCTCACTTGGGTTTCGAACATCGCGTTTTACTGTTGCCAGACCTTCTGAGACCAGCAATTCAGCGATATTCTGACCCGTATTCTTGTCTGGAGGAAATTCAAATTGCATGGAAAATCGTTTTCAAATAAAAAATAAAAATAAATATATTGTAGTGGCGGGTTATTGAATTATGAAGAACTTAGCGTACCTTTTCCCAACCAAACAGATCCGTATTTTCTCGTGGTGGCTGCCTTCTCTTCAGCGAAAACCACTTCCTGGCCGATGAGCTTCTTCCTCAGAAATTCTCGGGCTTCCCAAGCCCATGGTTTATCTCTCTCCTCATCGGCATTAGGGCCACCTCGTCTCCCTAGTTTAGGAGCCGAGATATTCGACAAGGAGATTGTCACCTCATTTGGAGGCTTACCTCGAGGAATGTCCCTGATTGTCACGGTATCACCAGATACAATCTATTGGAATGGATCATCAATATTGCAGTTTTGAAAACGCCAATCGAAAGACCAATACAAATCGCTTGAAAATTATATAAATTACACCGTTTCCAATGAATACGCGTTTTTTATTTTTTCGTTTTGGTGTAACAACGCAGTGTTGAGGTAATATCGAAATACAATTTTTATTCATATTTTATAACGGTAACAATGAATGTTTTCCAAATTTTGTGATAATTGTCATAACTGCCGGTGGATTTATTGGATGGGAATTCTGAATTTGGAAATGTTCGACTGGAGGAATACGAAAATACCAAATAAAAAATTCTGCTTACAATAAAATTAATATCAGGGAAACAAATAGTCTCGTCAATACTCGCAATGATAATTCAAAAACAGTGATCACACAACAGGTCAACCCCTTCCCTCCCCCCGGGGCGCCCCAAGCGTCCCACCAACAGCTCATTAGCTACGTTAATTCACCTGAATATCATGTCCCTTGACAACAAATGTAATTACAATAATACGACATAATACTCGGAAAAATCAGAGGAATTGTTGGAAAACGAGGACCATATGTCAAGGACTTGAGTTTACGAATGCCAGCTGGTTCATTCAGATAAACACAAAGTGCTCCAGAATCACCAGGAGGTGGACTCCAGAGGTTGATGAAAAAAAAAACCATTTTCATTGGGAATAAAAATATAAAAAATGCCCGGAAACACTCACCAATTTCACAATACCGACTTTGGTGTCCACATGCGGCGTGCTGTTAGGAGTACTCATGATGACTATTTCAGTGATGATATTCCGGTTTTTCAGTAGGTTTTTCTATTAAAGTGGGAGAGAATCAACTCGATTTGCCACGAGTTAATTGCTTCGATGTGTTGTTAATCCGAAAATAATGGTGAAAATAAAAATACACGAGTTATTTGACGGTAAAAAACCACTACTCGGTTTTGGTATAATTCAGAAATTAGTTGGCATGTTGAGAGAGTACTGACTGGTGGGTTATACGGATATTATTCCACGATCAACCACGTACTAGGTGGAGGGTCCACCAGCGCAATCTACAAAATGCATCACTACTGATACTTTCGTTTTGCCACGATGCTGATGTGGCAACACGCGACACTCCACCGCACGATCCACGCGCCCTCTTGTCATTACCCCATCAACTCTCCTGAAAAATTCCACTTCCGGAATTTTTGAAATTTCACATACCTCATTTTTTATAAAAAACGGATGAAAAATGAATCCATGCTTCCTCATCGATTTATTCAAAAGTAGATTAAGAGGGGATAAATTAAGCATGAAGTCATCAGTCATCTTAAATTTCTTTCTTTATTTCTATTATTTCCATATGTATAAATATACATACAGCAGTCAAGAATAATGACGAATTAATCTTCCAAACTTATAATATGTACAGATTGAATGCCATTTAATTTTAATCGATTAACTGAAGAATAACGAGTCCCCATTTCCCTCAACTCTGAATCACCTGAATTAATTAGGGGAATCGTATTTTGTGTCGAAACGTTTTAATTGGATCTGCTATCCTCGTTGAGAAAATTCATTTAAACTTTCAACCGAACCGGAATTATTAGGGACAGGAAAACTTGCATTATTCAATCTGGCAAAAATAAATTCACAGTTATTGAGTTTTACACACCAACTTTAGATAGTTACGAACACGGAGTATTCTCGATGGGATTGCTCGTCCATCGAAAATCATTGAATTCATTCGACAAATCATGGGGCTATTGGTTATTGTTAATAGTCGGGTACAGAATCGTAATTGTAGGATGGCTGCTCGGTGCGGCCCTCGGGAATCCTGTATTTCTCCTCGACTTCACTGTCATCTTCGTATTTCACTTGTGCGAAATAAGGAGTCGAAGGGGGATAAGCGTTTGCATAATCAGGATAGTCTGCAAAGAAAAATTATCCGTTCCAATAACTCGAATTATGTTTTGTTCAATTGATTTTTTTAATTGAAAAAAAAATGGTCTTTACCGTCCATGGGCTCCTCCTTGATGCGGATCTCCTTGGTATCCTCATCAGGCACCCTCTCCCTGTCCTTCCTATCCCTGCGCTCACGATCCCTGTCCCGTTTGTCCCTCTTCCTCTCGCGATCGCGATCAGAGCGCTCAGTACTCCGGGACCGTCTCCTCTTTCGCTCCCTCTCCCTGTCACGGTCTCTGTCCCGATCACGCCTGTCACGTGTTCTCTCCTCCCTCTGGATCTCCTCAATTTCGGGCTCAAGGGCCCTATCTCTACTGCGCCGACGTTTTCGATCGCGCGATCTACTGCGCGAGCGTCTCTTGCGCTCGCGAGATCTCCGACGCTCTCTATCAACTCGATCACGATCACTTGAAAAATTAAATGAAAAATTTTTATTAAAATTATTCGATTATTCATTAATATTACTCATTATTTACCGTTCTCTGTCCATGCCCCTTCCAGACGCTTCCCTCTCCCTCTCTAATCGATATCTCTCCCTCTCCCTCTCATTATCCTCTCTTCCTGAATGTTTGATATTAACATCAGGTCCACCTCTTCTGGTACCACCGAGTCCACCCCCAAGTCTCCTTGGCAGCCATCCCTTAACAGTCCTTGCACGCTCCACATCCACCAAAACTCTGCGACCATCTATTTTCTTACCATCCGCATGCTTATACGCAGCTAAAATTACCAATGGAAATATATAGTTCCATCTGTTCCATTTTATAATCACCTAATCAGGATTATCGATATTAATCACTAAAACAAATCATCTAGGCTTTGTCAGATGCAAGGTAATAATTTTCATATTTTTATTTCTGAAAACAAAATAATAATCAAAGTGCTGGAGTTTCAGAGCTTAACAATATCTCATTAAGAATATTTTTCTTCAATGAATAACAATTTTAAACGAATTCATTCACAATTGATTATCAACTTCAAAATATTGGAGAATTATATTACATCAAAATATAAAAAAATTGTGTGCATAATTGTTATTAAGTTAAGAACCATATTCTCAATTTGAGGATCATTAGCAGCGAAGTGGTGAACCGTAATGAATCTGTAAAGGATAACAAGTCGACTTGATTCCTAGAGTGGAGTTTTCGAGAAATAGGTCTGAATCGAAGAGAAATACAATCTCGCTATTTCTTTCTAATTCCAAGATATTCCTGGAAAACTTGTCTATTTGATAAGAGAATTGTCGCCCTTTATCACATGACTACAGAATTTTGACGAATCAATACCAATCCATCACTTCCTCATTGAATCCTCTCGATTTGCTCGGTGTCGTTGGGAGTACCTACTCAATGTATCACCGATTTTACCTGGAGGAAAATAAATACCCATTCCTCACACATCTTACCGAATATCAATGACCCGATGAGTTCATCAACGATTACCAGCAAAATAAAATAAATTGGCTTATCGAAACTTTCCTTGAAAGTCCCTTCACCTTACATTAGGTTCTAGGTATGTATTGTTGGAGTAAATTAGAGAAAAAAAAAATGATATCATACAAAAAATACCTACCGCGGCTACTTACGTACGGAAGTTAACACAAAGCTTTAAATATCTGTATTTGTTTAATATACTCAACCCAATGTTCTCATTGTTTTTTTTTAAAGGAGACCCCGCTGAACTTTCCAAGTCCCCGTTAGAACCAAAAAATTCATTGGGGGAAAGATGGAAATTGTTCAATGATCAACTTCAATGAATTCCTGGGTTATACGAGGTGTTGGATAATTCATCACAATCTCCCCTTAATATTATTGAATACTTGTGCAAGTGACACGCGAGGAAGGCAGACCAGCGCGTACGCTATTCATTTGGCAAAGCTCCCCAGTCTTCGGTATGTTCGTTTCAATCTCCAAAGAGGCAATTACCTGGTGCGCTTTTATATTATTCATTTTGAGTTACTTACAGAGACCAACCGTGCGCATTTTTCGATTTTTATTTTTAGATTTTTAAATGTAAATTGACTCTAGTTAAATTAATTAAAAAAACGCTCGTCTCAGGCTGAGGAGAGGAAGTTACTCACATTTTCTCGTCATATCATTCATTCACATACTTGAAGTATGTTGAGTAAGATTCATAAATTGAGTAGTAAGATTTGAATATATCAACAGTGCCAATTGATATTTTTCCGATATCTTCCAAAACACAAATATTTCCCTGTGGGCAGCTGCCCGAGTGATTTCTCCGTTTAATAATCTCATTCAATCCTCAAGTTGTCAAAATAATTGGATAATCTGATAACTGGATTCTTTCTCAAGGCAAGGGTAAACAGACTCTAACAAACGTTTTTTTTTTCTTTTTTGTTGTATGTTGGATCTTACCACACATACAAACCTATCATATTCAGGCAGGTTCAGGGATTTTGCATGGAATAGTGAACGGCACTAGTTGCCGGCAGCGGCCACCACGCTGTACCAAGAACAAGATAAAAACTGTATTAATCATGACAGCCAATAATTTTTTCTGTTTTTGTGTTATTAAATTGTTACTGCTTTATCTCAATGGCAATTGTCATCTGATCTGTTACTGGGTGTCTACTCTTTTACCAATTGGGATTTCGCCTGCATTGGATGGATGGTGGGTATGACCGTGACGTTTCCCCGGTTTAAATCACTAGTCTGGGACCCCCGCCCTCGACAAAATTACTAGCTGAGAGTGACGCTATACAACGAGAGCACCAAACTCAAGGGCCAATCGAGGTTCCTTTGCTTTTTTTCAAGGGTTTTCTCTGCTCTTTTTATTCGTTTGGGGGTGGGGGCTTTGCTGGGTGATTTACTTACAGTGCATGTCCCTTTCGTGCTCATACTCAATGAATGCGTACCCCCTTGGCTTTCCATTGATTGTATTATGAATTACCACAATCTGCAATTCAAGGAAATTCATTAGTTTTATTTCCTCATTTTTGGAAAATTCATTAAAGTATTTAATAAGACAATTTGTGTTGAATACCTTCTTTACTGGTCCATAAACCTCGAATTCCCTTCTCAGCTTTGATTCTGATGTATCGTAGTTCTGAGAACAAATGGTGTAAAGAATTAATTAACAAGTGCGATTTTTTGGAGGAGCAATGAGAGGTTTATAGGTGATATTTGGAAAACTTACGATTCGAGCAATGAAGAGGGTTTTGAAGGGGTCTGCAGTGACGTTAGGAATTCCAGCTGGATCCCAAACAGCAATTTCCTGTTCCAATTTATAAGCAACCTGCTCTGCACGTTCACGCCGTCGTCTTTCTAGTCTCTCCTCTCTGGTCTCGACGCGAACTGGAGGCGGTGTGTCTTTTGGGTCCTGCAAATATTAATAACGTACAGAGATGACTCATTTGTCTCCTGCAGAATATACCCTAAACATTCTGACAAAAAAAAAATAAATAAAAACTTCATGTCGAATTCCCCAGGCCAAAAACCCCAACCCGTAAAAAATCGATACGAAGCTGAATAATTAATTTTTAAAAATTACCTCAAAATACTTGAGGAATGCCCCGACGCCAAGATACCCTCCATTCTTTTTCTCATGCGGTAGTTTGCTGACTGGTGGTAGATAGGGTATTGGATCCCTAGGTGCGAAGAGAGCCAGCAAATTCGGTGGCAAAAACTGCGTCATTCTTCGCACTTAAACTTCACTTCCATTTAAGAATAATCACGCTCAATAAAATTATACTGCTATTTGTAAAACGTCTGGATCACTGCGTGGGACTACACAAAAATCTAAAATGGCGGGTGTCGCCGACAGTGAGTCCCCCTGGGCCTGGTAAATGACCTTCCCTCAGTAGCATTGCGTGTGGCGCCCTGCCTCTCTTCTGGGGTCACTCACACCCCCATCCCCTGATTGGTCGCGCCATCAGCTGATATTTCGCGCGACTTTATGAATTCCCCGAACTCAAAAATCTCGGATTTGCTCGTCGAATTTTTTTTTCAAAAATTAACACACTATCCAATTATCAAAAAACACGAGAAACTGGACAAAATAATCGCAGTAAAATCCTTCAGAATAAAAAGGCCACAGCTTCTGCTACTGAGCACCCACTTATGCCCTTTTTCCACGAGAAATTAGTGACCTGGAGACTGGCGTGAGGCGATTGGTTCATACGCGATCGGCTGATCCAGTAGTTGAGTGGTTCATTTGACGTCTTTCGATAAGACCCAGTCATTTAGAAAAGTCTAAACGAACTGCTGCCACTTGTTGGACCGATCACTCTCACCAGTGATAATTACTCACTTATTTATTCAGGCTATTTGAAATTCCAGTGAACAACCATGAGTGAGGCGTAAGTAATAATCAATTAATCAACATTTTCATCCGTTTAATTGAATCGATGAGGCAAAATTTGCTGGAGCTCAATTAAATTGTCATTATGGATCAGAGTTGCAGATATTGCACTGATCGGTTTAGCTGTGATGGGCCAGAATCTCATATTGAATATGAATGATCATGGATTCGTCGTTTGCGCTTACAATCGTACCACCACGAAGGTCAAGGAATTTCTGGATAATGAAGCCAAGGGCACCAAGGTCGTTGGGGCTTATAGTCTCGAGGAGATGGTCAGCAAACTCAAGAAACCACGTAGAGTCATGTTACTTGTTAAAGGTGAGTAAGCATTTGTTAGAAATTGTTGGCTAGGACTGACTGGAGGAATGGAATGGAGGTAATCACTGGTTTTAATAACGGCGACGAGGTGATACGGTGAGAAAAGACGATTATATTATAACTGCATTTTATAAAGAAATATCGAAGGATCTTCTCATCGGAAATTTAATGAGCCACAAAAAGAAATGGTCAATGTCTCTACAAAATTGATACGACATGAATATCTGTAAGAGACTATTCTCAAGGTCATACATAATTATGAATTCGTTAGAGAAAATATATCGTCATCGTTCGGTATATCGTGGAATAGAAAGAACAGAATAAATTAGTCGTTCGTATTTTTCTGGAGATATTATGTTGGACAATTTCCTGGTTTGTTCAGCGGGTCCTGCAGTGGATGCCTTCATCAAGAATCTAGTTCCCCTGTTATCCCCTGGGGACATAATAATCGACGGTGGAAACTCAGAATATCAAGACACAAAAAGACGATCAGAAGAGCTGGAGAAGAATAATATTCTGTACGTGGGTTGTGGAGTCAGTGGAGGTGAGGAAGGTGCGAGATACGGTCCCTCGTTGATGCCTGGAGGCAACCCCAAGGCATGGCCATCGATAAAACCAATATTCCAGGCAATCTGTGCCAAGGCCGATGGTGAACCTTGCTGCGACTGGGTAGGCGAGACTGGAGCTGGACATTTTGTTAAAATGGTGCACAATGGTATTGAATATGCCGACATGCAGCTCGTCTCCGAGGCGTATCAATTAATGAGAGATGGCCTGGGGTTAAGCCAAGGGGAAATGGCTAGTGTTTTTGACGAATGGAACAGAGGGGAACTGTCGTCTTATCTCATTGAAATAACTCGGGATATACTCAATTATAAAAATGATAAGGGATATTTATTGGAGAGAATACGAGATACTGCTGGACAAAAGGGAACTGGAAAGTGGACAGTTATTGCTGCGTTGGAATATGGAGTACCAGTCACTCTCATTGGAGAGTCTGTCTTTGCCAGGTGTTTGTCTTCGTTAGCCAGTGAAAGGAATGAAGCCTATTCGATATTCAATGATGAAAAGATCGAGGCCTTCCGCGGGGATAAGACACAATTCCTTCAGCAATTGAAAAATGCCATTTACTTAGCGAAAATTGTTTCATACGCACAGGGCTTCATGCTCCTCAGGGATGCTGCTAAAGTCAATAATTGGAACTTGAATTATGGCGGGATTGCACTCATGTGGAGGGGTGGCTGTATTATTAGAAGGTAATTTATATTTAAATGAAGATAATTTAATGATGCGTGAGAAAAATAGGTGAATTGATAAATTTTAATTTTACAGTGTATTTCTCGGGAACATTAAACAAGCATTCGAGAAGAATCCGAAATTATCAAATCTACTTTTCGACGATTTCTTTGCCAAAGCTGTGAAGAGGTGTCGGTCGAGCCTACGAGTCGTGTTATCAACGGCAGACACTCTTGGAATTCCTACCCCAGTCCTCTCAGCTGCTCGTAATTTCTACGACAGCATTCGTCGCAATCGTTTGCCAACGAATCTCATTCAGGCACAGAGAGATTATTTCGGTGCTCATACTTATGAACTTGTGGACGATGTGGGACGATTCGTCCACACCAATTGGACTGGCAAGGGCGGCAATACTTCGGCCTCAACTTATGACGCTTGAGAATTCATTGTTAATAATATGGGGTAACACTAGGGTTAATGTTAATGGAGTACAAAATGAACAAATTTACCTCGGTCGTCTATTTAAGAGTATTCTATATTTTTGTATGTCAATGAGTTGAGTTGACAGAAATAAAATTGTTGAAGAATACTTTTTAAAAGAACAGGAAAGTAAACTGAAATACTTGTGCATGGGTTAATTCTTTTTTACCATCTTTATTTTTCCATATTTAATCAATATGTATTACAAGGTCTAATCGATAATCAATAATATATTTAAAAATCACAGTCTTAGTTGAAGAATTGACAGCAGAAAATACTATCTGTTCTCTATTCATATACATAATTTTTTTAAATTGTTTTGTTTGATACTTATTAATGTGCTCCATGTACATATGAAAATACGTACGCACGCATACAGCGAACAAAAATTTAATCAATTAATATTTGTATAACTCGACTTATCATAGTCAGCGGATAATTTCAGACGTACGCTCTAAAATTTCCATTTCATCTCGGATATGCAGTATTTATTTTTTTGTGCGTATGATCGTAATACGCGTTAAATTAATATTGGAATTAAATATAACAGTTTTACAAGTGCCTGATAAAATAATTACATGAACACCATTTTTGCAATTGTAAAGGTCAGTATATGATTACTGACTGAAGAAAACAAAAACGTTAACCTCAATTATAATCGTTTAAATTCATCGACGATGAAGCCAACGATCTCTCAAATATTATATTACACAAATATTTACAACACTTTTCCACCTCGCGTGGCCATTCTCTTCCCTACATAAAAACAATGACAGACAAAAAAAAATTGGAATGTACGTGTAAATAATGATTTATCTAAATCTCTGAATGGGTTAATTCAATAGTTTTGGCGTTAATCAAGTGTTGTCAGCTACTGACGTATTTACATATTAATTCCAGCTATTTACAACGATTAAACCCAATTGAAGTCTAGTGAATAACGGTATCAATGTCGCCATTAACACAATAAATCCGTTAATTTCATGATAATTGATTGAAACGTAACAATCTGTACACAGTGTCACTCGAAAGCCGATGGGGTGACGTCAACCAAAATGCATATGCGTATGTATACATCGTAAAATGATGAAATAATTCAGCACGTGATTATGATTTAGGCGTTAAACAATCATCTGGATAATTTCTAGTGCACGTACGTGTACGTAAATAGGTATATATACATATATGCAGTATGCACGATGCAATACTGATTTTGAGTTGGTGTTTTGAGACACCAGGAATAATCATTACAAGGAATGTACATAATAAAATGTCAAATATTGGAGATTTACGTGCTAACCCTTTGGTTGGCATTAAATAATATATTTGACTTGGACACAATTGCGTGTCTTCTTGTCAAACGGTGATGCAAGAAATCAATTGTTGACATAGTTGACTGTACTGCAACTGATCACCACTTATTCGTCGCATTTTAATTCCCTTAACTTCTCGCTCCTCAGATTCGCATACTCTCAATTCAATTTGTACACCTCCAGGATATTCAAGACTCAGTCCACCACCAGCGACCTCCTGTCTTGAGAATATAAATCCTTTTGGTGGTGCATGTGCATCTATTATTTGCTTAACACGACCTAGTATAGCCTCTGAATTGAGACGACTCGATTCATCGGATAATGTTACTTCTACCTCGGTTGACACTGGTGAACTTACTGAATGTAATCGACCTATTCCTCGAGTTATGCTCGGACGAGATGGATCACAGGGCTCTGAGATTATGAAACTTGGTAGTGGACTGTAGTGAGGAAAATTGTCCTCCAGAGAGTCCACTGATGGTGATGGTGATGGTGTACATCCGACAAGGGTTACCTGACCCCCTAGCACATCAGTCACCGATATTTGAGGTGGTATTTTCTTGAGTAACACATTTTGCTGCTGTTAGAATTTCATTTAAAAACTTTTAATGGCTATTGCAATTTAATTACCCTGAGCATATCAACCGGGTGTTCCTCCTGAATCATATCGAGAGCAGGACTATTGCTCGGTGAATAACTCACTGGCGTTGTTGCTGGTGATCTGTGATGACGTAGGGGACTCAAATCCAGAGGGGCTGTAGGTGGCTGTGTGGGAGTACCATGAACAATACTCCCTTGCACCGGTGCTGTTGTCAAACCACTGAGACCTACGCAATGTCCAAATGTCAATCTCCATTTCGTCATAACAAGTCATTGCCAATACAATCTCAAATATAATTTCTAATAAACTATTATAAACCATTGGCATACTACTTGTGACTTTAATCCATTAACTAATTTACCCTGAGTGATGGCTGCAACCCCTCGTTCATGAACTGGAGAGCCTGGAATACTGGCTGGACTGTGCGAGGGTGAGGCAAGTCTCTGGAGCTGCTGATACTCTTGCTGAATGGCCTGAATGCCAGGGCCAGGCGGACATGAGCCCTCAGACGCTCTTCTCACAGGTGAATATCGTTCGGCTGCAACGTGAGTAGTAGGTTCTTTATAAGAATCTCGGCTGCCTGCTGTAAAATCGTTAGTCCACTCATGACATTATTTCACATTTATCAATGATTAATACTCTCATGGCGTATGATCTATTTACCACACTCATTAAACACAGCTTAATGAAACTATTTGGACTCGAAGGATCGTCAAAACTAATTGGTGCTAAACGACATTTACCAGCTCCAACAGGATAGAGTGAGGTTTTCTTGAGATGAGGAAGCCCAGCTGCCCTTAAATGACAAGGCAGCAGTCTCGATGGTAGATATGCCCTATTCATCCTAGCTTCCACCTCCATGACCAGTTCCGGATTTATAACTACATGCATTGTGTTTACACCGAGGCATGGTACAAGTGCAGCCGGATACAACAAACCATGCAGATATTTTTCAAATAATACAAGGAAAACCAAAACAAAAAAAACAGAAAACAAATAAACACACAGTTATGGTAATAACAAATAAAACATGGTGTCGCAGATAAATATGCTTTAATCAAGAATATCATAATAGACTCGACCATTTGTGGATCGTTCAGTTGGGAATTAAATAATTCTTGATTCGAGAATATTTCAGCAGCAAAGGGATGAAATGAGGCAAGTGGTTTTAGAAATTTTCCTGTCCTTCCCGTGCTTATCAGTTAAATCTGTATTATTGATCGTAAATAACTGAACAGTAGAGAGTTGTAAAGATAAGAGATATTGTTTGTCTGACCGTTTTTCTTAATTTAAGACTGATTTGATAAATGTGTCAATTACGTATGCATGAATGAATGATATACGTGAGAGGGTGCAGTGTCAACTAGTCTACATTTGTCATGGCTGTCATAATTTAATCACAACAATTTGGATGAATACGAGGAGAGGCAAACACCAATTGTATATTTCACACGTGAATAACTTGAATGATTGAAAAAAAAAATTATTACCTGGCCGTTGCATAACAGCTGTGAGACCACTTCGTCGTCTTCTGTCACTACCACTCGTTGAACTTGCACTACTTCCACCACCACTACTATCCGGGCTCCCTGTACTTACACTCAGTGTTTGAGAGCACTGACCCAACGTGGGGCTTCCACCCTGTGAACAATCCAATTGCCATTTAATTCTATAATCGAAAAAAATAAAAGAGAACAAGCACTAATTTATCTGAGTGTTTTATACAGATTGCAAGTGTTCTCTGCTGCCTGGCTGACTCCAGCCACTCTCTTCACCATTTCCTGTCCCATTTCCATGCTGCTGTTGGTAGAATACGTGTAGATTTGCTCCACCATCCGATGCTCTCCTCCCAAAACTGCTCGCTGTTTAAAAAAAAGGAATATTCCATTTTTAGTACAACCCCAAAATTGATTAATGAGAAAGGGAAGGCTGATAATATAGAATTGTTATTTAATTAATCGAAATTGATCTACGATGTTTATCGGAGAGAAAACTTACTGGCTCCCATGACTGGCGGTGGTTTTAACAAATGCTGATCCTTGATTTGGAAATTCTGTGGCGGTTGATTTTGCACCAGTGGAAGATTCAGTGGTAAATTAGTCTGCGGCAGCATATGTGGGTCAACATTGCACTGCATCATTGGCAAAAGGCCAAGAGGCGGATATCCACCAGGTGCATAATTACAGGCGTAAGGATAGGGCGATGATGGCTGGTGGGCCGTGTCACCAGGTCCCACAGTGTGTCTCCTGGTGGCATGATAGGGTGTGCCAGGCGGTAGATTGAGTCCAATTCGCTCTGATTCACACTCCGCCTCAGTGTCACCGAATTTCTCTAACTGGTGAGCACCGTCAGCCATATAATCCCCTGGCAATGTCTGCATACTTGGTAAACTCTGCATTGAGAATTCCAGACGGTCAGCGAGCAAATGATAAATTGCCGATACGTGATCAAACGCGTTTCCTTGTATGGATTTTAATAGAGTGTCTGCGTCCAGACCAGGCAGTCTCAGCATATTCTCTATTACCATTTGATTAATAGGCTGAGAGAGAGTTGTTTCAGGACTGCACCTGGAGAATTGGTTTTTTTTTTCGTCGTGAAAAAAATTATTCCATCGAATTGCGAGATAAATAGCAAATTTATCTAATTATTTCCCAATTCCTCACAGAAATTTCGGTGTGTCTGTTAGTTTCCGAGATAGTGAGCGAAATGTGGGAATAAAATGAAAGTGAAATAATTACCCTCCAGGTTCAGGCTCAGTGAGTCCATCTCCACCCATCCAGGGATGTGTTAAAATCTGTATAATACTGAGTCTCCTCTCAGGCTCAACAACAAGCATATGCCTTATCAATTTCTCACACTCGGCCGACATGAAAAATGGTATCCTAAATTTTCCTGAGATAACGACAGCCCGCAACAACTGCATAGTGGGTCCATCAAATGGCAATGCACCGCACACTAATACATACAATACAACACCCAAACTCCACACATCAGTTCTTGGGCCGTCATAATGTTTACCCTCGAATATTTCGGGAGCTGCGTAAGGCGGTGAACCACACCAAGTGCTCAAAGGCACACCCGGTGTATATTCATTACTGAATCCAAAATCAGCGAGTTTAATATTATTGTCTGCATCAAGGAGTAGATTCTCAGCCTGAATATGAAAGAAAAATAAAAAAACAAACGAAAAGATTAATGTGCTAATTGACAGAATAAACGGTGTGTCATGTGAGAATCCTCAAGGTAAACAATAAATAAATAAAACTCATATTTCAACCTTAAGATCTCGATGAACGACTCGATTCTGGTGGAGATAGTGAACAGCCTGTACAATCTGTTTGAATATTCTTCTCGCCTCAGACTCTGACATTCTCCCATTACGCACTAGATGATCAAATATTTCACCCCCAGGTGCATACTCAGTAACCAAATAAATCATTTTTTCAGTCTCCATTACTTGATAAAGCCTGATAATGTGGGGATGCCGCAGTCTCTTCATTATGTGAACCTCACGAAATATTTTAGCTAAATTCTCCTCACTGAGTTTTGTCTTGTCTATTATCTTGATTGCAACCTGAAATATTGTGGATAAATCATTATCATCGAACTATTATCAAACACGATATGTTCCCATTGGTCTAGGATTGACCTGGAAAGGTCTTTTTGCACGTTGAAGACGAAAAAAAGTGTCTCACAGCGGTGGATAATAACGAGAATTTATAAATTTCACTCGTTCATGTGGCTCTATGTTATCTAGTGGAGATAGACAAACTATCGTATTACAATCATCTCTTGCTTCCGGTAATTACCGTATCTCCAGATTAATAGAGCGATGATAACGATAAAGTATTGAACCACATGACAATCGAGGGATTTTCGTGGTAGGAATCCAAGTGTTATGGGATTTAAATTGATCGAGTGATTCATTGAATGAGTGGACTGAAGAGAACGACTAGTTGTTGGTAATTTTTTTTTTATTGGAGCAGTTAATAGTCTCAGGAACGACATGACAGTCGTCTGTCGATCAATCATAACGAGGAACAATGAGGATTTAGGGGATAATGAGGGCTGTGGGGGGTAAACAGCTGCGAGTAACTAGTGTTGAGACAATGAGCAATTGTTTAATCATTCGGTTGTTTAGTTTTTGTTGACTGAATGGAACGAGTGTTGTGAGGGGATTTGCAGTGTTCGTTATGCACGGGAGGTGTGAAAATAATGAAAAATATCATGGCCATTCATACCTTGGATTTAGTAACGACGTGGGTAGCCATCTTGACAACAGCAAAATTACCCTTTCCAATAGTTTTATCCAATTCGTAATAACCAACTCGTATAAGTTTGTTGACGGAAAATTGCTGTGATACCTCATTGTGCGACGTCGTCGCGGATGCCATTTTTTACAATCACTTGTGAGTTACTCGCACGATACGAACCCGTTGCCAATCACCTACTGGTTAGTATATTATTATTGCCGTTAGGGGCGCCTCTTATTTTTCAAAGCGTCATCTAACTATTTTTTCATTTTTTACTTTAACTAATTCAATGAGAAACAATTAGTTGAAAAAATACATTCGGTGGAAAATTGTGGGGCATTACGATTTAGGTAGGAGATCTCAATTTTTTTTATTACCTTTTATTTTATCGTACGTGAATTTTCATTGCCCTTTCAGGGACACGGAGATAACGAAAAAATCGATAGAAAATCAATATCAATTTGGAGGGGTTGAAGGTGTCTTATCGATTCTGTCAGGGCATTTTTCAAGTTTCCAATTTTTTATTGATAATTGCAACTATTCGTGGGTTTTTTTTTAATTATTGGGGTCATTAATTGATAGGGATTAAAATAATTGTGGGAAGGAATCGTGGAGAAATGTTTTATTTAGGAAGAATCAAATTTATAATTCATGAGTTCATTATGGAGATTGGAGTTGTTATTTCGGGGGGTAAAGGGATAATTTTTTATGAGCTTTGGATTTTTATTTTCATAGGAATAAATTCAGCCTTCAATGGTTTTTTTCGCGCGTTGGAGAGCTCGTGTAATTGAATGAGTAAATAATGATTGAGGTCATCGATCAATGAAATCTCGCAGATCATGTTTCAAAATCGATTTTGAGTTTCCGGATTTAAAATATTTAACCATTATACTTTTCCCGCCCAGTCTTTGTCGATATTCACAGCTCTCATTCGAATTTGTTTAAAAAAAATCAAGACAATATTTTTATCCTTGCGAATAAACCGGAAATCTTAGAACTGCTCGCGACCCGCAAAACAAAATAGGGAAACCGGACATTTCAATATTCACAGCAGTACAAAATACTCAATTATTTAGTATACAGTACTATTATTTGTCGTATCTAGTCATTTCAAGGACTAACGGGTTAAAAAATAATACATGCAGTAGCTATGACAAGCAGTGTTCAAAATATCAATTTGGCCCGGCTATTTCCAGTCGTATTGCGTTTGAGGAAGAAAAAAAAAGAATCACCGAGCGAACACATGAAATGTTAACCATATCACTCCGAAAATCCGTTCTGTAATAAATTCACCGCTAGCAGTAAAAAGAACAAATATTTTGTGACAAATTACAAAGAGATATTTATTATTACTGAGATATACACGTAGCAAAATGCAGTTAACGACATTTCAATTCACTCATTAACCGCTGTTAAATGCCATTCTCCTGGTATTTTTTTTTTCTATTTTTTAATATTTTTTCTTACGAAATAAATGAAAAAATTTTACAAACTAACTAATGGTACCGAAATAGTTCCATTGCTCTACCTCTCTATCAAGTATATACAATCACTGTACAAACTTATGATTAATAATACATTATGGTGATTGTTAACGACACAATCGACGGAGAGCTTGAAATACTGCTCTTGACAATGTAATACAATATTTTCTCGCAATATCAGTAACGATTGCCAATCAGGGCAATACTGTAGTGCCTGTGAACACCAAATCTTTGTTTTAAGTAAAAAAAAAAAATATATCCAACAGATGTAACGTATTGCTGCTGTAGAAATAATTGTTCACCAGATTTTCCATCCTCACTACCTCAAAGACATAAATTAGACACTGAACGTTTGCCAACGGGGTCATCAATTTTTCACCTCTCCATTCAGTTTCATTCCACAATCATAAACACATTTAACCATCGCAGATCAATCTCGATAACTTAACATTAACTCTATTGAAGTGATTGTTTTTTCATTGTCATTTATTGATCCTGTACAATTCAGTTTCAATTGACTGTTACCTCTGTATTATTATTTGTACTAATTATGTAATCTGCGAGAAAAAAAAAAAGAACCTAGTAATTATTGTTTTCAGGTATACAATTGCAAAATCATCTACACTTATCGATCGAGTTTATATACGCAGTGTATATAGGTTTTTATATATAAAGTATGTATAAAGAACTTTATAATACATCAGTCTGGCCATTTGGGGCTGTCCAAATACTTATTAATGATTACAATTTTATTCGCTGCTTTGCAAAATTACATTCTTTTGAGACCTTCTTTTCTCTCTCTCTCTCTCTCTCTCTCTCTCTCTTTTGCTCTCTCTCTCTCTCTTGCTCTCTGTTTCCATTACTGAGCTGCGTATTCTTTTTTTTAATGTGGATTTTGGATTCTTTCAATGCATTCGTGCTACCGAGGAATTCAAGTGATACATGGATGTATAAATCTGTGTTGACAGCCGAGACTAATCATATACAATAAGTTTTAAGTGAACTTGATGAATATACAACTGAAACCAACTCAGTTTGATTGATTACGAGGAAGAACTGTGTTATATATTTTTTTTCCCTTTTTTTCTCTTAATTTTTTACATTTATCGAACTTGTTAGAAGCTCATCGCCCTCTCTGTTTCTCTCCATGTAGAATAGGAATATAAGTGTAATTGACAAAAACTGAAATAAAGTCTGATTGACATTGATGATATTTCCTGAGAAATAGTAACACTTGATTTTAATGTATGAAGTTTAAACAGTTGACCAATTACCTCGATGAAATGCGTATAAAACTTGCTATTAACATTCCTTCCATTAACCGTACGTTTTAGTAACTTTTATGACTTTAATGACAAAGATGGTATAAAAAATCGTTAGCAAATCTACATATTACGTATAGATACACCAACTGAAGTAAAAAAAGATTAATTTTTGCATTTTTCTTTACACAGCCTGAGTACGTACAAAAATATTAATTTATAATTCAATAATTAAAAATTACGGGGAGGGGGAGGGAGGGGTTGCGGTTGCCAGAGGAAAAATAGTATGCATCGTTATAATCGATAACGATTTATCATTTTCACTTCAGATGCACAAACTCCTCTGTATCCCAGTGAGATCTTTATGTATCGAGTTAGAGAGGACGAGGAGGATGAAAAATAAATTGTTATAATCTACTCGATTTTGAGAAAAGTACCGTTTGTCGTTGGAGTTCTAACGAGAAGGGGAGTTTTCCTGCGTGAAGGTGTTACTGATTGATAAACGTAATTTCCCTGTATTGTTCCGCCGACATTTTTTTGCCTCTTCATTGTACTCGGACTGAGTTCGTACTCGAATGACTTTTGTTTGGAGATATTGAGTTGCATGTGCAGTGATTCTTTGTTTTCCTCAATTTCTAAGTCATCGTAGAGGTGTTCGGTGATGTCAACGTCGCAGTCCTGACTGCTCTCGTCATAACTGTCAGTGACTGAGTTGGCAGCAACGTGACCGAGGGCTGGCTCATTGTACACAACATTTTCTTCAGCTGTCTCATCACCAGAGCTCTCAGTCTCTTCGGACATGTCACCACCGTTACCAGCGTATTTCATTTCTCCACGCTCCAGGAGCTCCAGGTGATCTGGATATATCATTGCTTTTTTTATCGCCAATGGATCCTTCCTCGACCATTTTTGCACCTCCTCGTCCATTTTAGCTACTTTTGCGGGGTTTATGGCCCACAGGCATCCTTTTCTCTGATTACCGTTGCCAGCCGGCTTCTCTATCTTCTCGAAACATTTGTTCAGCGATAAATTATGTCGTACTGAGTTCTTCCAACCGTTCGGGGCCGTCTTAAAGTAGGGGAAGTGCTCACTGCAATTGGAAAAAACCATTTGTTAATTTTTTTGCGACTCCAGCAGTTTTAGTTCTGCATTAAAATGATTTTCTTCTCAATTATTTTCACAATCTTGTAGTTCATAAAAAAATTGCCATTTTGCAATGGTTCTAGACATTTTTCTACAAAAGCATAAAATTTATTACTGTTGTGAAAAAATTGTAAGAACATGAGAAGAATTTTAATGAAAAAAAATTGCGAAATTACTTGAATATTCTGAAAGAAATAATTTAGTTATTGTTGGATATTAGGGAGAATGAGGGTGATTGCATAATGTTACTGTTGGGACTGTACCACTGATGTGACCGAGTGTGCCCCAACTTAGGGACGCACACCTGGTGTTTGCAGACAGAAGGGGACCGAAGGGAACCCCTCGACAAAATGGCAGCAATATGCTGTGTACTAGGATTTCGAGGGTACACCCGGTGGACTAAAATTTCACTTCCATCTGCGGTGTTCTCTCAATTTTCAAATTACTAATTTACCAACCCAAAAAAATCCCATCCTCTCCTTAAATTACGGGATTAATTAAAAATACCCAAAAAATATCCATAAAATTCAGATATTTGGAGTGGTAGCTTTTTCTACCACGAATTTGTAATAAAAAAATTGAAAAAATCATAATATGTTATACTTTTAACGTACCACATGAAATTATAAATTTCGGATACTGGTAGTGATCCAGTCTGGCTGTTCTTGAGTGCCATAGCAATAAGACAGGAATAAGAATAGGCAGGTTTTGGATATGGTTTCTCCTCGTACTCGAGCGGATCAAATTCCTTCTTCAATGCCGGTGGTGATGATACAGCACCAGGTGCAACATGATGTATATTATTATTATATATCTGTTTTCTGATGTGATGGGGTGTGTGGCCAGTGGTACTTTGAACGAGCTTGAAATTGCCAACTCTAATGTGCGAGAAGGAATTAACTTTTTGAGTAGTCGTTGATTTTCCAACACTCTGCGGTGACAAAGTCTTGATCATTCCTGAGTTTATGTTCAAGAGTTGTTGCTGAGGTTTGCACTTTATTCTCATAGTACTGATGTTTATTTTATTCTCATGCTCCTCCTCCGAGTCCTCAGCCTCATCCACATCCTCTTCCTCCAGCTCCTCTTCATCACCATCCTCTTCCTCCTCATCGTCTTCCTCATCCTCATCCACTTCATCCTCATCACCTTCCTCTTCATCTTCTGTCTCGGTTATGTCATTGTCGTATTTGTCGTTGGCTACCTCGTTATGATCCATCTCAATCCTCTGTTTCTTGGCGTTGTTCTTCGCTGATATGAGAAAATTTCGTCTAGCTGGTAATGCCGTGGCCGACGTTTTTATCATGGAGGATGTCTGGGTTTCATTTGGCGTTGGAGATCTCGTTGTGATATGTGGCATTACTGAATTCGGATTTACCATTACTGATGCTGCATCGCCTCCGCTGATGTCAAGATTGTAATTACTGCGAAATTGAAAATTCAATATTCAATGAATTAATTTCATTCTTTCTTTATTCTCCCTATAAAATTGAAATACATGTTCAATAATATCGTGAACATTGAAAGCTTCAAATATCCTAATCCAATTCAACTGAATAAACTCCTGAGAACTCCTTCCGCGAAATGAAAGCAGATGAAACAAACCGAGTATTTTGAGCGGTGATTAAGAATGAGCGATAGTTCATTGACCCAACTGAAAGCGAATTCGCGAATTACGTCGCTTGGAAACGATCGATCAAAAGACAGGCCAGGCTCTAAGCGGGTCAGTAATCCCTTTAATTTATTCAATGATTCGCCCCGACGTACGAAAAATTCACCCAAAAATATTCCACCACCGTTATTACCTGTGTGAACTGTTGCTGTTGCCATTGAGTAAACTCGTTGATCCAAACCAACCGTTGATATCACCCTGGCATCCAACGGGATCATCGTCCATCTCCAGAGGTGACAGATCCGTGAAATTGAATCCCAACTCTGGATGTCCACCGATGACACCCTCAATTTCACATTTTATGTCGACGTCAAGCATCTCTTGGAGAGATAGACTGTCGGTGCCGAGGTAATAGTCCATTGTGAGCCAAGGGTCCCTCGTAGGTCCCTGATCTAGCCCAGTGCTATGTCTACTCTCTGTATCCAACATTCAAGCGACTGAAACAGAGACCAATACTCTTCACTTTACCCCTTTAACAAATTACAATTGTGTATCGAAGTGGTAATGAAATATGGAAATATCTCCGGAATTACGGGGGATTATCAGATTTTCGTTTCTATCTTTTTTTTAGAGCTCACACAGCGCTGCAAAAAAGGGTATTATTACAATTTTTCTATCTCCATCGCGTCTCGAGATTTTCGATAAAAAGTCGATGTATTCTAGCGGTTATTGAACGGATTTATCTAGAGTCTTATTTGAATTTCAATTTCGTTGTTCTATTTAATCAGATGGTCACGCTATTTCCAATTTATTTAAATCTCATCAATATCGTGATCAATTTTTTCAATCGATTTTTTTATCATTTTCCGTAAAAAATGATGACGATGATGTAGAAGGCGAACAAATCTCCAAATGCTGAAATATATAATTCATTATGGAGTAGATGAAAGATGCAAGTCCCAAAATTAATTATTCGAAATATTATTCAGCGATATGAATGTACTCTTTGTGTTGTGGGGCCTCTTCTCCTGGACAAGGGCAATAGATTCTCGTTCAATGATACGTAAGTCTCTTGTATCGTGTGTAAGCGTGACCTCGCGGTTTTGCACACATACATTTGTTGCTAACATCCACACAGTGAGTGAAGAAAAAGGGTCTTGAACCCGACGATCTCTTGGTTGCAATAAATATACCTATATAGAAAGAAATATCCCCCTCTCAGCACCAGAAAGACCGGCTACTCCGTTTCTCGTGGGTGTGACTGACTCATAGTACTATACACCATTTACTATAGAGTGTGTGAAGACGTAGTAAAGCCCTCATTGGATAACATACACAGTACTATACGTTCAAAAATCACTCGATGTGTACACACTACAGAGTTGATTCAACTGTTGTTTGACCCGGGCTGCATTTTCGTCTAAATTATGAGATCCCCCTCGGTCATTCACAATTCTCAAATCCCCACGTTCAATTCAAAATTCGCAATCATAAATAATATTTTATTATTATATATATTGTCTCAGCGGAGATTGCATTTATTGCTTAATCATTAACTTGTCACTTAGAAATTTACGATTCAATTGTCAGTAATTATTGCTTGTTGGATAGAATTTATATCGTTGAAACTTGCTATCGAAAATGTTTGGATTATTTTTTTTTTCAGGGTTATTCGAGTTCAGTTGAGACTATCAGGGAGAATAATTGAGGACGAGAGTTATTGGAGTCTTAATTAGAATGAATTACGGAATGAGATAAAATTTATTTCTGCCAAATGCTCGTTTACTTGGAAGAAATATTCAGTCCACTATTAATATTTCAATACAGGAAAGAATAAATAGAATAAATAAAATTGGAATAAATGAAACAGAGGATTCAATCTAACAGCCATAAAATTCATGGAATTAAATTCTTCAATTTGCCAACTCTAAGACTAATCTTCACTCATCACTCTGAGTTCCACGTCCTCTTAATATTTGAATAAACTCGCTCCTCATTGATAAGCCCATCCCAACGATGAGTTACACCCAACTTTTATACATTTTATTTTTTTCCTCGAGATTGACCTCGAGTTTGCGAAATGGAAGGGTCATGCACGTCGTCGTGCGAGACGAAGTACAATCAGACAAAATGGGAATGAGAGAGTGAGAAAAATGGCAAAGAGAGATGGAAATAAACATCGGGGGCCCTCAACCTTACTTTTATTACCAGGGCACACAAGCATGACGGAGATACGGCCTTGAAAAAAATAAAGCCACCGAGACGAGGGGTGTTCATTAGTATCTCAAAAATGTATGAATAAAAAGAAGAGTGTGAAGACTATGAAAAAAAATCAGTGTAAAATACCCAGCGGGATCTCTCCAGACAGTCGCAGACAATATCAATATTAATTTCCGGAGTCCCCCATCCCGAGGGTCTTCTTCCGGCTGGGACTTTCCAAGAAGGTCCCAAAAATTCCTGGGAGGTCCTTGAATACCTCCCTCGAGATTTAAAATTCTGCACCAACGGATGCGCCAGGTTAGCTCAGCAGCAATAAACCCCTCATTCTGAAGAATTTCGTGAAGAATTCGAGAAGAAATAATGGAGTGGAATAAGCCAGGGTCATCCACAGTGACAATAAAATAAAAAAGATAATATAATTGAATATTGAGCCAATAGACAGCCATTGATGAACCAACACATGGAATATCTGTCTACGGAGGAGGTTTATGAAAATGATAGGATGGCGTACTACCAGCTATTGGTGTTTCTTTGTCTCTTTCTGATGGCTCAGTGTTTGCGAGAAATGAAGGGATAATAGAAGGAGAAAGGAATGGAGTTGTATTTGTTGGGTTGCACACACTTATTCACAACCCGTATCCTGTCCTATAGTGGCCGGTTTTCTTTGTGATCCCAGAAACAGAGTTGGTGGGATATACAAAGACAGAAAACCGGTTCTTCTTTGGGCCCACAACGGGGGCTACACGAGCTAAATCGAACCGCCAACTGGGACCTGGGCTTTAGTACATGTACATATATACATTTTTATCACCCCATCATTGATGGACCCTGGAAAATATGCGAAAAAATTACGCTCGAGGTTCAAATATGTTGATAATGTTACCCTAGAAGATAATGTTATCTTCTCTATTCTATATTCTATATTATTTTATTGAATCGTTATTAATTGAAGGTTTATTGCTGAATTTTCCGTTGCAATGTGAATTTAACGAATATAATGTGTAGACACAATAAAATAATATAGAATACTGGCAAAAATCCTGTGAAAAAATTCACTCTGCAGAACGAATGGAGAAGGGGACCTCGAGAGTTGGCCTGCGGTATATAATACGAGTTGTATAGAATGAACGGTCCCTTTGTTCGTGGGCCCCGGCGTTAGTTTTGGCCCACAACTCGCTGAAGAACCTGGGGGAATTGTCCTTCGGTTGGACGACAGGTGCGACTGCCAATAACCAAAAAGAAAAAAAAATAAAAGACCGAGGGAAGGAAGCATTTTCCACTCTGATGAGCAATGCACAAGATCGAGTTTCTTCATGGAGAAAAGAATGAACACGAGACCTTTTGTTTCTTGATAGTACACCAATGAATATGCGAATGTCGACGTTTTCAGAATTGTTTTAGTCGCGCCTGGGGATTTTCTACTCGTGGGTTTGCGGGGGGGTACAGGGAAAATAAGTAATGAGAAATATTTAACACCGGAAATACACGGGAAAGAGAGGATGTGGGGGAGTGAGAAGTCGAATATATATTCAGCCGATTTTTTTTCTTTTTAGACAAGTTACTCCCGTCGTTGATATTCAAATTTTATTCCTCACTCGTATGTCACTTTTTATGGGACTCATTTCGAGAAATTTTTATTTTCCCACCTATCTGGGGAGCATACTAAGCACCGGGAAGTTGTAATTTCAGGACGTGGGGAGAAATTAAAAGGTTCCTTGAACATTTAAAATTAATATTTTCTTTTTGGAGGCTGAGGTTGGTTGTGTCAGGTATAGGAAACCTGGAGGATTCCTCCACGTCGTTTAGAAAAAGGTGGAATTCCTGTTGAGAGACCATTATTTACCCGAGGGCAAATGTACCTGAGTTTTCGGGGATTACTTGCAACATTTGGGGGAGAATCGATACAATGACCGTGAAAATCTCTACGCATTCTTTTCTATGGACCTTCGGGGAAAATTAAAGGAGGAGCTTTAGAAACTTATTTTCCTCCTGCAATTCCCTTTTTGCAATGGACCTTGAAGATTTTTTCTTTCCACTGAACCAAAGTACTCCCTGATTTTCAAGATTACTCTTGACTGCTCACAAGTGAAATTTCACAAGTGAAAAGCAGAATTAACTTGAATTTTAATTGATTTGAAACGGAAATAATTTTTTTTTTCGCAAACGATTGAGATATTTAATAGAGGTCTGGACCGTTTGGTCGACGATGTGTTGGTTGGGGTTGGCATCCCCCTCATCGTCTCGTTTTGCGAGTATCGATCTGATGGCTCCCCACCAGTTGAGTAAATGAAAGAGGGGCTGAAGTCCACCCCTATGTGCGCAAAACTGTCTGCAACCCCCTATAGCCCATGTGTACGTATAACTTTTGTTCTCTCTTTCGCTCTGGTCGTTCTCTTATTCCATTGCGGCTCCTCCAAAGGGGTTAAAAAAAAGAGGGGAGCGATGAAGACAGAGAATCCAACGAGAAAAACTGGCGGGTATATAAAAATACTGAGGGCAATGCTCGAAAAATTCAACAGTGGAATTACCTTTTCGCAATCACTCCCTCATTCCCTCAATTTCCAATTAAATTCTTATCCAGTCACCTCCCTATTTCCATATTTATGATTGGTAGTAGAAAATATTGGGTTACATAAATTATCTGGATTGTCCACAGTGAAACTCTGGCCTCGGCATATTGTCAAAGTTTCATGACAGGAAGAGAATAAAGAGTCTATTGAGTTCCAGATAAAAGGCACTCGTCAGGGTCATGTCGGCGAATTTCGAAAAGATGAAGATTAAGTATTTCTGCCGCTGAATTATTTCCTAACGTTTTTTTTTCCTTTTCGGGTTGACCTTGACAGCGGCAAGAGAGCGTTAGAAAACGCAAAACTGCGAGGTGAAAGTACAGGGGAATGAGAATATAATTTTTTTTGCTCAAAATTGTTGATGTGAATCCGAATATTTCGGTGAGACTGAAATTCATAAAAGCTAGGAAGAGAGAGACTAGGCTGAAATAAATATAAATAGAGTAGACGGGAATATGAAATTGAGGGAAATTTGTGGAAATAAAAATTGTGGGAGTGGAGAAGCTCGAATGGTCAAAATGACTGGAGGGAATTTATTTTGGGTTGAAGGCTGCAACCGAGGGCTGGGTTTTACACAGCAACTTCGTACCAGGATACTTCCTGCGGTGTGCATATGGCATGGGGATCTGGCCGTTCTCAACCCAAGACTGGAACCGAGAGAAGAGGGGGGGAAATGAGGGTTTTAAGTTCTCAGAAGGTTCCCACGGTCAAAACTTTCCCGCTCAGTTTATTCAATGGGGTAGGTCCCAGCAATCGAGGGTGTGCAAATCACTAAAACCATAAAATTCTCTGGAATTACCATTTTTCACTCTCTTCCCACTCTTAAAAATCCTCCAGTAGATTCATAGATCAATTATTACTATTATTCAATACTTCTTATCTTCATCCTCATCCTCTCTTATCAAAATACTGTTGAGGTAGGTTTAAGTCCCAAAACCAGTTGTAGACCCCAGACCCGAATAAAATACCCAACACCAGTTTTCCCGCTAAAAGAATAATCCCCAGAGGCCGGCACAAAGAGGCCAGAAAAAAAAATGTCCTCGAAAAATCTCCAAGTGGTCCAGACTTTCCCGCCCGCCACATGTCAAGCGGTTGTCACCGAAAAAAAAAATTGGTCGAGAAAAAAAAATTTGCCATTGTTTGCGGGGCGGATTAATTGCTTTCCGGGGATTCCCCGGATTCCCCCATTTCCATTAAAATTTAAAAAAATGTAATTACAGATATTCCCCGGCTTCCACAGCGCCTGACATTTGACACCGAAATCCTACGATATTATCATTAATCTGCCCTGAGGAACGACCGAACCGACGAACAATGGCGAAACCCATATGCCCACAGGACAATGTGCAATAAACATTTGAAGAAAAAAAAAACAATGCAAAAAAAAAATGGCTGTTGATTACAATGTGGCCCTGCCGGCAGGGCGGGATGGTATCTTTTCTGGCGCCACATCGGAAACGGGGCTCTCGTATCTCAGAGCACGAGAAACCAGCCCGCCTTTTTACTTTCTCACCAACAGCCGAAAAATAAATACACGATTGACGATTAAAAAAATGATAAATACACGATAAAAATAACTTACCGTATTGTTGACGCAACGTATCGACGATATAATCCGTTAAAATCACAAATTTAACACATGTATTAACGATGGAATAATGTTTAATTGGGATATTGCCAAGTCCTCCAGACAACCATGTATAAAAACGGATCACCGACACAGGGCCCCCTTCACGGAACTGAAGTTACGTTGACGGCCGACTCGTGAACAAAGACCACGCACGATTTTCAAATCCCATCTATCTCATTGGTCACTAGTAGTCACGTGATATTCCCGCTCTCTCTCGTAAGATCGTATTGGCGGGCAATCGTATGGGGTGAATAGTCCAGTCTATTTCAAACAATTCTCCGATAATTACAGCACTAATCACCGATTTATACCTTTTTAATAATTTGACGATTTTTATTCGGATCGATTCAACTGTTTGCAGGTGAAATGAGACTGTTGTTCCCGCCTTTACGAGGAGAACTCACGATGGTGATCGCTGACCGGGTAAACAAACAGTGGCTCCACCGTCACCTCGGGACGAGTCTACCCCGACATCCCCACGTACAAAATGGCTGAGTCCAACGATTTCAATGACTTGTTTAATCGTTTTACGCGTTATCTTGAATTTTTTTATCACTGTAGTATTTTTTATGGGCCTTTGGTGAAATTTTTTGGCTCTTGGGGGTGAGTTTTTTAATAAGATATGAGGGCTTAGATTTTTTTCTCATTGTAATTGATATTGAGAGAGGGAGAGGGAAAATTGGACGAGTCTATTTTGGAGTGGGAAAGGGGTGGAGCTGGGGGAATTCGGGTGGGGGAATATTGGTTGAGGATGAAGAGGATGGGGTGGGGGTAATCCCAATGATGGTCTTTTTAAAAATATATACTGGCTATAAACGGAGGAATGAACGTTGGAGGGTAATATTGCACTTGAGATGTGTGATTGGGGTGATTGTGGAATATATTCCACTTGGACGGTTTTTTGGTTTTAATCTGAATTAATCGAGACATTGAGTATTGATTATTGGCGTTCGTGGGGAATTCTTGATGATTTTTAGACTTCGGGGGTTGATTTTTCGGTTGTTAATATTCATTGAAAATTTATCTTTCGCTTATGTATTTTTTTCTTAGATGATTAGTCAACAGTATAGACTCTGATGAATTATAACATTGATAACTAATATTTCTGTATAAAATATATCAAGGTACTGCAAATCTTTTGGTTTGTTTTTAAGGCACTTTGAATTTATCGATTCTGAGGGATTTTTAATCTCATGCGATTGATTATTGCACAATTCCCTCTATCATTTTTGGGGACATGCAGTTGTTTTCATACCCAGTACGAGAAATTTTTGGCATTTTCAGGTCTTTGGGGGTTTGTGATGACGGTTTTAAGCGTTTGCCACTGATGGTATAATACGCATGTAAATCTCGATTCCACGTAGGAAAATATTTTTGTTTAGATATTCGTCGTGATCGTGGAGCTTGATTGTCGTGTTGTTCATTGGAGAGAAACAGATTGCCGGAATACCAACCTGCAAATATATTAAATGAATACATTTAATCATAGACTCAATTAAATTTAATACCAGACATAACAAAAATACTCAAATAGTGAAAAAAATCAATTGAAATGACACAAGTAATTTTTTTTCTCATCAAACCCCATCTAATATTCAGGCAATGGGCTATCATAAAAATTATTGCAATAAATTCTATAAAAAATGTAGGAAAATATTTTGAAGATTGCGTACCTGACGAACGTAGCGACTGTCAGTGCCACCAGGAAAAACTTCGTTGCGCACATTCAGTCCCAATTCGTCACAGGATTTTTTGAAGGCAATCCAGAATGGATTGGAATCATCCAGCTTAGTGCTCTCGATTCTTGGGTTCTTCTGCTCGAAAGTAATCGTCACATTTTCACCGGCTTCCTTGCACCACCCTAGAATCTTCTGCTCCAACTCGTTGTGGTCCAGGGTCGGTGGAATCCTCATGTCGAAGACAGCGATGAGTTCCTCGGGAATGACATTCGTTTGGACACCACCCTGTGTAAAAAAAAAAATCATCAATAGCTCATGAACTCATTCATATTTTTTACCATTTTTCAGTCAAGTGTCATTTATTGGTTGTCACGTCAATTCACAGTTCTTATTATTTTATTTTATTTTTCTCAAGACGTGACGACTTCTAGTAAATACTCACGTTAATTCGACCTATAGAGATTATCCAATACATTCGTACAGACATGACAAGAGTAGGAAAATAATTCACCTTATAAATCATTTTAAAACGCCCAGAACTCTCCAGTCCATTGATATTATTTTTTTACCTTCAACTGATTGAGATTGATAGACAGAACATTGCCAGGTAGAGATGTTGCTGTGAGTTTCGAGGCCTCTTGTGCTCTCAAGTCCATGAATCGATCGATGATGACACGTATTTTTTCTCCAGCAGTGTTTGGCAGCATCAGAGAGCCATGACCAGGTTGACCATGACAGTGAACCCAGACATGCCAGATTGACCGTTCACCATTGAACATGAAGAATGTCTCGGTGGGTGAGGCACAGCCCTCGTCCAAAGAGAATCCAATGTTGAGGGCTTTGAAGTCATCTGTGTGGACGAATTCTCTCATACCCAGGACACCACCGATCTCTTCGTCTGGTACGAATGACATGTGGATGGTTCTCTTGAATGTCTGGCCATTCTGCTTCAGTCGTCTTATTGCCTCGAGGTATTGAATGCCCACACACTTCATGTCCTGGGCACCACGAGCAAAAATGTTCCCCTTGTCGTCCATGTGGGCATCGAAAGGCGGATGGGTCCACTTGTCCTGCAGAATTATATTCGATAAAAATCTGGATTATTCATTTTATTGATAATTTAATTGGGGAAAGTGTGATAAATCAATAATTATCATCGAATGTCCTTGCAATTGGACTTGTCACTCTCGTTTTCAAAAAGCCACACCTGAAATAACATTCCAGCGTCTCAGACGCCAGAAGTGCCTCGAAAACGAGACGATAATAATCAGAAAACTCACAGCAAAAACTGGAACCACATCCATATGGCTGTTGAGCAGAATAGCAGGTGCAGCAGGATCTTTTCCAATCCATGTTATCACGACGATAGGTTTTTTCTTATAAGGTTCGTAAACTCTGACTGGAAGACCAAGAGACACAGCCTGTCGACGTAGAAACGCCACGCAATCATCTGAGAATGAATTACATTGAAACAATCACCTGAATGAAAATTTAAATTGAAATAACCGCATCTCATAAAATCCTTCACACAATAATCCATAATTTAGACATTGATATCTAAAAATATTTAAACTATCAGGATGGGGCGGGGCCCTATGGCACGTCGTAGCGTCTCTCAACGTGACAGACGCTATCATTTCAATCAACCTGTTTATCACTCTTATCTGCCACGATCGCAATCCCCAAAATGATTTATCACCCCAAATAAAAATGAGTATAACCCTGAGAATCACGAGTCAGCAATTTCCGATAATTTAAAACAGCGAAAAATCTCAAGATCCGTCTTGGCGTCTCCCACTTTGAAATAATCACAAAAACGCGTAAAAAGGGCATATAACACCAATAAAAAAAGACATGACCTGATTGAGCAAATTGAGCTTCAATCACTGGAACAAGGAAACGTGCAATAATCCACTAAACGAGTCTTTATTCTGTAATAGAAGGTGCGATTAAGGTCATTTCACTATTTATAATGCACTCCCCTGCAGGCCTTATCTCACTGTTTACAGCATTTGAGGAATTATCAGTGAATTTTTTTTGTCATTATCAAAATGAAATGATATTAATGTCCTCATTATATTTATTAAGCGAATTTTTTGGGACTTACCGTAATTAACATCTGGCTGGACCGAGGGTATTCGCAGGTACTCACGAAAATTTTCTACAGCTGTTTCGTCCAGCTGAGTCTGAGAAGGTGAAGAAGACATCGTTGCGTAGGTGTATATATGAGTGTGAGAATATGCGCTTGCGTGGTAAATGTGTGATTGTGTAGTTTATGTACAGCTGGTTTAGTAATATATTTAACGAGTGTTGCTCTGGTGCACTCTGACTGCTATGATTCTGACGATTGAGTTCTCCTCATGCCTTAACGCAACATTTATTCACGACAATACGAGTATGTAAGGTATCACCAACACATGTGTATTCAGTGGTTTTGTAAACCAATGATAACCACTCACCACCCGGTTTTCCAAACATACGACAACCTATCATCTGTTTCTCCGTCAATTATCTTGCATTCTAGATATTTGCAATTTTATCCCGGAGATTATTCAATTTATTAATTGGCTTTTACCAATTTTAAATCAGATCATTTGATCTGCCCGACTGGATTTATCAGACTGAAGTAAATGATTGCCAATATAATTTTTAATTCATAAAATTTATTTCGATTTATTAAATTTCATATACATATTATATGCCTAAATAATGAGCTCTTTACACATTATATCATAGAACAATAATTGTAATACGCCGTTTACGATAATATAATCGAAGAACTCGTTTTATCTTTATATATTCACTTCAATTAGTATTAATTATGAATTAAAGTTATCATACAATATAACACATGTGTAAGTTTAATTGTTGTTTTGTATCATTTTTTTAGCTATGATATTTCATATAGTCGTCGTATTATACATACACACATATATTAAAATAAATCGTAACAAGTGGAAAATACCAAAGAAGAAAAGAACAATTTCTCTTCTTCATCTCTTCTACTCGTTTAATAGTTTTTTTTTTGTCATTCTTCTTACACTACAGTACGCAGTTTCATTACAATCACGAAATAGTTACGATAATTTTCGACTATTTACAACACCGAGAATTGTTAATTACCAACGATTCTATAATTAATATCTTGTTTTCTGCTGACAACTTACATTACTTAATATTGAATCGAGTCATTGTGATAATTACTACGGCCGGATGACAAGTTAATCGCGTATAAAAAGCAATTTGTCTGATCAGCTCAGTGGGAGAAAGCGAGGGAATAAAAAAGATAAATATGATGTACCGTTCATTATGACTCGTCATTTTCCTCCATTTTTTCCTCTAAATAATACTTTCTTTGAAGTATCAACATAATGTGCAATACTGATACTTGGCTTTTCTTTTATTTTTTCTTTTTACCATCTAAATCGAAAACAAAGTGAAAACGCGTATGTACATAATTGTAGTTGTCACTTTCCTTGGAAAACAGAGTAAAGATAAAAAAATATTTTATTTTTTCGTTAGCAGACGTAAGAAAAATAATGTTTGTTTCACTATTCAATGAAATAATTGCACGGAATTGTTTTACTGAGAGAGACTTTGAATGATGTATGGCCGATTGTGATATTCACACTGAGACATAAAATATCTTATACCCCAGTTACACCTATTGTTATTAATTCAACCAGATTTGTCATGTTTTTGCTTTGAAAAAGAAGCTTTAGTCGTAGTATATCGGAGATTTGAGACATTGCACCATGGGCCTTTACGTATTCTATTTATCGTATCTCTTTACTGAAAAATTGTTAAGCCATTGCAATTATGCATTGTGTTTCATGCCTATTATGCTACCACGAAGATAATCACTCCTTTTCAACCGATTATTATTTACAGTGTATGTGAGAAGAGTGCACGTTTCGTTGCAATTGTTACATTCTATGTTCAGTAACGATTTCACCTGATCTATGATATATCTTACGTAATTACCTATTATTTTGTACATTATTTGTATTCATAGTCAAGATGAGGGAGATTTTAATAGCCTACTGCGAAGTACTCTCTATTTAATAACTTTCCATCGTTGTTATTTAATTCTTCAATATTTGTCTCTGTCTCTTTACGTACGTCAAATTTCTCCTCAGCCATTGCAATAGTGAGCTTTTTCCCTATTCTATTCCAAACCGTAGAATTACTATTTTGATTGAGATAAATTTCGTAACTCCGCGAAAGTATTTTTACAAAAATCTCGGATTTACTGGTGTTTCAATAGTATTTTCTGATTAAATTAAATTTAGTGAGATTTTTTTATACATTCACTGCTTTAATACTCGTATATCCCATGGGACTCGATATTTACACATTTACATTACCAATTATTTTTGTTTTTCCATCATTGTACACCGGATGTATAGCCACAGTGTGGCGAGATTTATTTAAACGAGCGTATTTTTTTCTTCATTTCAATCTAATCGCTTTAATTTTTGTGTGTGCACTTATTTGCGAGTCTCCGGACGTTCGCGGTCTGACATGGACCGCAAGCAATTGTATTGACAACAAATAACTCATTTATTTATTATTTTATCATTATTTCCCCTGTCACACCGCGAAAATCCGAATGCTATTGAAAATAACTGAATTTATCAAGAGAATTGCGTCTTATTTCTTTCATGTGGATTTATCTTACAATCTCTAAGTGATGCAGAGCTCGTAATGATCGTTTGTACCCATTATGTAATCATCTCGCCAATAATTTGATCGTTATGACAATTATCGCAGATGACTTTGTTCACTAAATTGAAATTGTCAGTGAGGGACTACTGTAGGCAAGAACAATTACGTTTTGTCATCGAAGATTCATTTTCAATTTTCCATAATTTTATATTCAACATATATTATTTATTACAAACTAATTATACCGGGCATTTACAAGTAAATATAAAATATAGAGAAATGTTTTTTTGAAAAAATAGGGAGTGCGGGAAGGGGGTGGGGTGTATTTCACACATTTTAGGATGGAATTTCACTTGTATATGAAAAATAAAACAATGGGAAAATTGAGTCGAATTTTTCACAACTCCCAGCACAACATATTCTAATCTGTACGGCTCGCATTTTATTATTTATTAGCGTTCGTCTTCACTATTCTACAGTACACGTGAATTCTACATCAATTAACACTAAATAATGATAACGCTTACGCTGCAGATTATCGTGGTCTGCATAGCCGCCACGGTATATTCATATTTATATATATGCAATTGATATTTACATACTCTGAAGATACGCCACACCGCTCTCCTTTCAAAGTAATAAAACTCAGCATTACTTGCTTCGTTCTCTATGCTGATTAAATTTTTCTTTTCTCCTGAATAATTATTAAAAGCTATTTAAACATGAAACTCCATACGAAAATGAAAATCGCGATGACATCGCGTTATCAAAAATCGTGGCATTTGTACGAAATTCGTAATTTTAGTGCGATTTTTATAGTACGAAAAAAAATACAGATGAGATGAGATTGTCAACTTAAATCGATATTTTTGATTCACCAAACATAAATAATATGCAACGTAAAATGCATGTTAATCATAACTCAGAGTGTAAATCAGCTGTCAAATCGACAAAAATCGTTAAATTTCCCATTTATCAATTTATCTCAGGAAATATCAATGTAACGTTAAAAATTCGCTGAACTTTTTCTCAAGCTGATTTCATTCTCTGGAAAAAAGTTCTCCACAATTTTCTTCTGAAGCCAATAGCTTTCCAGATAAATCGATATTGAACTGAAAATTTATTTTATCATTTGACTACCGAAATGGCACACTGCGAATAGAATATAACCTTTGATGATTTATTCATTGTCTAGGATCTCGGTGGCAGGTGTGAATGACTGAAATAGGATTTCTGGATGGGTGGAGGACTTGTGAAGGTGGTGGTTGGTGGAGGTGGTGTGGTAGGGGCGAGAGGGGTAGGTGGAATAGTAGCACTTGTTGTCGGAGGGAATTGTGGGGGATAGGGATTTGAGCCTGGGGGTGCCTGGGGTACAAGGAATTGTGGACTCTGTTTAGAAGTATTTGTTGTACCACCTGGGGATGATGGAGGCTGGGATTGATTCTGGGCGGTGAAGTTTTGGTACTGTTGGCTGGACGTAGCCTTACCCGGCAACTGCGAATAGTGGATTGGTGCTGAGCCTGGTGGTGGGATGTAGGGTTGCGGTGGTAGTTGAGGTGCCTGTGCTGGATTGTATGTCATTCCACCGGCTGGGATAATCACTTGGGATGGCGATGACAATTTTCTAGCTTTAAGGATGGCTTCTGCTGTTAGACCTGGGGACATGAACATGAGAATGAATTGAGTGAGCAATTGGGGACATCATTGGATTTTTTATTGAAATTCTATCAAGTACACAATATTTTACCTTGTTTCCGAGCTCGTTCTTCCTCATCATCACTCAGAAATAATCCAAATTCTCGTTTCAGTCTTTCAGTAAGGTTTTCCCTCTGCCTTTCAACGAGAGTTGGTGCCGCTGACCAGCCAATCGTTCCTTCCTCACCGCCTGTAAGCACACTGTATCTTAGCCTAGCACACCAGCCTGCGTTTAAATCCATTTTACATCAAAAACACGTGTCTATCTCTAATCCCAAAATTGGTGAAAAAAAAAAACGAAAATACGATAATGACCCTCACCTTTCCGTTCCTCACCATCAGGGGCGGTTAGCAGGGCTAAATTAGTCAAAGCATTGGCCGTCTCCACCGTAGTCTTGACATTGTCTTCATCAGAGCTCAGAGAAGAGGTTCCACTGCTAGCACTATCCGATCTCCCTCTCCCAGGGCTCTTCTCCGAAGATGACGCCTCATTACTCGGTTCAGGTTCAGGTGGAGTCCCCGAGGACTGTTGCTTCCTCTTTCTGTACTCAGAGATTGATAATTTTCGTTTGATCGGTGGAGGTGCGTCTGGAGGGGGTCTCTCATGAGGAGCTGTTCGAGGATCCTTCAACCTCCTCACCTCAGGCTGAACTGGAACCCCCTGAGATGCCTGAGGTCCCTGTGGGGACAACGGAGGAGGTGGTGGAGGTGGACCCTGAGTAATCGCAGCAACAATTAATACTGGATCTATTGATTTCGGCGATACATCAATGGCCACGAGATTTGGAATTTCCGGTGATTGCGTGGACTCCGAGGACTCGTTAATATGTTGCAAAGGTGGACTACCAGGCTCTTTATCCATTGATTCCACAGTATCGAGTACCGGTGGCTCCTGATCAACTGTTCCCTCCAACAATTGACGAAGTGCAGATGACAATTCAGTCTTGTGTTCACCATTGGACATCTCCACGGATTCCATATCAAGCGTCGACTCAATAATCGCAGTCTCGAAGTCCAGCTGCTTCTTGGGTAGGGATGAGCTCTCAGTTTTCTTTCTGATTCGTTCACTCAATGGTGGAATCGATTGAAATATCTTCGGGGATTCATTGACAGACTCGCAGTCAAGATTTGATATGGAATCGAACATTGACTCCTCCGACGAGCAAACACCAGGTGTTACGATGGATTCAATTTTCTCCAGCTGCTGAGGCTGCTTAACAGCATTGAGCACCTCGAGACTGGCAAGTGTTTCGAATTCCTTGAAGGCTCTCTCCTCCACGTTCTCATTATCCTGGCATTCTCTACCCTGTTTCCCAGTGGCATTAACCGCTTTAAAACTCAACTCAACTTCATCTCTGTCAGATGAGCCAGAATCCTTGGAGCTCTCCATGAGCCCCTCAATCCCATCGAAGCTCTTATCTCTCTCCGAGGATGTCTCAATTTTCTCCTTGTAATCATCCCCGTCGTCTCCAGTGATCTTCTTCATTTGAGCTTCAACATCAAATTCATCCAACGACGTTGGCTCCTCTATCTTCACCTCGTCCTTGCTTGTTTCACTGGTTCTCTCCTCCACACTCTCTTGTTTCTTTGGACTTGCTGTAATACTCGATATACCTGCCTCCGATGTACAGCTATTATCAAATTCAAGCCTAGTCTCAGTATCATTAGGCTCCATAACTCCAGTGTCAGTGCCCTTATTAACACTCTTATCGCACTCAGAAATCGTATTTTCTATTACTTTAATATTTAACTCCAAACTCGATTCCTCCAATTTACTCTGGATTTCAGTCTTTATGTTCAACTTAAATTCAATATCACCTTGATTACTGTCCACCTCGACGTGCTCATCCTTCACATCAGACAGCTCGTCCTTCACCTCCATCTTCACCGGATCGTCAACTTCAATATTAGCCATTGTATTACCCATCTCTAATTTGCTATCAACCCCCGGGCATTCGGATTTCACTGGATTCGCGTCATCAATCATTTTTGCCTCCTTGATCTTGCAAATATCATAGAACTCACATTGTTTAATGGCTGTTTGCTCCTCTTCCTTCATCTCAGCGTCCAAATAATTTTTTATCTGTCTCTCGAGGGACGTGGGAGATAGAGATCTCGACGACGAGGACAAAAAGGCAGGTCTCTCAGGTGCATTATCAACAGATCCAGAAACCGTGTGATCAATCCCCAGTGCCATGAGGGGACAGTCTGCAGTGGAAGGAGTTGGAGTTGTTGGTGGTGTGTAATTATCAGAGGACAGGCTCTCCCTGGCAATTCTCCTCTTCTTCGGTGGTGCTGCGACAGTTTCACTGGGTGGACTGTCAGGTCGGCTATTGGGTGAATCACACTCTTCAGAAATAGCTTGCCTCAGCCATCGTTTCTTAGCCGACCCCGAGGACACAGGACACTGTGGATTCTGTGCATTGACACAGGGTGCACCTTTCCTCTGGGGTGGAGAGTCACAGATACCAGACACTGAATTCGCTGCCTGAACTAGAGTCGCCAGGCTCTTAGTCCCATAATTAATCGATTGATTGAGATATTCCGAGGACAATTGATCATTGGTCTTGGGAGAGTCCTTCGAGACTGGAAGGGTAGTGGAGACCACAGGTAATGTTTTTGGTGGTGGTTGGGGGACATCTGGTGACTCTCTCAGCCACTCATTCATCATTGCCTTCTTAGTTTTGGGAAATTTGAAGCCAGGGGCCAGTGGTCCAACAGCAGCAGCAACGAGTAGACAAGCTGATGACAGCGGTGTGGAAGGAGTTGAACTCTGAGAGCTGCTACTTGCTCCACTGTCACAAGTTGGACTTTTACTGAGAGCTGGCTGCTGGAGACTTCTGTCTGGTGATATTGATCGCGATGTATCTGGAACATTGGAATTGGCAAGGGCCAGCAGGAGATCAGCAGCTGTGGGAATGACTGGATTTGGATTCACTGGGTCTCGCAGTGTCATTTCACCCTTCGCCGATGAATACATCTGATTAGCTGATGATAATGACGAGCATGGAGGTCGTCTGAGGGGTGGTGATTGCAGTGCAGCCAGATGATCGTCATCAGCTGATGATAAATCTGAATCAGCAGAATTCAGTCTCGTTCTTCTGGTGTGTGTAGACGACTGTGAATTACTCGTAGTTCTAGCCCTACCCTTTCTCTTCTTACGTCGAATAGGCCTCTCCACGTGATGCTTCTGAATTTTAGTTGGTTGTGTGAGAATAGGATGATGATCTCTGTCATCATTATCACTCTGTGCTCCACCTGACTCCTTTCTCTGCGCATTTCTCGCTTGTACCTCTTGCTTCCTCTGCTGTGCCTTCTCCATTCTCTCAAAGGTTTTCATTATCGCCTGGATCTTCCTCTCCTCCCTTGACATCTTATTCTTATCCTTCTTCGTCTCCTGCGGTGGTGTGTCAGCACTAGGCGGTGTTGATGTCTGCATGGGAATTTGTGGAGCTGGATCGACCATGGAAGGAGGTAACTGGGCCACCTGGGGCACCTCCTCCTTGGGTTTCTCACGTGGTTCAACCGTTCTCTTTGGAGTTGCACCGAGAGTCCCTGTAGCAGGTGCCTCACTAGTTGAAGCCTGTGGTGTTGGTAAAATCTGAGGAGGAGGAGCTGCAACAGACGTTCCAGCATCATCCTCTAGCGCGATATTTTTACGTCCTCTTCTCCTCCTCTCTCTGCCATCCGAATTATCCACTGAAGCACCACTACTCCTCCTCGTAGGCCCAACCTGTCCAACGACTATTGAAGAAATCTGACAGGTTCGAGGATTGCCACAGGCACAGGCCAGTGGTAGCATCGTATTACCCAGTGGAATTGTACTCGAACTATTAAGTGACATCAGGAGATTGTGCTGCTCATGACGAATCGTTATCTCAGCATTTTTATCGATTGCTGTAGTTGTTACGATGTACAGATGAAGTGTTCCCTTCTCGATGCAGTGCTTCACCTCGGCATTGGGTGTACAACTTCGTCTGACAAATCTCGCGTCATTTCCATATGTCCTAGTGTCAACGCACACTTCAGTCCCCTCTCGCGGTAATCTGTAGAAAAATACAAATGGCCCCGGACGCTGAGCTGGCTGTCTTCCCTGGCCATGGTGTGCCGGCCTGTGCTGTGTACTCAGCATGTATTTACCACGTAACTCAACCACTGGAGTATTTGGTGGCAAATAAACAGTTGCCATCAGATATTTAACGTTGTTACTGTGGACATTAACTCGACACTTGCCACTTGCAACAGCACTCATGTTGTTATTATTCTGTCTCAAGTCACTGTGAGTACCATTTACTTTGATACTCGATATTCTAGCTCTCAATTCTGGACTGTAATGATTCGTCACCGCCTCCTCGTATCTCTCAATCCACTGTCTGAGTGGTGATGTTGCTGTACCACATGACTCTTGATTGTCATCATCGTCGTTGATGCTACGTCTGCGTTTCCCTTTTCTCTTCCCTGGACCACGTTTGACAGTTTCCTTTTTTCGTGATTGGGCACTGGTTTGTCTGGGATTTGGCTCACGCCTCCCCGGCCTCTTCGTCACGTTATTATTGTTGCTAGGATTATTGTTGGTAGTGATGCTGGTGGGATTTGCTGGGGTATTATTGCTGTGTGTCGAGAGATTGGTGTTATCAGATATTGTAGTGGTGTTGGGAGTCGTTGGAATAGTCGTAATTGATGGAGTTGATACAGAATTGTGATTACTGCTTGTATCATTATTGTTATTCTGTCTTCTCGGTTGTGATGTGGTTTCTGATTTTTTTCGTGACTGCTGGATATTACGTTTCTTGGGATTTGGGGGCGCTGGAACGTTGGTGTCTGCTGATGATGTGGATGATGTGTCAGAGGAGGTGTCAGAGTTCAGGAGTTCCTCTCGTTTTCTCATCTGGAGGGTGCGAGCCCTCTGACGATCGACACGACGTGGACGACAGATTTCACAGAGATATTCGTCCGGGATATTTGATCTGTCGATTCCCATGCAGTCGACGTGCTGCCAGACGAGACAGCGATCACAGCAAATCATGTAACCATCGTCGTGTTCAAATTCGCAGATACAACGCGTTATGCTATCCTCTTCATCGCCCTCACCCTCTGGTGCTGTTTCAGTCTCTTCCCCCTCAGGCTCAACCTCTCGACCAGGCTCACTGCTAATTGCACTCGCTGCATCATCAGCAGTATTGCTCGCTATAGTGACACCCTGATTATAAATAAATGACTGATGAGGAAGGACTGGACCTGTCCCATTGTTGACTGGTTGTTGCTTGAGAGGTGGTGATGTGGGTGGTGGAGTTCGTGGTGGTGGTGCACCATAATTGTGATCCTGGAGGACAAACTGGAGGCACTCGTATGGAAGAGGCATTCTCCGAACTGGTGAGTGCGGCATTGCCTTGAGCTCCTCTTCCTCCTCCTCCTCATATTCATCTCGTCCAATCACTTGGCTCTCTGCTTCAACTTTCAATTCCACCTCCTTCCGTATATCCGACGTTATACTAACAGGTAGAATAGTCTTAATCTGGCCATGACGCACTTGCTGTGGCTGTCCCTGTTGCTGGGTAAACTGAGAAGCAACGAACATCTGCTTTTGCTGAAGATTCGACGATTGAATTTTAATCGGTTGGCTCTTCTGGACGACCACACTGGAAGCATTTTGTTGATGGGGAAGTAGTGTCTTTATACTCGACTTCTGGGTTATCACTGTTGCGTTCGATGTGCCAATGGTTTTCAGTGTATTGACATTTGTGTTGAGAGATGTTTTTATTCCAGGGGCTTTGGACTGCACCTGATTCCTCTGTTGTGGTTTCTGGGGTGGAATGGTTTTTATGCATCCAGGTTGCTTTTGGGGAACTCCCTGTGGGGGATATCCTCCAGGTGGATAACTCTGTCCAGCCTGTTGAATTATTTTCACTGGTTGAACACTCGTATTTCTCTGGATCGTCTGATGAGTCACAATCTGGGAATTCTTTACAATATTTCCGGACTTCTGAGTAATAGTTCTCACATTACCCTGAATACTTCCAACAGGGCTCTTTCCAGGCTCCAATCTCAACAGCATCTGCTGCTGAGACTGCTGTATCTTCGCATTTATTATCGTCGAGCCCTTATTCACTGGTAAACTCGTCAACGTCTGCTGTACCATATTCACTTTCGGTTGAATATTCACATTCCCTTGAATTCTCTGTGGTCCTCCAGCCAATTGTTTCTGAATAATCTGCTGTGGCTGTCCCTGCGGGACAATCTGCTGGACAACAGTCTGATTTTTATTAACTACTGTTAGAGCTGCGTGCGATGATTTTGTCATGTTCAATTGCGAATTACTGTTATTATTACTATTATCACTTTTTAAAACCCCAGATATTCCGAGGCTTCGATTGCCAGGTACAGCTGCTGATCCCTGTGGATTACTCAGAGTCTGGTGATTGTGAACAGGGGCTTTTTGAACACCACCTGCAACTCCTTTCTTGACATTGTTAATCGGCTTCTGGGATTGCGACTGCTGTCTCGATACAGCTTGTACTTTCTGGGATGAACCAACCATTTTCGATTGCTGTGGCTGAATCCCCAGTGTCTTGTTGTTCTGGTGATTCTCACTGTTACCCGGATTTAACTTCTGATTACTCACTTGTGATTTTTGCACAGTTATCGTGGCATTCTGCTGAAATCTCGGTGCATTATTCACACTAGTTATAACTTGATTAACTGTTATTGGTGTCATCTGGTGTACTGCATTGGTGACCTGTGACTTTGGCACTTGAATCCTAGAGACAAGATTCTTCGAGACAACCGTTGCCTGATTGCTTACACCACTCGTAATAGTCTTGACTTTCTGAAAATTCACAGGTGGTGTTTTAGCATTTGTCTGGATTCTGTGAATATTGGATACTCCAGTGATATTCGATCCTACTGTCTTCACAGCACCAGTTGGGACTGTTTGAATTTGCTGGAGCCCCTGAATAATAGCTGTCTGCTGTTGATTGGTCACCTGTACAGCCTCATAAGTTATTGGAATTTGTCCAGGAGTCACTGCATTATTGATAACAATTTTCGATTGGAGTGCTGGAGAAGCCGTGTGCTGCTGGTGCTGGACAGTTGCCTTCTGGGGGGCAATTCGTGCGGCTAAAATTGGAGTTATGCTGCCTGGACAGGTTTTCTGGGGCTCGACTGGTATTTTACTTGTGCCACCAGGTACCACAGTGATTTTTCCAGTGCTTGTTATTACACTTGGACTTGGAGCTCGTGTCTTACCACTCAGTTGGGTTTGAACTTTAACTTGATTTATGGGATAGATGACAGTGGCTTTGTTGGTGACCATGACACTGGCTGACATTATTGGAGCTGGTGGTGGTGTTGTTGGCCTCAGTGTCTGGTCATTGTCTGTTTGATAACTCATGGTGGTCTCAGTTTTAACAGCTTCTTCACCGCCATTGCCACTGATCACTGTGTCCTCCACGATGGTGTCCACACGATGTGGCCGATTAATATCTTTCTCTACCTCAATCTCTTCAACCCCAGCATCTAGATCTCGGTGATCTACTGGGGGTGGGGAAGTGGGTGGCAGTGGTGCTGGTGATGGCCCCGGGGAGTCTTCAGCCTCGGTACCACAGCCTCCAGCCCCCCCACTAGTTGATTTCTTCCCTGACTGGGTCGACGTCTTGGAGGCTTTGCCTAGTCTCAAGTTTTTCTTAATTGCGACTGATTAACCCGTTGATATAGAGAGGCTGTTGAGATTATTTCTGCATGTACCGATATAAATTTCCCTCGATTCTGGAATCACCATAGGCTGCAAGAGTAATAAACAATTGTTCATTCACAATTGTCGATTTTATTTATTTCATTATCTCCTAGCAAACAGGTCAAATTGGGTAGACAATTTTTCATGAAATATCTCGGAATCGAAGAGATTAATGAGATAAAAAATTAAAGAGATAGAAAAATTTTTGTAGATACCTTTTTTGTAGCGTTCAGTCCATTCTACAAAAAAGATCCTAAGAAAATTATCGTGTCTCGCATGGATTTCGAGATATTCACCCTCTACCGATTTGCCGTTGTATTAAGCTGTAGAAGTGGAATAAAAATGTGAATTTCCCCATGTATTTTTTTCCTCATCCTCGAGTACTTAAATTCATAAAACAAAACCGATATCATATTCCTGCCAAACCGATCTATTCTCAACTCCCCAATGAATTTAATCATGATTATCATTAATCTCCAGCGATAACAATGACTAGTTCACGGATTAGAGTAGGCACATAACAACATGACGTTGACAATAGCCAGAAATTAAATCGTTGGCAATAGGATCTGCAGCGACCTACTTGGCGTACCTCGACCCTTTCATTGATTCCATACCCCAGCAAACCCAATGAATTGTTTCTGGCTTAATAATTCCCCCCAGGTGGTTAAAATTTGGTCGATGCCTGTGAAACCCTGCGGCCCTTGGAATCCAGTAGAAAATGAAGATAAAATAAAGATAAAATTGAAGAAATGGGAGGAAGGAGAAAACGAGGGGAGAAGGAACGAAAACGAGAATAATATAGACGGGCAACGAGATGCCAAGGCATTGTGCCGGGAGAGTTGAGGATTTTAGCCAAGGTCAGCCACTGGCAACAGTCTCTACAGTTGAATGTATGCAATGATTATTAGTTGGATGCACTGTAATGCACCGATTTTTCGTTCTCATTTTTTTATTTTAAATTCCCAGTGCTTCCATCGTCTTGAGTTGTATCTCATCTGTAAAACAAATCAACTAGTGCCCAGGGAGTTGCTGCTTGGGAATTCAAATGCACATGTTGATGCCATTGCAAAAATTGAGTAGGTCTCGCTTCCTTTCAGACGATTGTACATTCGCTAAAGATGGCGGATCTACACTCAGGATTTCTCTCCTCTCCTCTGTTACCCCTTAACCCTGTCTCCACCTCTTCACCCCCTTTCCAACGTTGTCCTCGACAACAAGAGATTGTTACTATTGCGCGGTTATCCGGATTCAACTTGGAAGGTAAGTTTGAGGATATTCCAGTGCCCTGGAAATTTTTTTTCCTCTCAAATTCTCTGTTTACAAATTTCTCATCATATATATTTTTTTATTTATCGAGACGTAAAATATTGTCTGGGAGCAATTTATTAATATAATAATTTACACTCAATATCTTTCATTAAATATCAAACCAGAAATTAATTTTATGTCAATAAAGTACATATTAAAAAATTTTTCAAGTCTTTCTCAATTACAAATTTAATTATCAAATTGGATGATTGTACATATTAGAATCGTTAACGTACTGATATATCCGATAACTTACTCAACGTATTTCTCTCCCCCCTCATTCATAGAAATTTCTCGGCGCCGTTCTCATTACAAAGCGAGAATATTCCTGAGACTCAGTATCAATTTAGAAACCCGATGACGAGAGAAATAGCAAACTCGAAGTATATTTTCGCTTGGAACAGTGCCCCCGCGAAAGTATCTAATACAGTATTCATCTTTGTCTATCGCACATTGCGGTATTCTATCTCCGGTCAATACTGTGATTTCACTTGAACCCGGAGCTATACATATCCCCACGATAAATCAAGAAATCTAGTGTCCTGTACCGAGAATCCCCTTGCAACCCCATGACTAAATGATGCCCTTGACTCCACCAGAGTACTCCATAATTATCAAAGGAGCCCCAGTATTTTCCTGCAAGTTGTAAGAACTATTGTCTGTAGTAATTCAGTAAAAGACATTAAGATAGAATCCTCTCGGAATTGATACCCTTGACTCAATCAAAAAATTGCATCATTAACTGATGACGGGTAGTTCTATTTCCACCGTCGAAAGTTGTGAATAATAATTCGCAGGGGAAATTGGTGAGAGATATTAAGACTGGCTTTAAAAATATCAGAGTTCAAACGGCATGGTATAACTATGTAATGTGGTATAGAAGCGTGGTATCATAAACTGCGATGCAGAATGCAATAGAGTTGGCCAAGGCAGGGGGAGGTCGTTGTACCTAGACGGTGCGCAAGCATGTACAGTCAAGTTAACTAACCTAACACGAAAATATAGGAGAACTACCGGATAGGGGGTTTACGATGATGATGAGGAGACCACCGACGAAATACTCCCCCGATGCATTTTTTTTCCACTCATTTCCCCAGTGGTAAACTAAGATAAGTGCATTTTTTTTAACACCAGTTTTTAGCTGATACCTCGGGATTGGAGGAAAATAACAAAATTTTTGGGGAAACATTATTTATAGAGAAAGATGAGAGTTACAAAAAAGGTATATATGAAAATATCAGTGTGGGCCTTCAATTGCAGGATAAATAATAATTGGCGGAATAATGTCGTTGCACCAGTTGCCAATAGATTTTCGGTGATTTTACCTCAATCTCGTTCAATTCGGTTTGATAAGAAAGGGATTTCTTCACCGTTGTTTTATTTTTAGACGTGTGTTTTGAATAGTCTTGTTATCATCGGTGCGATAACAGCGGATGTAGGAGTAATTGATGGAAAATCGATGACAAGGGGTTCGCGGTGTTACGTTAAGGGACAGCTAGGGTTTATCAAAATTTTCAAAGGTAAATAGGAGAGGTGATAGTAATTATCAAGTATAGTAATTATTTGAGGGTTGGAGGGGTGTGTGGAGTGGCAATTATCCAAATTACAAATGGATTTTTGGAGTGTAAAAGGCAAATTTGAGAGGAACTTTGATTATGGGAGAATCTAGGATAGGGGAATGATGTGAAGAGAGGTAGAAGGGAAAGATGGGTGGGCGAAGGGGGGTAGGGGGGATAGAAAGGGGGAAGGCAAAATGGCCGATTTGTGGTGCGAGTTGAGCGCCGCCTGGAAGAATTTTTTTTATATTCCCGCCGGGAGCGTGAAATAAATTTTCCATCGTTTGGTACGAAACAATTTTTTTCACGTTTTCTGGAGGTACAGGGGATGAGGCACGAGTCAGGATGATGATGATTGAGGTTGATGAGGGATTAGAGAGGTCGAGGGGTTAATTGCGGTTTTAGGAGAAAAATGAAGCTCAGGAGAGCTTGAGATGAGTTTTGGGAGAACTTCTCGGGTTATTACGTTTTTCTGATTATTACGTCGAAGAGACAGGTTTTGTGGATGCGGTGGGCTGAGGGAATGTTTTTAAAATTGTTTCCCTGGGATGCATGGGGAACTCGAGGCGATTGTCGATTGATTAATTTACGAGGGAGATTGTGAATTTTGATGAGATGACAATTGTGGGATTATAGAAGTTGCAGATTGGGGAGAAAATGCAGTGGCATCTTTGCTGTGCTACTTGGTTAGGTGTGCCCAACTCTCGACTTTATAACCTTGAATAATGGAATACGATTGCAACTGGGGATCACATATGTAGTTGTTCACTGGCACTTGACAATTATTCGATGAAAAGCTTTGGCAGGGGCTGACATGGCACGATAAATTTGGAAAATCGTTGACTCCTCGGAGCGACGTGTCTAACATATCGATGAATTATCACAGTTGCACTGCATTTCACGTGATTTATTCCACTGGTTGTGCATTAATTCGTACTGTTAAAGTCGAGACGATTGACAATCGGTGAAAATATATCGATAATTTATTATGTTCTTACCTCAATGTGACAGGAATACAGAAAAGCTGACTTCAAACTTGGATGTAAACACAATCATTTTTCTTGTTAATAATCACCGGGGGTGTAGGTAACGCTGGACTTGTTATTAATCGTTACATCGCTTACAGTATTTATGAGCTTTTTTTTTCGATTAATTACGGTGTTGTAAAGCGCGATAAATACAATAATTCACCGAAGACTCGGTAAAACATCCGTCCAAAACTAAAGATGGCAGCCATTCTTTTGGTAGGTACAAAACAAAGGTTCACATCCACGGACTCCCGAGACCCGTAGCCTCGAACCAGACGCCTGCACCTCCATTATTTTTCCCTGGCGCCAATTTTGAATTTTCATTCCAAATTCATGCAATAAAAAATACCCAAAAAAATTGTTTCAAAAATTGATCAATTATATTGTTGATTGTTAATTGACAATTTATAACATGGGGCTGTGTAATCGATTATTATTATTCTGTTATTATTATGAAACATTAAATTGTAGTAAATTGATTAAATACAGAATTATCATGAAGTAATATGAAAATTATTGGAGTTCATAATTAACATTAATTGCGGGAATAAGTTTTGAAATTGAAATTTTATTGATTGAAGTATTTGGAAAGGATAAATGTATTTTTATCCATGGGATTTATTTCTTCCATCGATTCAATGACTTATTAAAATTCAAAACAAGTCAAAAGTCCTGATCCCCACTCCCTCCTCTACATGCGCAGTGGATCATTATGTTTTCTTAACCTGCATTCGACGTAGTCGATAGAAAACACGTGTTTGGAGTACATAAATACACGTGAAATAATTTTGTACGGATTTGATAGAATTACTTATTCGTAATGAACGTCAATATTATACCTTGCACCACGTGGGTGAAGCGAGGAGTCGCAGCTCCCAATCCTGAAAAAGTAATTATCACATTTATTTTTTTACACCTAAGACTACCTTCTGCTTTGACATTGCAGTCATCATCACATGATTTTTCCAGGTTCAACTGACGCCTGAAGAATTAGAGGGAATTATCAAGAAGACGCAGACAGAAATAGAGTAAATTCTCTCGGGGATTGATAGAATTTTCCTGCATGCAGTTATAAATTAATTACAACGAATAATGACATTTGTTTTAGGGATTTGGACAGTGATTCGGATGTCAATACCCCGAGTACACAGAGCGGTCCATCTAGATCGAATGCAGAGCCCACAGAATCAACAGATGAATTTAATTTTGAAAATTACGATAATGAAGGTACAGTGGTAGTAACAAGCGATACTTTACGCGTTTTATTCCCAATTTTAAAAAATTGTAGATGGAAATATTCATTGTAACATCGGTGGATTAGCAGTGATAAATGCCCATGGCAAAGATCCATTTGTGACAGTCGACGATGACGAGGATGAAGATTCAGAAAAAGAGGATGATGTGATAAAGGCAGATGACAATCTTGTTCTCGTTGCGCACGTTGAAGGAGATGCTAGTATTCTGGAAATATTTGGTGAGCTAACATTAATTTAACCACGATATTCCGATGTTAATTTCTGTTTTATTTCAGTTTACAATGAAAAGGAAGGATCATTTTATTGCCACCACGATCTCCTCTTACCTGCATTTCCTTTGTGCTTGGAATGGCTGAATTTCGATCCTTCTGACGCCAAACCCGCGAATTTATGTGCCATCGGGGACATGACATCGATAATTAAAGTTTGGGATTTAGATTTGATCGATTGCCTCGAGCCGGCATTTACTCTAGGCTCAAAACCCAAAAAGAAAAAGAAGCAAAAACGTGTGGGACATAAAGACGCCGTCTTGGATCTCGCATGGAATTGTAATTATACACACGTGTTGGCAAGTGGTTCGGTGGACCAATCAGTGTTATTATGGGATTTGGAAAATGGTACACCAGTCACGAAAATCAATCATTTCGCTGAGAAAGTTCAGTCCATTGCGTTTCATCCCTCTGAAACCCATCATTTACTAACTGGATGTGCAGACAGTACAGCTAGATTATTCGACTGTCGTGTTGACGATACTTTCAAATCCTGGGAAGCTACTGGTGAAGTGGAGCGCGTTTTATGGAACCATTTCGACCCAAATTATTTCTTTATTAGCACAAATAATGGGAATATCGAGTGTATCGATGTGAGACAGGGTCAACACGTGTGGCAGAAAAAAGCCCACGAAAAAGAGATTACGGGTTTATCACTGAGTTCATTCTGCCCTGGCTTGTTGGTGACAACTTGTGAAGATAGTGTAATCAAAGTTTGGGACGTTCTTGATATCCACAATGTGGATTTTATTTTTGAGAAGAAAACAAACTTGGGGTCGATTCAATGTTTGGCCTCCAGCCCTGACAGCCCATTCTTATTTGCCTCCGGAGGTGACAACAAGTCCCACAACTACAAGGTCTGGGATCTGATGGAGATCACTGCTGTCTCCGATCGATTCAAAGGTAGAAAATTGAAATTTCCTGATAATACATCACCAAAAAGTGAGAATCGACAGGGAGAACTGATGGAAGTCACTGAAGACATGGAATGTATAACTCTGAAAGATAAGAAAAAATAAAAGACCTTCAAGAAAATGAGTCAATTCAACAAAGTTAGATTTTTATTTTCCTTTTGTTTTTCATTGTTCACTACTTCAATAATTTACACCTATGAGTTTCATCGTACATATAAAAAAAAAATACAAGTATATTTCCATTCTGACCGATTACCCCGAACATATTTATTATTTATTGCATTCTATTTCCGATTATTGATATATCATAAATGTATATCGAATGTCAGAAAAATAAATTGAACAAAAATACGGCAGTGTAAATGCATAGATATTAAATTATGCTGCTGCATATAAAATTTATACAGGAGTTTGATTTGACCATTTTGCTTTTGTAATTGTCACCGAGTAGAAAATTTGTGATATTGAGTAGAAATAAAGGAAATTGAAAACTGAATAATTCGATATTATTACACAATGTATCCTTGGCTAATCGTAATAAATTATTATTCCTATAAACTTTAATAACTATCATTAATGTGTAATTTTAATACACATCACTAACTAGCTAGACACCCTCCCTGCTGAATCAACAAAAATGTGTACGTACATTATAATTAGATGATTATTTCACAAGAATCATTACAATTAAATATTAAGCACAAATGGAAAACTAAACATCGGTTCCTATGTCGAGACTCCGTGAGTCTTGATTCGAATCGTGTTGACTACCATTTTCAGAGGATGCACTGCTGGACAAACCCGACTGATCCGAATTCTTTTTCACTTTAGGCTTATATTCTGTTATAACTACAGTCACATTATTGACAGTTACTTCGTTAGTTTGGGCTGTACTGCGATCGACATTTTTCAATCTAGGTGGATGACGATTTTTCCGCCTTGGCTTGTCCAGTTTACGTTCCTTATTACTATTGACGGAGCTCGCTGTACTACTGCCACTTCCACCTTCTTTTTTTCCTGGTTTCAACGGTGGTACATATTGCTGTTGGGCCGCCTGTTGCAGTTGAACATTTTTTTAGTATTCCATTATTTATTTTTTTATGTTTTTAGTGCTTGCGAGTACTAGAATGAAATATTAGATGCTGAAAAATTAAAGTGAGAATGCAATAATTAACAAACCTGTTGAGCCACCAGTTGAGGATTAATGCGGGGTTTCCGCGTTGAGGTACCTTTACGCACGTCACACATGAGGCACTTGAATGCTTCTGCTGTATTTCTATACGTGCAAACACTGCAGTCCCAGTAATTATCTTCCAAAACCTTCGCCTGACGTTTGCCGCTTCCCGAATGGTTCATTGTTCATCAGAGTCAGTTTTACAACACTGAGACTACTCAGATGAGAGTTTGCCACCTCCACATAAGTTCTTTTAACTTCATCAACACTGTGGTATATTTTATTCATTAATGAACTGGGTTATTCTTCAATATCCTCGGATGCTCTTCAACGAGAGACAAATTCAGCTATCGTAATTATCCCGTTGGGGGTAGAATTTTAGTTCTGTGCATCAACTTAACAGCTTACACTGTTTCGATGATTCATTATTCCGAGATGAAGGGCTGGGGTTGTCGAGGATGTCCTGTTCTTTTACGATCATCATTGTGGCTGAGGGATTATTTTAATGAGTTGATTGAACCTGCAAAGGCAGTTTAATAACAGATCACTTTGTGGGGAGAAAAGTGACTTTTTCGTAAAGTTCAATTTTTCTATGAACGAACTTATCCATAAATTATTTATTTAAAAAATACGAAAGCACTCCGATATACTCTTCAACTCTCTTTCTCCTTCACTCCTGATGAGATAAGAGGAAATCTCAAGATAAGGAAAATTTCCAAAATCGCAACCATGGTTTCGAACTACGTAAGCTCCAGGGCTATGCCCGATAAAATAATAATGCAAAAAATAAAAATGATCGTCTCACCAACAAAATGAAGCTTCACCGCCAAAGCCCAATGTTTACATCAGAATTATCACAAATCTCTTCATGAACTCCTGCAATCTCTTGAGCAAAAAATCCCCTCAAGTTTCAAGATCATCCAGAGAAGAAATCAACTCAGGATAAATGACCAAATTAATTGTTATCATTGAAAAAAAAATGTTACGCATCATTCAGCGTACCCACACATGCCCACTGACAGCTGTACATGTGTCCATGTATTCGAACGCTCCCCTCTCTGTATATGTGTACACCAGGTATATACAGTCACTATGGATAAATCCAAGTATCTCATCAAACAACTCAACTTCCTCCAAGTTCATTCGACATTTTTTCAACCCCACCCATGAGCTACAGCAAAAATGCGACAACGCTATCACGACGACTTATTCTTCACGGAATACTCCTAAGAAAAATTAATTTTTATTGACAAACAATTTACAGGATCGTGGCACTGTTGTCGTCTTGTCTTGCAGGGGTGGTCAAACTACATGAAACAACATGAAACAACATCTCAGTTAAAATTGACTGCTCCGAAATCATCTACGCATGCGCTGTGCGTTCAATTTTCCCTGAGATAAAATAATCAATTTCAATTAATTAAAAAAATGTCAAGTAATTTATTTGTTATGCATTTTTCATCTATTATTTATAGTTATTCTCGTGATTTTTCAGTAGAGGTGGCATAATTCGGGGTTTTTATATTTTTCATTCAAATTTTTTTTGACTCACGTCTTCGGGTAAGTTCGGAATAGCAACGACGCGGCCGCCAATGGCGCTAGTGACTTTCGAAGAAGGCTGGGACGCTCTGTTTTAGAAAATTGTGTGGAATTTATCAAGTGTCCAAAACAGTTCAAAATAAATTTGATAAATTAGTGGATTGAATCATCCTCGAGCTGTCCTCGACTTGTCCCAAGATTTATCCTGCACAGATTCAGTATTCGCGATGGTGAAAGGTATGTCTGTCTGTCGGATTAATGATTCAATTATTACTATGAATTTTGTACCGCATTCAGGTTATATTTTGATGTCAATGCGATTGTCGAGGGGAGTTGTAATTATTTTGGGATGTATTAAGTCGGAATTGATTCGGGTAATGGAGATTTGTGGAATTACGTATTGACGTGGAGGAGAGATTGTAATTAACGGGGGGGTCTGTAATTGAATATTAGATTATAGAGAACTTTCCTAGGAGACGCCATAGATGCTTTATGAAAAGCCCGCCATATTTGAATTCATTGCATATGATGGAGGTCAGAATGGAAGTTCGATGGTTTTCAGAAAAATTCTGGAAAATGATTTGCACTCATGTCTTTGGTTTCTCATTATCAACTCAATGATGGCCATTCCTCGACATTTAATCATTAAAGAATTAATCTTAGAAAATGATTAATGATGATAATTTATTTTTTGTCTCCAGGCCGAAGAAAACGAACGACCGCCCCAAGCTCGATCCACACACGATCATCAGCTACAAACGGAGCAAATGGAGTGATAGCATCTCCCATGAGAAAAGGAATCAAACGCGAGAAGAAAATCGATAGTAAAGCGAGAGAAGCGAGTCCTGGAACAAGGGGAATTGCGTCGTACCTCTCGCCCCCACCACCTGCTATTTTAAATGGAGAAAGGACAAAGACTGTGCAGCACGTGAATACGCTTATCATCCAACAGAATGATTTATATGTAACAGATATTCCGGTGAAAACCGAGACCGAAGACTTGGAGGACTTTACATCACCCATCAAAGAACTATTCAAGACAGATGAGACACCGGTTTATGTACCATGTGGAGATCCACCAACTCCACACCGTATCAATATGCCAAATGTACAAAATGATGATTCAGACACGATCATTTCCAGAGATGATGATAAAAAACACTTGATTGTTTCACCTCCAGTGATTAAATCTGTGGGGAGAAAAAATGTTGGAGGTGCCAGGGGCAAGCTCAAGGCCAATGGAGGCACTCATCAACGTTCAAATGATTTTAATATAGCCAGCCCCAATCACAAAGTCACTGAGTACTTTCCGGTTAGAAGAAGCGTTCGAAAATGTAAAAAGACTGTTTTAGAGGAGAAACAACGAGATGTCGAGAGCAAAGTCATTCGTCAAGTGGAGGAAGGCTTGCAGAAGGAGCATTTTGTGGGTAAAGGACGAGGAGTGGTTACCACTCGTGAATTTGCAAAAGGTGAATTCGTTGTGGAGTATATTGGAGAGCTCGTCGATCAAGTGACTGCGAAGAAACGTGAGGCTGAGTATGCGAAAGATCAAAGCACTGGCTGTTATATGTATTATTTTCAACATCGTGGGCATCAGTATTGGTAGGCTGCCCTCTCATTTTTTCTTTATCACTTACAGCATTTATAAAACATTATCGATTTTTTTTTTATTGTAGTGTGGATGCAACAGCTGAGAGTGATAAACTGGGAAGACTCGTTAATCACTCGCGTAATGGGAATTTAATAGCACGAGTCGTTGAAGTTGACGCAATACCACACCTTGTGTTGACGGCTAAGGAAGACATACCAAAAGGCGTTGAAGTGACATATGATTATGGCGATCGCAGTCGAGAGTCCATCAGAAATCATCCGTGGCTTGCCTTATAACCCCTCATCCATCATTATAGATAATTATCGAGATGCTCTAATCACATCACTCCTCATCTATTCCCTTACGTCGTATTCCGGTGATTCAAGATAATGTTTCTCTCTTCACGTCTAGATAGATTTTCACTGCCTTTAATAATAATTGTTACGGTTTATTATTATTTTGTTGTTCGAATGGATTCTATGGGGGCAAGACAGTAAGATTGTGACTATTCATATTGAATTTTGTATTGTGATTCGTGCGATGAGATCTGGTCTGTTACAGAACCTTCGGAGATTTTGGGAGTTATCGAATGTGACGAATATTATTTAATAGGAAAAACGAATAATTAATTCATTTAGTATTTTAATAGTTTTCCAGGAATACTTCTGGTTCTAATCGCATAGCAAAAATTTTAGTGGAATCGTTTTTGTAGCTTCCATTCCACTTTACAGGTACAGTAATGTGAAAAATTCCGAAATATTTTTCTTGCAGTATTCTGCAGATACTCAAATAACTTGTTATACAGTGAAAACGTCTTATTCATACGGATAACTAGCTCATGAATATGGAACATGGCATTCTTGATTGAGAACAAGATGAACGTAGTATTATAGACCATCGGGTATTTATTGAACAAGGATTGCTTGTTTAAACGCATATCCTCACTTTTAACCACCCAATCTAATATTATTTTAATCCACATATTTCACGGCTAGATACGAAAATCGAAGCCGATGATTAATTTTATCACTAGTACACTGCCAAAAAAATCATGCTGCGGAGATAAAAAATTATTGTTGAATGTAAATGTGTGGATCTCCCCCTGGACACATTTATTCTGGATATTTATAGTTCATGTGGAAATGTATTGCCCACTACTGACACATCTCATTTAGTTAATTACATCAATTGCTTCTTTGTTCATAGTGTAGGAGTAAATTAATTGACAGAGCAACGCCTCTCATACTGCCTCGAAACACCTAGGAGTTCGGGAATAGAATGTTATATGAAAAATCTCTGCCAGCGAAACATGTTCAGATCTCGGAGCTAAATTGTAAATAAAGAATGGAGATCTGGTGTATGACGAATATTTTATTCAGGAATTTGGGGGTATCTCTGAAAAGAATTTTATACAGGGGGCTTTTAACTTAGACTATTTCTTCAAATAAATATATTGTTCTCCGGTGAATTCACGATTACGTGTGGAATATCTTACTGGATGCCTGTCGCTCTGGGAAAAATTATGTTTTGTCAAATAAAGTATGAATGTAATAAAGGGATTCGGTGAAAATTTTTTCATTAAAAATATCAAATTCAGCCTATAACTTAAGGCCCGGATGGAGGGAATTTTTTTTCGACTGGCGACTTTACGCCCTCCTACTCCGCGGACAAAACCCGAACGTTGATCCTCTTTGAATAAAACAGTCTCCTTCATTTCCTCTCGATGCTTCTCCCATTCGAAAATCTCCAGTGTTTACAGTTCTTCTGGTTTAGTATATACTTCCAAGATTGAGTGACACTCATCAACGAGAGAATCGTGTGGGTCCTCGAAAGTCTCCTCAATCATGACAAAAAGGTCATCTGCGGCGGCTGTAGCAGCGGCTGCAGCATCCCAGGATGCAAACGCTACCTGGGAGCCCCTTCGCCTGACCCACCTGAAGCCCTCCTTCAACAGTCAGGAACTGGCCTTGGCAGCTCGTCAAGATCTCTGGCACAAATTCATCATCTTCGATGCAGCAAACTACGAAAATGAATCAGTGATGGATGCGATGATCTCTGCGTGTCGTCCAGAGGTCCTCCTCCCAGTGATGTATAAAATCGAAGACATACGCAATGGCACATTCTTCTCAAAATGCAGCATTGCAGTGATCGAGTCCCTAGTGCGTCAAGGTCTTCAGATCTGCCTTCCAGACAATCGGATCCTGAAGATTGACATTATTCTGGGATTCATCAGTATGAACGAATTGCAGATAAATCCTCACAAAATGATCACCGAGGTCCTGATCAGTCGCTGGGACTCTCTGAAGAAAATCCTCAACCTGGAGAACTTCAAGACAGACAAATTCCTGGGATCCATGTACTGTCCCCTATCACTTCCCACCGTTCTCATCTTCGTTCTGCGATGTGCAAGGATGAGGATTGGAAATACTAGAGAGAAATTTGAGAACACTAGACTACCAGTTCGTGAGCTCAATCTAAAGAACAATAAACTCACTGCAGTAATGTTGTACGAGAAAGCTTTTAATTACACTCTGACAAAACTCGACCTGAGTTACAATAAAATAGAGAACGTCGAGTTCCTCAGATATTTCTCAGAATTCAAAATCACGGAGCTCTGGTTGGATGGTAATCCCCTCTGCACACTCTACAAATCACCAGAGGAGTATATTCAAGCTGTCAGAAAAATATTTCCTCATGTGCAAAAACTGGACGGAGTCATCATCGATATTGAACAAAAACAGCCAATTCCTGTGACTCAGCCGTGTTTCCTCTTCGATAATTCAAGGCTGAGTCTCGTCAAGCAATTTGTCAAGCATTATTTTACGTTGTTCGATCAGAAAGATCGCAGTGTTTTGAACGGTTTATACGATGCTAATGCCTATTTTTCAACAACTTGTGGACACATCGCAAATCCTCGACACCGACAGCTCACTAGGATTCTGGCAATCAACAGAAATCTTTTGAAACTCGTTGACTACTCCAGGGGCTACAAGTATCTTCTACAGGGACCTGATCACATTATCAATACTCTCAGACGATTGCCACCGACTTATCACGATTACAAGACATTTTCCATTGATGTCATGCATCAGGGAGATAATCATTTGGTTGTCACCATTCATGGACTTTTTTTCTATAGAGAGTTTCCCATTTCTTTGATGTTTGCTAGGACTTTCATTATTGTTGAGAAGGATGATAATGAGTATCGGATTGTTAATGATCAGTATCACATTCAGAGTGGTAACTCCATTATGATGGAGAATAATGACTCGAAATTGAGTTTGAATGCAGTACCAACGTTTGAGCCTACTTATCTCAGTAATAATGAGAAGGACGATCTTCTCAAATTTTTGTGCAATGTTACTACTATGAATTCACGATATGGAGAGCAATTCTTGGAGAAGAATAATTGGGATCTACGAGCTGCTATTGTCGCTTTTAAGAAGGCGTATACTGTCAATGATGTGCCTCCTGAGGCTTTCAAACCGGTTTACTGATATTGAAGGGAAATTTTTTTTGAGAGACTCCATACTGTAAATAATATTTCACGTGAGGCTTTCCAATCAACTTACTGATATTAAACGAAACTAGTGATTGTAATTTGAAGGGAGAGATAGAACGGAAGAATGAAATTTCACTGAGATTTTTTCAATTCCTTTTCTATAATAATAATAATTGAATGAAAACTTCACTCAATCATGACTTAAAAAAAAATTAAATGCCCTACTGTTCTCTTTCCCCGAAAATTATATTTAATTCATTCAATACTTAATACAATGAACTTAAAAATGCCTGTACATAGATATTTGCAATAAAATCGAATGAAGCAAGAATAGTAATTTTGAATAAAAAATGTATTCATAGTTTCATAAGTTTCCATCGGAAACCCCATTGTCTGTACATATACATCTACACATTAATTAAAAATTAATGATAACCCCGACATAAAAAAGGATAGGAGTAATCTTGAACTCTTCAGCCAGAAAATGACACCCCAAGTCCTCAATTCCCAATACCTCTCAACACCCTTGCTGGGTATTCAACAGGGCGATGCTCTTATTAATATGGAGTATCGTGTTGACATTGGAATTGACACCGAGTTCAAAGACCTTCTGCATTAATGGCAATGCATGTTCCTGCATGCAGAGAACAATATCTGGAAGTCTATCAAGAGCAGACATGAGTACATCAGACCTGGGGCTATCAAGACACCTCTGAAAAGCCGAGAGAACATTGAGATTTGGTGCAGGTCGATGCTTCAATGCTCGAGTGATGAGAGTGTGAGCCAGAGTCCTGATATTTCCCTGTGGTGACACGAGTAACTCGGTTATACTATCAGTAAAGAATTCTAAAATCGACGGTTTCCTTGATGACGTGTGTTCAATTTCCTGGAGTGCAGAGAATACATCGTCTCCCTGGATTTTGGCCAATGTGGCAATGAGTCCAGGATAATGATCAGGATAACTGGGCTCTGCTCTGGTGGTTGGAGGACCAGTGATGAATATCTCCTCTCCATTGGTTCCCTCTCGAGGCCCTGGTATCGATGCTATGAGTGCCCTGAGGTTTGTCAGCCCTGGAAAGTAGCCCTGCAACTCCCTCAAGGTGTGGATGTGCCTGTGAAGATATTTTAAGGCCCTCTGGGCCCCGTGGGAGATGTACCCCTGCAGCAGGACTACTAATCTATTCAGAAGTGGTGTCAATTGATGATGATCTTTATAGGGTCCATAATTTTGAAAACACTGGAAATAATTCTGCAGTGTGTCCTCCAGGGCGTCCCTGTGCTGCTCATTGAAGAGATAAGGCTGGAGGAGCTCCAGCAGACCCATCACCTGGACGAATAAATTCATATGATGGCCAGATCTAAATTCGTTGTACTCAAGGTAACACCTGCCCATTAGGGACGACGCCAGCATTGGCAATTGTCGAAGGACAAGAATAGGATGAACAGCCGCCATTTTTCTTGCGCAGAGTTCAAACTCCTGGGATTTTGATGCCCATGATTTTTGTCTGGGTGTTGCAGCAAGAGCGGTGAGGAGAGAGTGGCTCATGCAATCCAGAACTGAACCGGTCCAGTCTTTGATATTTGCTCCAGCCACAAATTTTTTTGCTTGCGATGGGTTCAAACATGTTATGACCTTCGGTATCTTCATGTACATATGGAGGAGAAATTGATGAGCCATGTCAGACTCTACATTATTGTTGTACATCATTCTGTCTGCTAAATAATTCACCACGATTGACGTGAATTTCTCTTCTGTTGACACACAATGCTGGAGTAGATCCAGTCTAGTTTCCATTTGAGTGAGGGCAGCATTTCGACTCTGTCTCTCATGGATTATCACTGCCTCGGCGACGAGGTATGCCACGAGAGTCAAAAGCTGTTTCTCGTTGAGGAGGAGAATATTTTCGGGGACGTAGTGCTTTGGAGTGAATTTGTCTCGACCCTGCCACAACTTTGGATTGCATGTCAATGCCCAGAGGAAGTCGAGGACAGCTGTTGGATCGTATCCATCGTCACACTTATCCAGGAGATGTCCCACACATTTCTGGAGAGTGGCCCAGGAAGCGCGATGTGTCAGGAGGGTCAGTAAATAGGGCCTGCAGGCGTGAGAGTTCACTATGCTCTCGTCAATCTTCAAGTGAACTCTGGTCTTTCCAAAGAGAAGCTTCATCTGCAGAGTTGGACAGATGCCAATGAGTTCTGGCTCCACAGACGCCAGCCAATCAATCAGAAGTCCTGTTCTGGGCCTCACAAGACCTCCATTGCTGTCCGAAACTAAGAGACTCACCATGGCCTCCACCAGGAGATCATTTTTCTGCTCCTTCAGACAAATATCCAAAAGAATTCTCCCCACACTCTCCAAATTCAGGGGATCTGTGCTCTCTAGAACTTTTCCAGGGTCTCGATTCTTCGTGTAAATCACCAGCTCTTTCCTCTTCGGGATTTTCTTCATGTGAATATTTGCAAAGTCTCGCAGGATATGGAGAATCGGGGCTTTTATGTCACCAATTAGGGAAATCAGGTTCAGGCACATACTGCGACCCAATTCAACGACATGCTGAGATGTAGTGGGTTTCTTCAGAGGTAGCAGGATCATCCTCATGAGAGTGCAGGAGTACTGGGGCATGTGGACGAGTGATCCGAGGAACTGCTTCACCTGCATCGAACTGAGGACGCTGCAAATGTGCTGGATAGCCAGTACAACAGCTCCACTCTCTTTTGGAGATTTTTGCAGGTCCTTGGCGAGGATCTTGTGGAGTCTTCGATAGGCTTCAGTCTTCTGGTTCATAGAGATGTTCTCGATGAAGAGTTTATTGATGAGATGAGGCACTTCGGTTTTTATAGAACACTGGATAACTGACTGCTGCTGGACCATCGCACTCTGGGGCAGGGGCTCCTGGAGATTCTCACTGTTGAGATCTGGCTCGTCAGGCAATTGAGGCTCCAGCAGCTGGAGGACCTGAACGAACACTAGACCTCCTGTGGCCCCCCTTCTATGCTGGACCTTCACCAGCTGTGCCATGTACGTTTTATCGAGAACAGCTTCCTTGACAGAGTCACGATCCAGCTGGACAGCCACGTCCAGGGTATGGAGTAATTTACTCATCGAAGTCACTGGGATGCCAAAGCTCTGGATGAAGAGAACCAACTGCTGGGGCTCCAGATCCTTCAATGCTGCATCGACAAGTCTGGGAACATTACTTCTAATCATTCTGAGTTTTAACCAGTCAGGTATCAGGAGGGCCTCCTCACTCGTGTCTACTAGAAAGGCTTTCGGTGGTTCTCCACTCTCTGGGAACCAAATCTCGAGTAAATCATTTGACAGCCCTGACTCGTCGTTCACGTCGTACGTCAAAAGAATAATCATGGCGTGAACCACAAGAATGTGCATAGTGCACTCCTCCCCAGTATTCCACTGCACCAGAATTTGATCCTGACTCTGAGACCAGGTGTAGCCCTCCCCACGAGGCGATCTGGCCTTCTCCAGATAGTTACAGAAAATGGTTTTGAAGGCCTGAAGAGTCTGTGTGCACTGCGGCGAATCATTTTCAGGCTCTGGGAGAATAGCAGCAGTAATAGTGCTTCTCTCGACGACCACTTGAGATATCTCATTAGCGAGATCAGTTAATTCCGGGAGATCGTCGTCCTGTGTGTGCTCAGCAAGATATGCCACATAGGCACGAACTAATTCTGGATTATTCTCGACTTGACATGCACCTCTCAATGCTGTTGATACGAGCGGTCTCACCGCTGGAAAATGAGGAATCGATGGAAGTTTTCGGAGGAGCCAGAGCTCCTTTTCAGCCTCTCCATCCACTTCCATGGGCTCGTCCTCCAGTGGAATAGATTCCAGGACGAGTTTGAGTCCTGTAATCGCCTGGAGGCGATTGTTGCTCTGCTGACTGCTTAATCTTCTCAGGAAGTACTCGAGTACCTCACAGGCGTGCTGTTGATCCTCATTGGGATCAGTCAGGAGTTTTTGGAGGTGTGAGAGGAGTTGCTGCTGTCTTGGTTGCTTGTCGACAGCTTGAGCTGTTGTCGAGAGGAGAAATTCACAGAGACACTGGACTGGAAGTTGACTGAGAGAGCCTTCACTGTTCTGAACGAGATCAGCCAGCCATGGCATACTCTGGGAGGAGCTCTGCTGCTGTCGTTGGATGATGTCGAGGAGGAAGTCTGGCTTCCTCGAACGACAGAGTAAGTGACCTAGTCTCAGGGAAATATTTACAGACTGCAGTTGCTCGAGAACAGCTGGGGGTGGACGTCTGGCTATTCCAGTGGGATCCATTGTGATGAGTTGAGAAAGCAAAAGACTGTTTGATTCTGATATTTGAACCCTTGTGGAGGCAGCAGCCAAGTGAGACTCATATTCCAGTATCTCCTGTTTCTCCAGAGTTTCAATCTGCAACTCCTTCGCTCGTTCTTGCTCAATCACCTCTGGTAGCGCCATCGTCGGTGGAGGATACTGAAAATGATTCGTTATACACATCTCCATCAGTGTTCTCCAGATTGGATATCTTTTCCAGCCAATCGCACCGATCGTCGAGGGATTGTGTGCAGCCAGGATCAATAGCATTATCCAACCTTTCCAGTATAAATTGGAAATAGCCAGATTGGGGGGCACGTAGCCGGATGGAATGTTGATGGAGCCCGGGGGTTGATAGACGCAGAGATTGAAGATCAGCTCAATTATGTCCATTTTCTCGATTTCCAGGGTGGGAAAGGTCTCAGTAGAGTTGGCTGCAGCCCTCTTTATTAACTGATCAGCAATGTCCAGGACTTCTGAGTGGGTCAGGCCATTCTCCTTAGTGAATCCCATGAGGATGATTCTCAGTAATGTACTCTGGAGAAGAGGCACATCAGACACGATCCTCATAAACAAAACCCTCTCAGTCTCCGGTGGCCAATTGTCGAGCTTGTAATAATGATCTAGTGACTCAAGAAGCATGATCTTCTGGATTGCATGAAGGATCTCAGTCCTGCCAACTCCGTAAGTCTGTTGCGCAGTCGTTTGCAACCAGGAGGTAGTCTCGTACTGAATCGTTGACACAAGAGTCTGAAATTGATGTAACAAGGCAACGTCTTTCTTGTCTCCTCGTTGGGACAGAAGTGTTGCCTCTTTAACTTGAGGACTTATCCCCAGGAACATACACAGACACAGGAGGTCGATTATTGCCATGAACATTCTCTCTTTGAACTCGAAGGTCAGTAGTTGCTGGGCTATCTGAGCTCGTTCTGCCATCAGGGTTCGTGCAAGAGTTATGAGATTGATGTCGTGACGACAGACACGAACTATTTCCCTGAATAATGCTCGCAGCGGTCGCAGAAAATCCTCTCTGTTCATAAGCAGATCCTGGAAGATCTCAGCTAGGAGCTTTGCCGAGGCCTCTGGTGCTGCCTGAAACATCACCCCCAGCATGGGCATGTTGTTGGGATTTCTCGCGTTTGATAATTCATTGTAGATCGTGTGCTTCAGGGTTGTAGAGAGATTTTCCGGATGCAGACCTATCAGCTCTTTCACTCCATTCAAGTACAGACTGATAACAGCTTTAGTCTTTAGTCTCATCTTCACTAATTGACTGATAACCTCGACATCTCGTTGAGTGTGAGTCGTGGAGTTGTAGCAGATGTAGATCAATAGTTCCTGGGCTGGTTTCATTAGTTTAGGATTGTGCAACCACATTTCCAGCCTTGGGACTGCGATATTTCTGATTTCGACGAAGCCACAGGTCGACGAGAGCAGCTTCAAAAAATTCTTTGTTATTGATTCCGCTTGCTGTTGGCGCCGATTCAATTGCTCTTTCACTGCTTCCAAGACGATATTCTCGACGCTTTCGATGCAGTGGGAGTACCTAGGGCTCACAGTGAACTCGGATTTGTCTTTGTCACCAGTGAGTTGAATTAAGGATGTGCCAGAGTCATCGTCTTCCATCGTCGAGGGGCTGTGGCAGTCTCGAGGGGCTAGCACTGACAATTCATGCTGTAGAGCACTTTTTGGAGGATGTCTTGTGTTGAATCCAGACAGAATATTGTCAACAAAGCCCTTGCACTCCTCGTGGTCAATCCAAACTCGATCACCCAGGGCATCCTCGATGTACAGTTTTATGAAGATCTCAGGCCAATTCTTCTTGTCATGGTAACCCCTCATCAGGAGATTTGCAGCCAATACTGGAACCAGGGGACTGCCTTTGTTTTTGGTGTAATTGTGAGACTGGTCTCGCTTCAGGAGGGAGGACAAGGCGTGGAGGATGCAGTCGTTGGAGAACATCGAGGGGCGGAGTTTTGCCAAGTAGATGAGACCCATGTAGAGGAGGGTGTCTGGCTTTCCTCGTTGATTCTTCAGGGTTTTTATCGCCCCGCAGATGAGGCCGATGACTTTGTCGCCTTCGTCGTTGTCACTGGCCTCCAACACCATTGGAACGAGATCTGCTGGGTCACAGTCGATGGAAACCACTTCCCAGGCCTCGGCACTGGACATCGGGGGACGTGGGTGCGGAACATGAGTACCGAGTTTTGGCTTCTTTGGGGGAATAAGCGATTGAAGCGATGGTGCTGGCGCTTCTTTCTTCCTGTCTGAACCTGATGATCAGGATTTATGACAATTAATAATTAATTCTTTTACGTTGACGTGGGAATTTCCTTGAGTTTTATACCTGAAGTAGACGTTGATGAGGAGCTAGCTTTCCCATAAATTCCTCCAGGCCTCTTAGACTCTAGGGGCTCATTCCTGGAGGTTTTGGAGCCAAGTGCAAATAGATCTGGAGGATGATGAGCTATTTTACTCTTGGGCCCCCGAGTAATTCCCGACTTAGCCCTATCCATCACGAATTGCACTCTTTATTCAACTACTTTTCAATCTGCAAGCCCAGGAAGCAACAATTTATGAAAAATTATGCATCATTCGAATACCACCATGAATAAATAGAGTACCTACTCGATATAACCAAAATAACCTAGAACCAAACAACTTAACCTTTGAAAAAAAAATCATGTAAACATGACTTCAAAAAATAAAATTGTTAATCTCCCCCATCATATCAGCAATAAAAAAATATTCGTTGACAGATGACCAATATTCTCAGCTCATAGCATGAATAATGAATTTATCGATTAATTTCTCCAAGTTGGAAAAAATCAGAAGGAAACTGCTCCAAGGGTATGTTGTGATCAATCTGAATGTGGAATTGGGAAATTGTGGAATTGTCTGAAATTGTCTGAAATTGTTCCTTGACCACTGACACGAATCGATAATACATTGGCTTCCCAATTTAGCCAATGACTTAGCGAGAAATTAGCCGATGACAGTGATGACGATTGGCTGACAACAGCTGACTGTTGACGCCCATTGTTGGTAACAATAGCCGGTAGACACCTGCGCACTCGTTGCACACTTCAGATCAATGGATTCTGCATTGCAGGTCTGTTCTACACACGAAGTACATCAGCACTCCGTGGGATTCTGTCCGTAATTCACGATGGCAGGATTGGTGAGTTTTTTTTTTCATGAGTTAGAATTAGTAGGGAGTCATCATTATTTTTATCGCATCATGTGTGATGACTTAATAATTTTCGTGTTTTGTGATAGTCGATGGTTTGTGGGGAGTCGTTGAAATATCTCGGGTGATTGCTCATTCACTGGCAGAGACCAATCAATTTTTGTCGATAGTTTTTGAGGTCAGGCATAGTTTCGAGAGGTGATTTCATGAATTTTGGCGTTTTTCGTGGTTATTACAGAAAATGAAGGCGGTCAGGTGTCCTACTGATGAGTTGAGCTACACCAACTGTGCTGTTATCAATCCTGGTGATTTTCCGGATAATGTCAAGTGAGTGTTATTTTTTGTAAAATAAAGTGACAATTTATTTTGGAGCGAAATGATGAAATATGACAGGAGACGTCGATTCCATCCTCTTATCGGAGGAGTCATTATTTTTGAACGAATCAATTTGATGGAAGTGATCATTTTAAAATGAATAGAATTCACAAGAAATTATTTGCTTGGAGGAACAGTTGTTTTATCCACGTGGATAAATATTTATTTTTTTTATACTTATCGGATGAAATTCTAGTGTGACGTATTGCGAGGCAGGAGCAAATCGATCGATTAGACACTAATAATTCATTCTTTTTTTTGCTCCAGGCACATTGAAGTGACAACTGGGCCAAATCAGCATTTCGTATTCACAGTAAAGAGTCACCATGAGGTGCCCCATGGAGCAGTGGGTTTCAGTCTGCCCCAGCGAAAGTGGGCAGCACTTTCCCTCAACCAAGAGATTGACGTTCGTCCGTATCATTTCGATCCTACTTCAGCCTCCGAATTCCTCTGCACAATTGTCCTGGAAGCGGACTTTCTTCTAAAGACAAAAACCACCCTCGAGCCCTACGACACGGAATTAATGGCAAAAGAATTTCTCCTGCAATTCTCAGGACAGGCATTCACTGTTGGCCAACAACTGGCATTTCAATTTCTCGATAAAAAAGTGCTGGGTCTTGTGGTGAAGAATCTCGAGGCTGCGGATATATCAGCGATTAAATCAGGCCAAGAGCCAAAACCAAAGAAAACGAGAATGGGAAGATGTCTGGGGGACACAGTTATTCAATTCGAGAAGGCTGACAACTCAAGTCTAAATCTAATTGGAAAGGCCAAAGGAAAAATGGTTCGTCAATCAATAATAAATCCAGACTGGGATTTTGCTAAAATGGGAATCGGTGGTCTGGATAAAGAATTCAGTGCCATCTTCAGACGAGCGTTTGCCTCGAGAGTATTTCCTCCAGAGCTGGTGATGCAATTGGGTTGCAAACACGTCAAGGGCATTCTCCTTTATGGTCCACCTGGAACTGGTAAGACCCTGATGGCACGTCAGATTGGAACAATGTTAAATGCACGAGAGCCAAAGATTGTTAATGGGCCCCAGATTCTCGACAAGTACGTGGGGGAGAGTGAAGCAAATGTGAGGAGACTGTTTGCTGATGCCGAAGAGGAGGAGAAGAGACTCGGTCCCAACAGTGGACTCCACATAATAATCTTCGACGAGATCGATGCCATCTGCAAGTCTCGAGGAAGTGTTGCTGGAAATACTGGAGTCCACGACACAGTTGTGAACCAGTTGTTAGCGAAGATCGATGGTGTTGAGCAGTTGAATAATATTCTAGTGATTGGGATGACGAACCGAAGGGACATGATCGACGAGGCCCTCCTACGTCCTGGTAGATTGGAGGTGCAGATGGAGATCAGTCTTCCTGATGAGCATGGAAGATTCCAAATTCTTAATATTCATACAGGACGTATGCGAGATCACAAGAAAATTTCTTCAGACGTTGATCTCAAGGAGCTCGCGTTACTCACAAAGAATTTCAGTGGAGCTGAGCTCGAGGGGCTGGTGAGGGCAGCTCAGAGCACAGCCATGAATAAACTCATCAAAGCCTCGAGCAAGGTCGAGGTGGATCCCTCAGCCATGGAGAAGCTCATGGTATCGAGGACAGATTTCCTCCTGGCACTTGAGAATGATGTTAAGCCTGCATTTGGAACAGCCGCTGATGCCCTCGATCATCTCCTCACCCGAGGCATTCTCAACTGGGGCAGACCTGTTGCTGAGATTCTAGCTGATGGTAATCTTTACATCCAAGAGGCCAGGGCAACGGAGGGCTTTGGTCTTGTCTCTGTTCTCCTCGAGGGACCACCCAACAGTGGCAAGACTGCACTAGCTGCACAGATCGCCAAGAACTCTGACTTTCCCTTCACCAAGGTCTGCACTCCAGATGATATGGTTGGATTTACTGAAAATGCCAAGTGTCTTTCAATACGCAAAGTATTCGACGACGCTTATCGCTCACAACTCAGTTGCATACTTGTCGATAACATTGAACGTCTCCTGGATTATGGGCCCATCGGACCGAGGTACTCAAATCTCACCCTTCAGGCACTCCTCGTGTTGCTCAAGAAACAACCACCGAAGGGAAAGAAGCTCCTTGTGTTGTGTACAACGAGTCGCAGGCAAGTTTTAGAAGACATGGAGTTACTCTCAGCATTCAGCACAATTCTCCATGTCCCCAACTTATCAACCCCAGATCATCTGCTCTCAGTCCTGGAAGAAGTTGAAATATTTACGAAGGAGGAAATAGCCTCCCTCCATGGTCGATTGCAAGGCAAGAGGGTCTTCATTGGAATAAAGAAATTACTAGGTCTGATTGACATGGCACGACAGGTCGAGCCGAGTTATCGAGTTCCCAAATTCTTATCAAAACTCGAAGAGGAAGGTGGACTGGAATGAATGGTTGAAAAACGGATGAGGAAGTGTAAAATTTTGTGTAATTATTTATTCAAAAAAATATCCTATAGTCAATTTACCAAAATTTCCACCAGCAAACGCAAATGTATCACGTAGTTGAGAGGAAAATTAATCGCACCATGAACGAATTGAGTTGAGTCAATTGACGTCAATCCGACTGAAGGGGAATAAAATACACAAGTGATTTTATCAGGTTTATCTAGGTAAATTGCACGCTGTGGAGGTATCGTAGATCAATCGGCGCACGCCCAAATTAATCCCCATGCACTTAAACGATTGGGAAAATAATAATTGTAATGATGAAGCTAGAATTCATTCCGTGACGTCGGTTAGGGCGTCAAATATTTTATTACCATATAACGTTATTATTGAGTAGTATCCCATTATTCACAAACTGAAAATTCATTCAAAACGAAATCGTTGGGCATAATTAACTAAAACTGGTTTAGTGATGATTTAATGGCGAAATCATTTGAGTGCAATAAATTATCAATTGTTGGCCGGATGAAAGGAAATATACAGCTGTCGTAAATATTTTACGAATGGATTTTTGCACATATTATACTCTTGGAACAGAGTATTTAATCCGTATCGAAGTAGTAAATTGATGTGCGTTGGCTCTTCGGAGATATTTCCTCTCAATGAAGAGTAATTCTCTTTTACCACTTCGATACAGGAAAATTTGTTGAATATCGAATCGAAGGAGAAAGCGGGAGTATAATGGAGCCCTAATAGAATTAATAAAAGATAGTACGCAGTAGTTGAATTGAATAGTCTCATGTACTCGTGGACTTGAACGTAATAGATGCATTTAGAATAGTATTTTATTCGATTAACGTTCAGTCTTGATCTTCAACCGTCATTCCAGCCACTAGGCCTATATAATTTCGTTACTTATTTGTGATTGAGAGGCATGAATTGATAGTTGGTCCATTAATTACGAACTTGTATTTATTGATGCTGGGAATCTAATCAGATAAATTGAGCATTCTATTTATTCAGAGAAACGTTTCTATAATAGATTAATCAATCACACCGACTCTCTTGTTCTTGTTCTCGTTTTGCACTGAGAATAAAAATTCATTGAATTTCTACAAATACTTCATCAATGAAGTACAAAGGAATATAATTGTTATAATTGACACCGAATGGGAGTTGTCTGGAGTTTAAAAACCAAATATTGTCGGAAGTCAAGTATTTGGATTTTTTTTTCTAAGGATGCGAATTATTTCGAGGATTTGACGTGAAAAATTTTTCAAAGTGCTTGTTCATAAACACATTGCGGGGATAATGTTGATGGTGTTATTATCGTGACTGCAGTGTACTTGTTCGAGTTGTATTTAGTGCTATTGTCTCTGTGTATAAACAACAAATATATTTCTGTCTGTTTGAAGCGAGTGAGATTTTATCTTCGCACCTTCTGGAGGATTAAGTAATTCGATTGAAACTTACTATTTAATAATAATAATAATAATAATAAGCATAATAATAATAACGGGTCCATATTACTCCATTTTACTCCACTTGACGTATCAATATTTTCCACGACTATATATTTTTATTAATATTTACATAAAAATTTTTTATTTCAATATTTTTAAAAGTTGCATATTAATAATTGAATTTAAATACTCTTCATTCTCAATTTTCCAACACAGATAGAACAGAGCATTTCCTTTTCTGGGTTATTAATTGAAAAAGATAATATCAAGTATTAAATTATCGATATCATTGGTAGTTAATAATATGTGGGCGACATTGCGTGCAGAATACTCACCCCCCAGATGACTCGACCCGGGCAAGGGGGTGATGTAATTTAATTATCGCACATAGTGGAGAGCGCTTAACCCCATTGCCGACGGCACTTACCGTCTCACAGATACGAGCTTATTCCAAATTCAATTACATTCACCAGTGCCGATATTGTGCCGAGGAACATCCTGAAATAGTTGGCATTTGAAATAGCGACTAAAAGTGATGCATTCGACGAGTACCTCCACCTGAAAATGCCAGTGACATTGAGTCATGAATATCCTGTGAAGTGTTTGTAATTACTCTTCACCACAAGCTCCTGCACGTTCCTGCATTCAATAAAAACTCCATCAAAAGCTGCCAATGGGAAATTAAAATTTTAAAGGATAAGAGACTAGACGACCTGTAGCAATAATTATAAGAGGGAAAATTTAAAAATACGACTCATTATCTTTATTCAATAAATATTGGATGTTACATAGTAACGCAAGGAATATTCACTTTAATCGTAATAATCATAATAGATCGTCCACCCTTCGAACGACCGCCAGTGTCCCCTCGCATTATTTAAATTTCGTTTTATTCAATTTATTTTCTACCATCGGAGATCGCTCGAGAGCAGTTACAAATATATATTATATATGTTCATCTCGTTCTGTTCAGTTACATTATAATATTTATAATATTTATAACTATTTATATATCTCTGATTTCTTCCATCCGTCGTACAGTTCTTGTTCCTTTATTTCATTTTGTTTTTCCTAAAGACAGCACAAACACGTAGGTATGGTACAGTATTCTTACAACGACTGTTTCCGTAATATCTCGGCGCACACCGTGAGAAAATTCAATATCTTCAGAAATTGGATTTCATAAAACAAAAAAATGACAACAGAAATGGCCAGAGAGGGCAGGAAATACTGAAAATAATACAAAATAAGTGGAGATTGCAGCTGTTGTGTTGTGGGGTAGAAATTAATCAGAGAGATAGAAAAATACTGACACAATAACTATTGGATTGTGAATTATTTCCATAGCTCAGGAATATCGTGTGTTAACGCAATGAGATAAATCCCACTTTTTTCATACACTACAGAATGCATGTACTCGTAAATCGTTAAGCGTTAAAAAAAAATTATTTCATCGAATGAATCGGCGCAATCGCCTGGAATTCACGGCCTATACCCCAGTTCACATAATCCATGAAAATGAATTCAAAAAATATCATAAATCAATAAAATGATAAAAATCCCCTTGATTTTAATAAACCAATGAATTGATGGAGTTTAATCACAATCAGATCATTGCACGAGATTCCTCACAGCATCACTCACAATGTCACGTTTACTCTTACAATTAATCTTAGTATGTACAATTTTTTTAAACCTCGAAAATGCACTTTAAAAAATTTACCTTCCACTCGCAATGAAAAATTGGAAGAACAGTATCAACATTTTGTTCACCTCAACTTCATGATTCAATAGTTAATATATTCGTTATAAATTATTCTACTTCATTTTTCCAAATCACTCGAAAAATGAGGAAATAGACGAGTTTTTTAATTTACCCACTAAATCAATTAATTTCCAACTCGTTCCATTTCATCACTTTATTACTAGATCTGCGATAATTGCTAACACACAATCTATCGAAAGTGGTCCTCTACTCAAACACAGGAGTAACAGAAGCCAGTCTAAACAATTTAAAATTTCCTAGTCAAATTAATAAATACTCCCAAAAAATCCCAAGTCAAACTGAAACCCCCAAGTGCATTTATAATAAAATTTTCTACTAAATCCTATAAAAGTGATCAGCGCAGGCCATTATCCCCCGAAAAAAAAAACCCTCGAGTTCCAGAAGTAAGGAAAAATCACATAAAAAGTTTCTATACAGATACCCAGTGATACTACCCGGAATTTACGCTTCATATATGAAATATTTGAATCCGCTAATTTCACACCCGAAAAAAACCTCTAGAATGGACTGATTCCGTTGGAAATGCGTATAGAAACTTTTTCCAAGATTCTCTAACGCCTGCCCCACACTCACTGTAAAAACTGCACATTATACGTTTCAATCTCCATGGGCATGGGATTAATCCCCATAAATCCATCCTCGAGATATTTTTTACTCCTCGTTCCAGTGACAGTAGTCCTCGTGACATTGACACTCCCCAACTTGTAAAACCCAGTTCCCGAACTCAACTTATCACTAAGAGGGCAATGTTTCAAGGCAACATCAGCGCCAACAGCACAGCTGTACCCCTGTCTGTGTAACACCATTAAAGCACTGCTAACAGGAAAATGGGGCAGTTTCTGATCATGATTGGTCCTCAGATTAAGCAAATGAAGATCACAAGGGAAACTCTGACTGAGCAATTTCACCTCGGATTTCATCCTGATGTCGCTCTCATTCCCATCAACAATGAACATGTTGATGGGATAATTGAGTGCATTGCTGATGTGATTAGCGAATAACGAGGGCTTCGAATATGAGCCCTTCTCACCGCTGATATCCTCGAGCAGCATCCAGTGCTTCAAAACGGTCTTTCTGTTATCAAGCAAGCCCTCGCCCATTCCTCTCGAGTCATCGTAAAGTGTTCGTCTATCCAGCATCACTTCGAGCCATCCGGGCTGATAACTAGCCGCACCCTGTGCATGATTGACAACAAGTGTCAGCCTGTGCGCACTATCCTCGATGTACGTCATCGCCGTTATCGGATAATAATTCCCCTCTATCCCAATTCTCTCGATCTTCCGTCGTTTGACCATCTGATGACCATTGAGATCGGTATAAAATTCGGGTGGATCTCCATTAAGAATATCTGTTTGTATTCTCATGAACATCTCAGTCTCTCTGTTCTTGGGCGGTGTTTCGAAATCGACGACGTTCCTCAAATAGATAGCTTCTGCCAGAGGGCCATCGTGATGAAAGATCGAGACATGATGTGCCAACAGCTTTCCATACTCAACGGTCAGCCTTGAACTCAGACTCCCCGATACAATATAAATCTTCTGATGAGGTGTGTAAGCCTCCAGGATATCCTTGTCCTGATCCCTGAGGTTTGGATCAGGCATGAAGAGATACGCCCCAGAATGAAACTGAGCTGACGCATACGCAGCGAATTGAATAGCACACTGCATAACTTTTCCGGTTGATTTTTTGGTGACTCTCTTCAAGAATCCAGTTTGCCCATCGAAAAGGAGCTTCATCCGGTGATTCTCTAGTTGGATGTCACTGGACTGCATTGGCTTTATTGGAAATACAGTGTCCTTGCCACATCTGTTGCAGTAAACCGTGGAAATTGATTCCATTGGGACTTTGTCGATGTGCTCCACTTGATATGTAGCTATGGTTAAGGGCTTTAAGTCAGCCACGAAGAGGAGGACGTAGGTGTCGTGGGTTATACTTGTTGCGTTCATAACAGGTGCTATTTGGTAAGGGACTGGTCTCCCCTTGGGATCCAACACTCTGACTCGGTGTGAATTCACTCGCAAGCTCACTATTTCTTGGCGAGGCTGTGCCAGAGAGTTGAATAGAACAACACTTCGGGTTTCACGTCCATTGATCGTTATCGGTATTTTCTTCGGTAATTTTTCGTAGCTGTCTCGATCGGACTCTGGTAGAACGTAGATCGTCGTGGTCTTGACGTTTGTTGCAGCTAGTGATTGAATGGCGAAGCTTTGAAGACTTGTCATATCGGAGATTGACTCGAACATCTTGAGGGCGTAGTCCTTCATAACGAAGGACTTGGATGTTCCTGTGATGGCGTCGTGATGCTGGAAAAGACCGAGATTCCTTCTGGCTTTCACCAGCTTCTCGAAGTAGGTCTCATAGAGTTTTATATCGTGGCCACTCTGGCGGGCCACGTTAAGAGCAATTGAGTAGAGAATCTCGGCTGATCGGAGATTTGCCTCGAGCTCTCGGTCGAGGATCTTCATGTATGGTCGGGTTGTGAAGTAACCGCTCCAGTAAGCTGGTCTACCCTCGCTGAAGATGTCCGAATACACGAAGAAATCACCTGCCAGTGTTGGAAATTTCTCGGTTCTCTTTTGAATCTCGTGGAAGTAGTCCTTGGGTGTACCGAAGATAATCTCAGCGTTGTATTCGTCCTTTCGACTGTTGATGTAGTCCACTAGGATTTTGTAGTTGGTGTACTGCTGGTCCCACTCGATCTGCTGATCGTATCTGAAGTCATCACCCAGAGGTATCAGAACTACGTTGTGGGGAAAGAGAGAACCCGTTCTCGAGTACTGCTCTAGCAGCAATTCTGACATCTGCTTGACGTTGTTTGGAGTGATATCGACAGCGCGGACCGAGTACTCGGTGTACTCACCACGTATCTTCCGGAAGTCGAAATTCAGGCAAACGTGAGGGTGTGGACCGCAGGAGTGCTTGATGTTGTAGATGTCGAAGGGCTGGTTGTGGGTCAGGATGTCGTACGCACCGATTTGATCCCAGGGTTGCAACCAGACGAAATCACCGTACTGCTTCTTGGCGAACCACTGCTTCCACGCGTAGTGAATACGCTGAATTATTGTGCCACTTATTCCAGAGGCTTTAAGCAAGTGCGGAACTGTCGAGCCATGGCCGAAGGGATCCACTGACCAACCGGACTCCGGGATGACGCCTAGATTAGATTTCAACCATTGGTGTCCTGGAACAAGTCATTTGAGATCATTTCTTCGTGGGAAATTATGAGATTTTCTATTTTCATTATCGTGAATTTTCCGGGGATTTTAATAAAGAGGGGAATAGCGTTTTTTTTTTAAGTCAATTAATTCTTGCATTTGGTGAGGACTATTGCTCTCACCGTGAATTTCCATATGTTAGTCGGGGTTATCCGTAACGAGAGACTACCAATTGATTTCATTGCCTCGGTTTATCGCTAACCAATTGTATATTTCGGTATGCACACGTGAATCGATAACCAATTATCACAAGTCGGAAAACGTGTTCCATTATCCTGCCTTGGTAAAAATAAAACGTTTGCGATTTCTCGTTGTTTCATTCTCCCAATAAAACAGCGCAGATTTTTAGATGGAGAAAAGCAGTGAGAATTCACCTTGATATCTTTTAGAATTTTCGCGTTAGATTCTACCGATAAAAAATTCACGACCTCCAATATTTTAAATGATTCAACTGCAATGATGGAATCATCCATATTTTATACCGAGAGACAACGAATGAAAATGAAATGGAGCAGGTGAAAAATTCATACAAAATTCGTACGTGATGCATCGCGTTAAAAAATGAATTATTAAATTTGATCAATCCATTTCGGAATATTTTCATTGATTATTGAGTGAAGATGATGAAGTATATGGAATTGTTGGTCAGAATAATTAATACTTTCACCATTTTTTTTTCACCAATGAAAAATTAAATGGACTCTGTGAATCACCATTGGAATATCGACGAATGAAGTATTCATACGTAAATATTCAATGAACCCACAATTCGATATTTGCACTCAAGTCCCAGTTGTTTACAGCGTGTTCGTTTCGGAAAATACAACGATAGGTAGACAGTACGAAAGTTAGACGAATGTATATATCTTTTAATCCACTTGACTGACTCTCGTCGTTCCACTAACTCAAAAGTTTCACGGAGCGTTTGGCATTATACCCGTGTGGATAGTTTAATCCAAGCCCAAGGTTTCCCTCGGCCAAGACGGATCGATCCCATTCTAGCGTGTCGACATGATCGCAAGGACGCGATCGTGACGGCGATTAAACAAAATTCCACTGGTGGATCAAAGGATTTTATCGTGTAAACTGATATCCACCGTTGAATCGCTATCGTCAACAATTTTGTTGTACCTTGGGCTTCGAAAGGGTCGTTAAACCAAAACCGCTGTCCCAAGTATTAACTGCCAACGAAAGGGTAGAATTAACAATATGCGAGTACTCTGACCATTTTTTTTTCGCTTATCAAAATGATCTGACACCTGTTCTCTGAGAATAATTGTGGCATGTGGGTAATTTAAATGGGGGAAATGATTTTTAAGGGTTGAGGGAAGTCTGGATGTTGGGGATGTTGGGGATGTTGGGGATGTTGGGGATGGTGGCATGCCGAACACATTTGTTATTCGATCCACCTAATTCCGCGGTTGGATTGCACATCAATATCTCGAGTCGAAGGGGGTGATGACGCTGGGAAGGGGTAAAGAGGTCGTGCAACAGGAATTCAGGATTTCGATACGTGGTTGGGGTCGACAGGGGCCGTAATCGGCTGCTATTTATCAGTGGTTCTCTCCAGGAATCCACGGAGTTAATCCAGATAGCCATGCCACGCGAGTTCGTGAAACCAAACCGCTCTCAATGCCTTCGAGTCACTATTTATCCCTCTCCCTCGCAAACCGCAAATTCCCTCTTACTCTTTTACCCCATCGGTCTCTGTCTTTGGTGTACACTTTTCTAGATGGATACCAGTGCCATTGACCTCCACCCAACCCATCCCGAGATATTTCCAATCGACTGCCGGGGAAATCAATCAATCTCGGGGTAAAATATTTGTTTCTCTCCATTTACTTTTGCTGCGATATTTGAAATGTCTGTGGAGTTATCCCATATTTCTCGTAGATAAGAAACGGAGGAATTCATTAGAAATTCATTAGAAATTCATTAGAAATTCATTAGAAAAATTGGGAGAATTTTTCTATTTTTATTCATTGGCTCAATTTTTTTCAGATTAAAATATGGAATTTTATGGAATTCCTCTTGCATGTGAAGTTCCATTGAAATTATTTTTATCCATTGTGATAGATTTTTCCACCCCAAGCAATAACTTTGAAGTTGTGATATTTTTGGGGAATCCTCTCGTGATGGCTATCGTTACCCAGCAAAAATCGCTGACCCATTTGGCAACATTTTACCATTCGTTTTTTCACATAACAACAATAAATGACACTCATCCATCCTCTCGAAAAAAAAAAAAAATCGGTAGGAGGTGGTGCCATTTTTTTCCACCTCTCCCAATTCTCTGAAACAATAAATTTTAGATCGGCACGCGTTTCCTTTTTTTCCCGATTGATTTTTCTTTTTATTTTTCGCTGTTTTATTATACCTCTGTTACCCAACCGCACAGGATCATCTAGCTCTCTCTTTTTTTCTCTTGGCGCACGTATTTGTTCAAATTGCAAATGGGCAACGTTAATTCCACCAAACGTACAAAGCGCTTGTACAATTTTTTTTCATCCGCCCAAGGGCCATTGTCCAGTGGACGCACATCGTCGGAACAAAAGGAGTTTTTCCATTTAGATAAATATAATGAGACAATAAAAAGAAGGAAAATTTATGGAAAAGGGATTTTAGTATATTGCACCTATTCTCGGATATCGGGATTTACTCGTAATTATTTTAATGAGATAACACGTAACTATTTGATAACTATTTTATTTTTAAATAAAAAGTGGAATAAACTCTTTGCAAAGTGAATGGAGCTCATTTAAAGTTGATAAATAAAAAATTGGTGGAGAGCCGAAGGATGGATTATTAGTGGAGGTGAAAGAGAAGTGGGAGATTCGAATTTCTCACGGTATTTCTAGAAGGCAAGGGCATTATATATCCGGTGAGAGCCCTCTCTCGGTCCTGTGAGCGGCAAAATCTAATTAGAACGTCTCGCTGAATTACTATCGTTGGACAATGCACTAGTCTGGGTAAATGCACGTTGAATATCCTCGGGTTGAGAGGTATGAGGAAGATGTCGAGGGTCCGGGAGGGCGCATTGCTTCTCCACTACATTCATAGATTTTCAAAGAGGGTCAACCCGCCAATGATAATGAGTTCTCTTATATGAAACATCAACCATCCACCCTCATACTACTTTCATTAATCAATTATCCAAGTCCGGAATTAATTGGTAATTCAATTGTACGCGGAAATTACGATCGATCAATCGGTGAATAAAATAAATTGTAAATTGAATCACTCTTTCCGGATTTTCCTCATCAAAAAGCAATTTGATTTTCAAATTTTACCATGTTTTGAATTTGATTGAAGTAATTATTTATCTAGGCAATTATTCGATTTCCACTCTCTCCTGAAATACCAAAAAACGAAAAAAAACGACCCAATTACTCCTCAAATTACCACTCAGGTACCAAAGACTAATGATCCCTAATTAATCCAGTTGTTTTTCAACTGAAATATCGGACTCATGGAACTGACACTCATTACAACACCTTCTAATTAATCCCCCACTGGCAGTCTCACGGTGTGAAGTTCGATTTCGATTAATCCAATTATATCATCGACATTTAACGAGTGTAACGACCAAGTTAATTAGCAGTTTAAAAGCATTCACGGGTGGGAGGCAAAGCCCCAGGTGGTCTGGATTCTCATGTGAGTTCCACTATGGTACCCAAAAAATATTCCCAAATTAAATCCTCTGTGCTGTCCCTATATTACGGGTAGTTCAAAATTTATCGTTTTAACGACTCAATTACACCACTGTGTTTGATGTCGACGAGAAACCGCATTGGGGGAAAAAAAAATAAATAACCAACGCTATATAACTGGAGGGGGTCAAAAGAGGGCGAGGGGTGGCGAGGGGGATGGCAAGGGGGTGATGGGAGGCAGAGGATAAAGTGAATTGCGGTCAAACGAGTGAGTAACAAATCACTTTGGCGGTGGTGCACACGATGTCGTTCACTTGAATCGTCAATCGATAATCGGCTGACTACGTACCGTTCGTCTATTTTTTTTTTTTTAATATTTTTTTACCTCCCGCTTGTGTTTCGAGAATGGGCTCGATAAATTGTAGAGCGAGGGACTTTATTGCCAGCCACAACCGCTGATCTCAATTCTAATGGTGACAGCTAGTTCAATTTTTATGAGGATATGACAAAGTTTTTTTTTTGTCACTGTCTAGAGGTTTTGGGAAAGTTCAGGCACAGTGTGGCCTGAATTTTCAATTCTCCTGGCTTCATTTAAAATTTTTTAATCAATTGACTCACAGGTCAGTTGCTCGGAATTTGTGAATTTTCGATGGTTTGTTGCAAATATTTTTTAAATTAATCGTTTGTAAGAATGGATTGTCATGAGAATTGGGTGCAGAGGATGCTTGTAATACGGGCACGCGGATAAGCCCTCGGTAAATGATGTACCAGCGATTATAAGTCATTAGACAGGACATGTGTGCGCTAACGAAATTCTCGTTTGGTTTCGGGATGAAAGTGGAGTGCAGCCGGTGCTCTCCAATGTAAACCGTAATAATGCCATAATACCTGAGTACAACGAACAATTCGCTATTATCGCGAGTGGGTTCTAACCAAAGCCGATCACGTCTGAGCCATTTAATCGGACGGAAAATCCGGGCGGAAGTAAAATCGAATTGAACGCCGATAAAAATGAATGCACCAGTCGAAGAGACAGTTTGTGGCTGACGAATCGAATCGACACATCAAAGACAATTGGATCATGCTCGAGTTTTCCTTGGAATTTTCACTATTGAGAAATTTGATATATTGAGAATCGGAAAAAATTCACTTGCCCCTCCGAGAAAAACTCAACCCTATTTTTTCTCAATGATAAAGAAGAAAATTTTTTAATTAAATTTTCACTACTGGGAAATTCTGTTATTTTATTTATTTTATTCATTTCGAATTTTCATTTGCATTATTTTGTATTGATGGCTACTGTATGAGGCACTTCT